TAATCAACCGGTCTGTAAACTCCCTTGCTCACATCATGAGACAAAACCAGGACCAACTTGAATAAGTTGGTCCTGGACAAAACTGCCCCTACACCATAATTAGAAGCATCACAGGTCAACCTAACAGGTTTACTCGGAGAGTACAAGGTCAAGACATCAGCACTGCACAGAAGCTCTTTAGCTTTCCTCACGCGCTCATCACAATTCTTTTGACCACAACCATTCAGCCCATTTTTCTAGCAAGTCCTAAAGAGGCCGTAGCAATGCTGCCAAGTCTGGCAAAAAGTTCGCGTAGAAGTTTAAATTTCCTAGAAAACTGCGGAATTCATGTACATTTGTAGGAGGCGGCGCGCTTTTGACCGCTTCCACCTTGTCGGGGCAAGGCCGGGACCCGTGTTTGTCAAGGTACTTCACTTCTCCCACAAAAAACTTGCTGTTTTCCAAGTTCAAGTTAACACAATGCTTGGCAAGTCGTTCTAACACGCGTTTCACATTATCAAAACATTCATCATGGTTCCTGCCTCCAATCAACAGATCGTCAATGTAACACGTAACCTTCGGCAACCCAAGCAAAATCGTATCCATGGTGGCCTGAAAAATAGCAGGAGCGCTCGACACGCCGTACGGCAACCGCGGAAATTCGAAAGGACCGAGGTGAGTGTTTACTCTGAGCGCTTTCCTCGCGTTGCTATCAAGTTTCAGTACCAAATACGCAGCTCGCATGTCAAGAACCGTGAACACGCGGCATTTCGGGCACGTTGCGAACAACTCGCCCACCATTGGCAAGGGGTAATGTTCCGTGCGCAAGTTCGGCTTTACTGAGACACTGTAATCGCCACAGATACTAATCTTTCCGCCGGGCTTCGGAACAATGACTAGTGGAGTTACCCAGTCACTTGTCTTCACAGGAGACAAGATACCATCGTCAATCATACTCCTCAACTCGCATTCAACAGCGTCTCTAAACGCAAAAGGAACGGTACGATGCTTGCAGAACATTGGCTGAGCATTATCCTTGGAAATAAGGCTTGCCGTGAGTCCTGTTATGTCTCCGGGTCGTTTCTTAAACACTGACGGAAACATCACTTGCAATGTTTCAAGAGTTTTCTCTTCTGCTGTAACTGCGATAACTTACCTCCAGTCCCGCTACTTGCTGCAGCCAGCTTCTACCAAGCAGCGTTGGAAGCCGCACATTGCCGTTTCTCACGACCACCAAAGGCAGCACATGTTTCCCGTGGCCGCTAGCTACCTCGACGCAGGATACACCGACAACGTTAACTTTTTCTCGATGTACGAACGCAAGCTGAGGTCACACCGTTTTGGCACTCCTCGAGGTAGAATATTTCGATACGCCTCCTCTGGCATAAGGGTAACTGCAGAGCCCGTATTAACCTCCAACTTTACCTCGTGACCTGCTACTTCCAGCCTAGTCGTAACCGGTGCCTCCCCCCACGACTACGTTACAACGCACACATCTCCGGGACCCACAATAGGCCGGCTCTTTGGCTTACCCCTGGTCTGTTCTCCTCTTCAGATTCTATTGGTTTGTCCTTCTTTTCCGCACTCGAAGCACTTCGCTTTAAGAAATGGGTGCTTACAAGGTTCATGCGCAGAAGAACCACATCGAGAGCAGACAGTGCCTGGCTGTCGCTGCTGTTCGTGGTCTTGTCTGTCCCACAACAGATGCACATCGGTGGCGTCTGCACCGCTCTGTCTCTGTAGCTTTTAGAGCGCAGCTCTTAGGGGCCCGTTTCCAGCCTGAGCGGCGTCGGCGTCGGCGTCGGCGTAACCGGGGGGGGGGGTCACGTGACCTCCCCCGAGGGCCCCCCCCCCCCCCCCGAGGTCACGTGACTAACCGCAGGTGACGTGACCCCCCTCAGTACCCTTCCCTACTCCTCCTCAAGAGCTGCGCTCCAATTCGGCGTTACAGGGATTTGTAAACGGCTTTCATTTTTCTACTCTACTCTGTAGCCAGTTAGTTCCCTTGCCAGTGGCACCTTGTAGACGTCCCCGAATTTGGAGCTGCCATCCATCTCGAGAAGCGGTCGCTGAATCTCGGCATCAAGACAACCCACGACTAACCGGTCTCGAAGAGCAGTGTCGAAGAATTCACCAAAGTCACAAGTCATGGCCAGCTTCTTGAGGGCAATCACGAAGTCTGCCAGGTTTTCGCCGTCCTTCTGGTGCCTCCGCTGGAATTTCGTCCGCTCCGCTATGGTGGACTTGGCCGGCGAGGAGTGGTTCTTGAGTACGCATGTCAATTCTGACAAGCTCTTGGAAATCGGAAGCGCGGGCACCAGCAATTCCTTAAGAGTGCGATATGCATTTGTCCCGAGGAAATTCAAGAACGTTGCCGCCGCATCCTCTGGTTTCACAGTATTCACTTGCACGAAAATCTGGAAGCGTTCCAGGTAGTCGTCGAACGTTTCCTCGTCCGGGCGGAACTCGTGGAACTTCGGCATGCTGTCTGTTCATCGCATCGTCGTCGCCAGTTGTAACTTCGCCTCGGTGGGCGTCGACCGGGATCCAGACAACAGGCAGCCAGATTCGATCGCACCCGCGTTCCAACTGCCACGGGGCGTTTATTCGTTAGATAAAGAAGAAGAAGACAAAACATGCAACGCCATCCTAGCGGAGGTAATTCATTCAGTCACTACAAATACATGTTTTGTTATTTTATTCGGAAGCGACAAAATTGATGTTATGCTCTTTTATGTCTATATGAGCTAGATGAGTTTTGCACGCACAAATGGGCTCGGTAAACTTACAGCATATTCAGCAGCTGGTGAACGTTGACAGCTGCTACTTTGGAGCTATAGACAATTGCAAGCATGGCGCCACAAGTGGTGCCCCATGCGTGCAAGCTCGTGCAACGCGCGGGTCGTTAAGTTACAAATTACTTTCACGTTACTTTTCCAGTACGGTTATCAAGAAAAACAATAGAAACAATTTTGATGTTTTCAAAAATGTTCTGCCACACTACTTTCCATTTCTTATACACCCGCATTATGGTAGTCCTTGTAAAAATAAAATATTTTACTTGAGAGAAAGATTGTAGGGTGCAAGCTTCACCTCTAAGCTGACAAGGTAGCGAAAGCTGCAACCACAACCACCATCCCGCTAGCTTACAGCGACCGGAAACGATCCCTGGAATCCTGCAGACAAAGCTAGCGGTGCGCATGCTCAGTAGCATCATCTACCTCCGCTAGGAGATGCAGACGTAAGGAACCGATCTACGGAAGCTCCCATAGGAAACGGGCCTTTCAAGTGGTAAAGTCAAAAACAATTAAACACGAAGAGGTTTGTTTCCCAGAAGAAAAATCCGATGGAAGGCGATGGAAAGAAGCTAAGTCTACTGAGCATTGTCTTCTTGCTCTTTGTTTTTCACACAGTATTTTTACGTCTTCCTAGTGGTTCTGGTGACCGGTCAGACAAAAAATTGTTTTTGTTTTGTTACTCTTCTCTTTACGATGGTTTCTATTTAAATTTGTTGAACTTGCTCTATCTATGCCTCTGTATTGCCAGCTCATAATGCTCCAGTTTCTTTATTATGCTCATATTAAAAAAGTGACGAGTAATTAAAGTAATTCATTACCAATATTTTGTAACGAAATTACAAATTACTGCCGCAAAAAAAAAGTAACGCGGCAATTACAAAATTACTTGAAAAAGTAACGAATTACAGGTAATCCGTTACATGTAACGGATTACTTCCCAAGTCTGCGTTCAGTGCGTCTTCAAGTTCAAACGGCCGCCTGATCGTTCGGACTGTCGTCTGCTCTTTCAAATGTTTCTGCTTGTTGTCGTCGGCTCGTTCAGACGACAGGGTCTCGCAGATCGAACGTTGACCCGGTAATTCGGATAAGAAGTAAGTGCATGCCTCAAAAGAGTTTTAAGTTTGAAGGTTGGTTGGGATAAGTAGGCTCGATGCAAGCAGTAGATACAAGGAGATGTTGATCGTTGTTAGCAGTGGCCATCACCGACTTGTTATGCCTGATTCATTCGGTCCGAAAGCATTCATCTGGCAGCTTCTGCTCCAATAAACTCGTTTCCAAAGTCCGCGCCATTGCTTGGACACGTACTCTGAGCATGCACTGAACAGAAGGGCTAGGTCAGCGCTCGGCGTGAACTCGGCTAAGCTCGTGTCGAAAACGAATTCTGCGTCTTCGGCGAAGACTCGGATCTAATCACACGTTTCGTGCCCCAAGAAAGACGACCGCGAATGTTTGCTTCTTTTTTTTATTTTTGTTTTATTTAAAAGTGTCTATTGATCTACACGAGTATTACCCGGAACGGGATGTGCGCTGAACCCAAGAAAAAATAGACAAATATTAGGATTATACGATGCCAACGTATGTTTAATACAGAGAACAAATACCAAAACCGGTTTTATAAAAAAAAGGGAAAGATTTTCAAACAATCACTAATATTCAACGTACGCACCATCGGAATAATCTTATCACAAATAAAAGTCTTGGTGCACTTCAGCACAAGCAGCGAAACCTAACGTTCGATCATCCCAAGGCAGAACACGTATTGGAGGATTCGAGTTTATATACAAGCTAGGGTAGCTACAATAAAAATAACTGAGCACGAGGATATCAGGATGAAACACGATGAATTAAGCATTTTTTCCCATCTGAGTGATAAGTCAAAAAGAAAAAAATTAAACTGATCAATTTTTTTTCAAAGAAAGCTGAAGTATATTACAGGGGATTGAGGTACAGCATAGCATTTAACGAGAGCCTTTCAAAAATAAAAGTAACTCTTTTCTTTTCTTCTTTTGTATAAATTGCGCAGGGTTGACGAAATCAACATGACTATGAGCTGTTTATGAGGCGAATAGCTTCGCACATGAATGAATTTCGTAGCCGTTCACTGCTACTTCAAGAGACAATACTCGCATGTTGCGCGCTCGTTTCTCAGAAAACGCATGCATCTTCGATTCACAACTGTGTGTCGTGGAGTTGATTGATATCAAGGTATTTACAAAACAACTGTTCCCAAATACTGTTTTTACTCAATTCTATCGCAAACATTTTTCTTAGAAAAAAAAATTTGACATAAAAACTTGCGCGTTAAAATCGGAGCCGAAATCATTATTCTTGAGTATAAATACTGAGTACGCGTTAGAATGGGGGTCACCTTCGAATCGGGTAAACAGGGTGGTCCCTTTACTTGCCCGGCGCTGTAGCTATTACGCTTGTCCGGCGTGCAAGCGCGCAAGACTGCTCTTGATATGAAGCGAGGTGCCAAAAGTAAAACAACGTTAACGAGTTGGTGATAGTCATCAGTGGTCTTCAGATATGCCTCGTAATGACGGCCATCGGGTACTCTTGGGAGTTGGGAATCACTTTACGTTGAGAATCTTTCTTGGGCAGCGAGTAGAGCAGCTTGTCCCAGAAGTGTGCTTCCCCCCAGCGAAGGTAGTTGGTAGCCTGCATGTAGATCCTCAACTCGTCGTCCACAGCGTTGGAGGCAGCTTCGTCCACGACAATTAAGATTAGGCGGTTGATGTTATCCTCGAGAGCCTGGTGGTGCGCCACCCTGAACTCCCAGCGGCACCACTCGCTCTGCACAAAATTCCTGTGAGTAGACGAGAGGCATCAATAGACCACTTCCGAAATTAGCCATGCACCAAGGAGTATGGTGGGGACGTAGGTATACGCGGCACGCGCTCACCTTTTCTCAGTATAAAAGATTCGAAGTAAATAAGCAAAATAAAGACTCAGCCAAAGCACGTGCAGTGTCATTTGTTCTAGATTTTTACCGTGACTCACGGCACCCATGAGGTTTTAGGCAAACATCTTTGTACGTGTGTTCGCCATCGCCTTATTGTAATCCTTCGCATCTTTCCTACGAGCAGGGCGAGCGCGTGCAGCACGTGTACTTACATGTCTATAGACCTTTCCAAAAAAGACAAAAAAAAGGCTCTTAGCCGGTTTTATTCTCAATGTCTGTGCGTATGGCGCGTGATTTGTTCGCTTTCCGAAGCGATGAACATGCGCGTGCTGGGCTGAGGACTTGTAAATATTGGAATGGTGTATAGTTTCTTTTACTTTATGTGCAAGCAAAACCGAATCTATGAGCGCGAGCTCATAGCTTTGGCTTTAAGTCGTGCTTCTAAGCTATAAGCTCGTGCTCGTGCCGAAGCTATAAGCACAAGCGCTGCACGAAGGCGCGTGCTTGGACGGGGATGCTGAACGGTCGGAGCTCGCTCTTGTACCTTCTGCTCGCACTTAATTAAAGTAAAACGAAATACTCTCAACTTCAACGGCGTGCATTTAATATCTTTCCTCTGTTTCGGAATTCGGCCGCGAGGCCGCGCTAGTTTTCGCTGCGCACTTGAATGACTACCGTCATTCAAGTGCTTCTCTACTTCACGTATTTGCCGCTGGGTGGGGTCACCTCCTCTAGATCTGAGGATAACATGCTCCTTGGTACAGTGTTCGGTACATTTCCCGCATTGACGTCGACTTCAGCAAAAGCTACAAGCATGAGCACACAGGTTTCGGGAGTGCATCCGCTACACGTGCGATCGCGCACCAGAGGCAAATTTTAAAGCAAGGACTTCGAGTCTCTATTGGCGACGTGCGCGACCGAAAGCGTCGCTGTGGTCGGCCTTCCACGATTGGTCCAAAAGCTGACTATGACGTCGGAAAGGGTATACCATCGACGGAAATAAGAGGAATGAAAGAACTTTAATTTCGACGGTGTTGGCAGTGTTGCTTTGAGAGCGCAATGATTTCAGGCTTCTGCCATGCTATTTACAAACACCATCGAACTTGTTGTTCGCAAGGTAATGACGTCACAAGGGGGAACCATAGGAGGGCGCCACCAAAACATCTCGCCGCTAATAGGGGGCATTCACTGGACGCCATATTTAAGGGCGATGTTTAGGGCGCATGCTCAGAACGAGCTTACATTAATAGCCTGCTAAGACCGGCAATCTTGATGGTGTGGAATGCACGTTGCAAAAGAACTGTGGAAGCTCGCCGTCAGCACGCGCTCAGCAACCACGCACACAGATATGGCCGCCAGTGAATACTCCCTATAGCAATTGGTGCAGCTCACGCTTACAGGTTTGCAGACGACTGAGATGTTTTTCAACTGAATAGCTGTGCCATCATCGACACGTGGCTTTAGAAAGGGAATTCCTTGTGCAACCCAAGCCTTGGGCCAGTTGAGCAGAACACCGCTTGCTCTCTCTCTCTTTCTCTCTCTCTCTCTCTCTCTCTCTCTCTATATATATATATATATATATATATATATATATATATATATATATCCCGCGCCCATCATAGCACTGGATACAACTTCTGAGAAGTCGGTCGATGTAAATGGTGTTCTCTAAAACGGGGGTCAAGTTCTAAAGCTACTGAAGTCATATCTAAAGCCCCTTTATGCTTCAAAAGTAGCACAAGGTGCGTCAATGCACGAGGCACGTGCAACGTGCAGCCCTTTGGAAGATCATGGCGGCACTGCGCAGCATTGGGCTAGATTTAAGACGCCATCTTCTTCCCAAAAGTAGCGCGCGGCACGTGTCTCGAGCATGTCCACAACAATGAATGGCACCACTTTTTCCAGTACAAAGGGGCTTTAGTCATATCGGCATATATTTCTTTGTCTTTGGTCTTCTCTCCTTTTCCCATCCGTTTCTCGGCATGCGAATCCTGTCCTGCCACGGTACGAATCCTGCCACGGTGCGCTCTATCGCGGCCGTATCCCAGACTCGGACACTAAATAGCCGAGAGCTAGATCCTATGAATGATATGCATTTTAAAAGACAACATTAGTGCGCCTTAACCGAATTTATAGCCTGTGTGAACATGTTTTTTGTGATCCTGAGAAAACGGGGACTGCCCGAGGAAGTCGAGAAAGCACCGTTTACATGCAAGGGAAAAGTTGGAATATGCTTTAGACGTCGACTTACGCCGCCGCTTTAAACTGGCCATCGACGCTAATGTAGTACGTCGTGTACACGAAAAGAAGGTTTACGATCTCCCATGCCCCCCCCCACTCCTGGCATACTCACTCGGATAGCAGAAGGAGGGTGCGTCGGGAGCAGGCCACGGCCTCGTGGATGATGTCTTGAATCAGGAAGCCTCCCTTGAAGTTTCGGTCATAAGTACAAACTGTGAAGCCGTGGGCCTCCATCCTTGGAATGAGATGTTCATAGGCCCAACTGGAGTCTTTGCTGCTGAACGAGAGGAAGATGTCAAAGCTCTTCTCCTCGTCAAGGTCGTCTTCCTTGATACATTGAAGCGATCTGCAGAGGCCCCGCGCGTACAGCCACACTTTAATTTCCCGCTTGTACTTGAGGTAGACTGTGGATACAGTCAGGGCAGCGGCTGCAAGAACTGGAAGAAAGTATTTGTAGAGCTCGAGTTATTAAAGGATATACTGATTCACGAACATGACCTCGTAGCCACACTACTGTCCCTGCTGGTACAACATGTTCGTTCTGTACTGGGAGACCAGTGGTAACTATCGTCGGGCACCGGAACATGGTGCTTTAATAAACGTTTATTCTCTCTCTCTCTCTTTCTCTCGCATACCCGAGGAGTGAGCCTGGTGGGCCGAATGCTTCCTCGCTTTACTGTTGAAGAAATATTTCTTCCATTGCATTGTCCCTTTATTCTTATTTTTATTTTTATCTTCTTTTTGCTGTTTCTGTTGTTTCGCGTGACATTTAGAACAGCACTTTCCGATAACAAGTAGAATTTTCTCAAATTCTTTTCGGTGTTACTATTTTTTATATTTGTTATTTTTTGTTATATCTGTTACTATGTGTTACTTGTTACTTTCTTGTCACTATTCGATATATTTACACATGTTTTCCTGATACGCCACAAGAACAAAAACAAAAAAGCAATGGTTTGTACGGAGAAGAACGAGTAATGTGTTGCCTCCACTTTTAGTCGCTTATTCCCTGTAGTCGTAATTTATACTCACATTTCTGCCCTCATCACAAATTACAGATCTTTCCTCTTGACTTCAAATACAACAAAAACGGACAGGAACTAGTGTATATTTAAAGCATATGCAGAGTGCAAATGGTGAAGTATTCGATCTACAAATATACCGTCGTTTATACCATGCATACGCTTTAACTATACAATAGTTCTTATTTGTTTATCTTCATAGGCCGAATATTTTTCTATATTATACTAAGACGTCGAATTTCGGAAATGCCCGCGAGAGCGTAACTTCGCTACCGGGAGCTACCGTTCAGTCTGGAGTAATCGATTACATCAGGCTTTATACTTCGCAATTAATTACCACCTTATAGTCTACGCAGGGTGTTGTTTTTTTTTTTTTTTTAGTGTTAATAATATATTTCTCTAACAAGCATTTTTGACTTTTTCAGAATTTGCAAAAATGTAATTCACCGCGAAACGCAAAGGTCGTTTTTAGTACTCGTTCAATAAGAAGTGAACGAATTAATCCGGAGAGATTAACTCTTTTCCCGTCATTTGGTTTCATTTGCAACTGTTCTTTTGATTAGAATAGAAAAAAAAAAGAGTAAATTGGGAAAACGTACCGAGCATAAATATTCCGTACGATACTGCTTTCGAGACAACTGAAGGGCAAAGTTCTTTCTGTCCCACCTCCATGAAAGACTTCAGGGAGACTAAAACGTTGAATCCTTCGGCGCAGAAAATCTCGTCAGCATCTTGAATCTGCAAACCACCAGTCCCACAATTCAGTCTAATGCTCTTAATGCCAACATATTTATACAGTTCACAATGACTAACGGAAATGTTAATATCAGCTGTCGGCTCTCTGAAACGAGCACAATTTACTAGGTATTACCTCAAAAGGGTTTCAGTTTCACAATATACCCTTTTTAAAAGTCAGTCACCTAGTAGCAGTCTCAAAACCTCCAATAGTTTCGCTATAATGGCGGTGAGAGGAGAAAACGATTGCCTAAATCGAGCACCATTGACTTCATGAATGGAAGACGACGTACTATCGGGGGGAAAAGTATTGCGCACAGAGGAGCGCGTGGCTCGCGGTGCAGCCTGGAAGTGAGCCTACGGTCGAGGGTGCGTGGCCTACTCCGATGTGTTTATGTCCTTCGCTCGGCGCTCCCCAAGCTTCGGCAGTGCGCCTCTTACCCCCCATTCACACTGGAAGCGGATCCGCGTTCGCGAAGCGGTTGCGAACGCGGTTCTATAAAGATCCAGTACAATTGCACGCGCACTCGATGACATCAAATGCGCGTGCAATTGTACTGAATCCTTATACAACCGCGTTCGCAACCACTTTGCGAACGCGGATCCGCTTCCAGTGTGAATGAGCCCTTAGTGCGCTGAAAGCTATCACCGCTATCTTTGCTCGCTCGGCGCGTGCGACGCGAGGAAGCACATAGCAGCTAAAGCGCGAGCTGGCTGAGCGCAATTTAGCTGCTATTTCCCACTTTCAGGTATACGGTTTCGAAAACATTCGCTTTTTCTGGTGTTGAGGGTTCTGTAATACAGCATGACAGGTTTGGCTATAGACAAAGTGGATAGACTGACTTTTAAAAAGGGTCTGTTGAAGTTCGGTTTTTGGTCATGAAAGTATTTTATCCCTGTCCATTTAAACCCTTCCAACACTTAAATCTGTTAGTTTCTTTTTGTGTGTGTGTTTCTTACTACAAATAAAAACAAAGTTATGGAAAAAAGTGGTCAGTTTAATAAAAGCGTGCGATGTTTTGGAAGGGGACCATTTTTCGTCAAACAAAACTTAATAATAGTATTTGAAAACAAAATGCACACGGTCAGGGTTCTAGTTTAGGTCTAATTGACGTTTCGAGCAGTTCCCGTTCGAAACGTCGAATATACTCTCAACTGTAACTCTGACAGTGTTCTGACTGCGTGAGTACGAACGGAAACTAGACGCAGCTAAAGCACCACCCAAAGCGGCATGTTCGTCCTGAGATTTCAAAATAGATGCTGGATCGTTTTTAATCCGTGAAGTGACTTATTAGAGCAATGATAATTTGAACGTGACGATGAACATACTTACCATGTCGCTGTGGCCCTCTGCCCACTGCCTGAATGCATAATCTTCGCAGTCACAGCTCCAAGGGTTGCCAGCCAGCCATATACTTGTCAAGTTGAGCGTCGACACGAGGTCCAAGGGGAACCGCTTCAATCTGTTATCTCTCAAATCCAGAACAGTAACGTTTTCTGGAATTGTAGATCTGTCAACACTCGATAGCAGATTTCGCCTCAAGCTTAGAGAGCGGAGACCCGGCGCTTTGGCCACGAGACGCTCGTCTAGATGTTCCACACTGTTTCCGCTCAAGTCCAACTTCCATGCGTTTTCTGGAAACGTTCTCGGTAACTGCTTCAGGTTCCCACCAGAACAATTAACGTATACCGCCCAACCAGTCATGCTGTCCTCGTGGCACTGGCAAGTGCATCCATTGTCACAGTCCTCCGGCCACGCGACAAGATCATTCACTGTGAGGTTATAGAGCATGCGTCCTGCCAGCCGAGGGGGGCTTGCACACACCGGAACGCCTCGTTTCGTACCCGGGGGGAGACTATCCAAGAGCCACGTGATTTGACAGTCACATAACAGTGGGTTACCTGAAAGAAAGGGCGTAATAACATAATAGCAGTGTTCCACCCCTAAGGAGTGCAGTACTCAAAAGAGAGGAAACAAAAGCGAGCAAAACATATCACGCACCCTCCACAACGAGTTTTTCCAGAATCTTCAGTGAGTTTGGGAAGCTCTTCCGGTGCATCGTTCTCAGTTGATTGCTGTGAAGACCAACAGCTTGGAGATTCACAAGTTGCGTAAACGCTCCATCGACACGACTTATATTGTTCCGAAACGCGTAAATGTAAGCCAGTCTCTGAACATCAACGAAATCATTCCTATTCAGGGACAGGAGACTGTTGTTGTTCATATGCAGCGTCCGAAGCTGTGGCATGTGCCTCACCGACCCATTCAAATGAAGCAACATGTTATGATCAATAAGCAAGTACCGCAAACTAACGAGTCCCTCGAAAGCCCTCTGCCCGAGCCATTCTATCATGTTCTCGCCGAGATTCAAATGATTTAGATTACCGTTAGCATGGAAGGTCCTGTCCCGAATATATTGAACACGATTATTGTTCAGCGAAAGTTTCTTCAAGTCAACAAGTTGCGTGAAGGCTTCCGTGATATCTTCGATGCTGTTGTAAGATAGATTAAGGCTTACCATCCTCCGCGTTCTATTAAATGTACCTGACAAGGACGTAATCTGATTTTCTGCAAGGTTACAAATTTCCAGTCTCTTATGAAAAGCGGATTCGTTGATGTAAGAGATCCTATTGGACGACAGATCCAGTTGAGACAATCTTTCGAGGGCTGAGAATGCTAAAGAGTGAATATCAGATATGCTACAGTTTCGTAAAAAGATAGTCTCGATTTTAGTGTTGCCAGAACCGAATTCAGCTATCGAAGTGATCAGGTTATTTTCAGCCCGAAGGCTCTTGAGGTTGTCGTGGTTTTCTTTTGTGAATTCGTTGAGTTCTGTGATGTCATTATTGTACACGTAAACAACCTGAAAACAAAATGAAGTCAGTGTCACCCTTCAAGGCTAAACAAATATATTGTTGAATAGAGTAGGCTTTGTATCTCATGCACCACAGATTTGTATAAAATGTCTGGTTTTCTCTGCTGACACCGACATTGCTACCAAATTCACAACAGGGGCTTTAAAGCTTGCGTACTACATAAACAAATTAATAATATTTAGGACAACAATAAAATAAGCACCTCAAACAATTTCACACATTGTCAAATGAATGCATGGTTTATGAAACGATATTACTGCTTGCAATATCTTAAAATTAACTGTTGATGAACACCGCACTGTATTTCCCACATACCTTTTATTTACAATGACAATTGTGAATAGAAAATGTAAAAAAAAAAAACGCATAACCGAATATAAATAATACACTGATAACAGATGACATTTTAAGGAAAGTATTTAGCATCATCCTCAGGATTTTGTTGGCGGTGTGCATTTATTACCCCCTCCCCTCCCCACATTCTTAAGATACTACCGCCATGTTTCTTATTGCAAACTTTCGCTGTATGCCCTGGCTACCACAAGAATTTTAAATTAGTAATTATTAGCTGGCGAGAGCACAGAAACCTAATAGGGTTTTTAGGGTGGAAAATATCGTGATATTTTTAATCGCGAATTTTTAATCAAATAAACCAGATGTGCTTGATTCAATATTATGTATTCGATTTCAGTCTGATTTATTTTATCTCAATCAGATTTACTTGACCTAAATCACTGTGGCTATAAAATGCTGATTATTTACCCCTAGGTGTAATTTTTTTTTTTTTTTTTTTTGCATAGCGGACTGATATGAATTCGTTCGATCACTGATAAGAATGTAGAAAAAAATAATGACTGTAAATGTAAAGTACCGTTTAATTAACAACGTAATACCCGCCAGACTTGATGTATTTATAAAACCATCAGATTTCTTTTATTTTTTTTTTTTTTTACTCAATTGCTGTATAGGACATTGGATTTCTAGGCTTCGCGTGCGTGTGCGTGTGTGTGTGTGTTTTTATTTTTTGCGTTTTAATTAAGCAAGCTGTATTGGAGTGACAAATTCAGGTGTAGCTGAGAGCGTTCAACATAGGTTCGTTTGATCGTTATTTTCAACCGAATTATTTCTATAGCTATAAGAGGATTTGTGAACTCGTGAAGTTAGACTCGTTGCACAACAGGAGAACAATCCGTGAACTGACATATTTGTATGAGATTGTAAATGGCATAATTGATTCCCCAGAGCTACTTAGTCACATCTACTTCCACGTTCCTCGTAAGTCTTGTAGACTTTTGTACTTTGTTTTACCCTACCGACTTTTACCATGCTGCACCCATGACACGCCTACAACTGACTTATAACCATTTAGAACAGATTTGTGCGAATGCTAGCCCTGATATTTTTTTATGAAAAGCGTAAATTTCGTAAGTGTGTTGAGGCTATTGTTTTTTCCTAACGTTTCGCTTTTATCCTGTTTAACATTTTACTACTCATTGACTCATTGATAAGTGCACCACTAAGGAAGCGTTAAGCTGTTGGTCGGTCACTGAAAATAACAATAAATAAATAAATAATTCTGTTGCAGTAGGACGTTACGTAGCTGGCGAACAAAGTGTAAGGTTCTCGTTTAATTATCCTGTGATCTAAATACAAAAAAGCACAGAACAAGTATCAAACGATAGACAAAAGGTAAATTAAAAAAAAATATATATATATATATATTTTTTCGAGATTATTTTTGCGGGAAAGGTTTGATTTCAATCGTCACAGTAAAGTTGGTCTGATTTAAATCATAACTTAAATCATGATTTAAATAACGATTTAGATCATACTGATTTATATGTTCCGCCCCGGGGTCAGTGTGCAAACTAAACTTCCCAAATGCGCAACCGTGGGTAGAGTTTACACAAAACAAACCTAATAAAAGTGAAGAAATGTGAAGTAAAAGGAGCTACACCAAATACGTCAGGTACTTGGTTTCATCATACGTCAGAGCGCAGTCATGGGCTAGAAAACGCACACACGCATAGAAAAACGCGAGGTCAAGGCGTCTTCCCAAGGTCGTTGAAGTCAGCGGCGATGGCACACGCACAGAAACACGGTCCATGCCGTGACGTTCCGCTTTTGACGCTCCTTGATTGATTCCCTTGGCTCCTATGAGGAGCGCAAGTTCGTTTGCTTCTTAAGCAGGGGGTTACGGGGACGTCAGAAAGACGCCGAGTTTTGGTTGCCTCCGATTGGAAGGAGAATGGGTAGATCTCAAGACAACTAGCCTCCATCAGAACCAATCACAGCTCGGTGTCTTTCTGACGCCAGCGCAACCCCTGCGCAAGCAGCACCTTGCGCTGCGCATAGCGCCGGCTGCGCTCTGTCTTGTAGTGGAACGAACCACGGTACCTTCTTTTCTTTGACTCGAATCACAGAGAATCATATACTTACCTTAAAATAACTACGATACAAAACGGACGGTGGCTACAGACTAGGGAGGTGTGCGAATACCGGTTCGAATCGAATAAGGCAGTGTCATCCCCAATTTTGACACAGTTCAGAAGACTGGTTGTTGTGGTTGTTGTCGTGGCTTTTCCTTCCATTGCGAAGGTCATGAATGACGCAGTGCTAGACTAGTCGAACCGGTATTCGCCACACGGTTTAGTATAAACTTAAATATTTCTGTCACTGAGCTGGGCTGCGACAAAACATCTTTAGAATCGCTACATTAAAAGACGAGCTTGGCTCTGTCAGTACACTTGCACATCGAAAAGAAAACTATCTTACCTTCAAAAACGGCATATCACGGATGGAGTCCCCGATGGCTTTGATACGGTTGCCGTGTAAATCAATATGTTCTAAATGTTTTGTATTCTTAAATAGAAGACGGGGAATGTCCTCGAGTCTGTTATTTTGAAGATACAGTTTGCTAAGGTGCACTTGGTTCTTCAGGGCATCTTCATCAATCTTCTCGATGAAGTTGGAACGAAGGTTAAGTTCTTTAAGCTCGCCCAATGAATCCAACTCATCGTTCACAGTCTTAATTAAATTTCTCGGTATGTGAAGACTCTTCAGCGCTTTGAACGATTTCAAAGCGCGCGGTATAGTCGTGAGCATATTATTTTCTAACATCACCTTCGACACTCTGTTGATCCCATTGAAGGCGGTATCCTCAATATATTTCAATGAAGAGTGCTGTATAACGAGAACAGCAACGCTTAGATTAGAAAACCACGAGGCTGGCAGGATTTCTACATTGACACCACTAAACGTGAGCTTTCGCATATAGGTATTTTGAAGCCTGTCCATATCTTCCTTCAAATCTGTACCGTTCTCCCACTCTACCATCTTGACGAAGTTCGAGCATCTGACATTAGCACCACTCACGACAAGCGAGCATTCGCACTGTTTGAGAGCAGGACAGGTGGTATTCACGCGTCGCCAGTTTCTGGCTTCACACAGTTCACTCACGGACGCCACAATTAGAACCACAAAAAAGCTGTTCACGCCACTGAAGCACATCTTGCGACAATTTAAAGGGAAATCTTACGCCGACAGCAGGCACAAACAGCGCACAGCGACGGTCCCAGCACATGTGAGATAAAAACTCCGATAGCAGGCACAAACACCGCACGGCGACGGTCCCAGCACGTGTGAGATAAAAACTCTGTCCACAGGCAGGGAGGCGGATTCTGTCGCTGATAAAAAGAGCTCAGGAGGGAAAGGCCGCAGCATACGTTGTCGGTGTCGCTATCCGCTATACGCGCAAAGGGCGCCCTCCGTCCATTTGATATGTGACTCGGTTTGTTATCGAAGCAAGTTACCGAAGCAGGACGGCACAAACTGTGACTTGGCGTGGAAGCCTTATTGGTTTATCGCAGCAGCTAAAGAGCAGCCACCAATTAAAAAAATAAAAACGGAAAACATTAGATTCAAATCTGCAGCCCCTAAACAAATATTACGGTAATGAAGCATAAACATGCTTAAAACGCTTGCTAGAAAAAACCGTCTTATTTCGCTCGTATCTCCACATCAGAGCGCACTTGCAATGTTAATGAGATGACGTGAGTATTGCACAAACAAACAATCATGCACTTCAAATATGCCTTACTCGAAAAATGAAGTTGATCCCCGATTATAGCTGTGTTTATCGGATGGCCTGAAAATCGGGCCGAATCAAAAATATATCAACTCACAATAAGAGCAATCCCGCTTAGAATACTCCTGAGTTGCATATTCAAAGTGCGCAGTGTCCGCACAAACAGCTGCTAGGAAAAAAAAAAAAAAAAAAAAAGTTTTTAGCGCTTTGAAAACCTAGCTTCAACTAACAAACCCGCAGAGAGCGAGGGGTGAAATCTGACGAGTCACTAGAAATCAACAGCGGAGTACAACGTACAAAAAAAAGAATAGACTTTTTTTTTTTTCTTTTTGCGGCGTTTGCAGAATAGCGCCTGTGGAAACTGATACACCGGTCCGAGAAAGTCGCCTACTTGCAGGAAACGCGATTCCGGTAGCGAACATGACGGAGAAAATTCTTGGTACGTCTAATCTGAAACTTACGTACGAAACGTCCGCCTCGTTGAGCAACCGCAGCATTATTGGCGCCGTGCGCGTGACCAAAAGCGTCGCGGTGATGGAGCTTCCACGATTGGTCAAACGATCACCATGACGTCTTCGGTAGGATTATTTCCGCTCTCATGGAGAGAAATAAAAGCAAAATCTGACTCTCAACTCGGACGGTGTTGATCTAGGAGCGCGATGACTAGGCGCTCCCACCGCGCTTTTGACGCACCATCGAACTTGTTGCACGTTGCTCATGACCTTGGTCCTGACGTCAGAGAGAGGAACTAAAGACGGTGCCACCGAAACATCTCGGTGCCAATGGAGAAATACCGCAAAGCTGCTTATGACAAGAAATAAAATTTAATTAGGCTGGTTTACTGCGTAATCTCTGATATTATTATTTCTTCTGGAAAAACATTTGAATGCCCATTTAATATTTGTTTTTTTAATAATAATTGCTACATCTGAAAAAAAAAAAAAAAGCTATCACCTGAGGGAGGGATCATCCAACATATTTGATAAACTATAAAATGACAAACGGGCAGAGTAACAAATAAATGTCAAGAAATGAACATTTCTTGCCTCAGAATCAAACTATACACGCAGCCAAGAACTCGACTAGTTTTGCTAAAAAAGAAGGAACGAACTGAACATTTATCTGTTGGATAAAAGGTAACAAGGGTGATAAGCACAACTTTTATGCGGCAAGAAATTAAGTTGAAATTAAAATATTTAATAGTTTGTCCTTTACTTGGAAGAATGATCGATGGCAAGGCGTGTAAAAACGATAACGATTACATTCACAATAGACAACGAAATTAAGTGCTTCTATAAAAATTCACTTTTCCCCCTCTTCACACCTTTTAAACTCCTCTCCTACGTCGTCTGGTGCTTTCGGCGGACCAATTACCAGCACATCGTTTGACTAAACCCGTCAATATTCCGACAACCACGACCACCACCACCAACACTAGAGATATTGACGGCGATATTCTGGCTATCTTTTCTTCTATTCTGCATAACAAAATGTGAAATAAACTCCTGAAAACCGTTACACAAGGGGCGGGGACAGAAATTAGACTCGGACTTGGGAAAGAAAATAAGGCAAGAGTTCTAACAGCCGCAACGATACAACCAGACACGACCTACATACATCGAATTAACATAGGAATGGCAAGACACAGAAATGGCAAGACGCAGCAATGGCGTTCTGCCAGTACGATCCGACGTCTGCTCATACTAATGATCTCGTAAGATTTAAAACGGGGCTGTGTCCTAGCAGTCACCCGTGGGCAGCACGAATATCCTACAATAGCTCGGTGCGGACCTTTAAAAAAAAAAAAAAAACACCAGAAAAAAAAAATCGTTTATTGCGCCCATCTATCGAGTCCTATATCTAACTGAAAGTGCATGGAAGACTGGGGGTGGCGTCTTGTGCTTCGCAACTTCACCGTTTTCAAATAAACTATTTCCCACTGTTTTTCGTGGTTCACCATTCTCCCCGCTGCGAGTGTGAGCTCATAGCCGAGGCATCCCTGCGACATGAGCACACGCTCAGTAGGTCATCACCTTGAGGCATTCACTCCAATTGAGAAGACAATTTGTGAACGCAGTATTATTAAAATTTAAAAAAAAAAAAAAATTGTTCCGACCGCGAGAGAAGAATTACAACTGAACCCTCTTGATTGTGAGCACGAGTTGAATGGCCACGGATTATGCTCAACCGAGAAACTGTTACAAGAGAGTCGTCCGTGTGCTACCGGTACAATAACGAAACGGTCCTTAACATGTAGACGACTATCGGCCTGGAGTGCCGAAACAAATAGTGTGGACACTTGCTTCGTTGTCTATTAATTGCTTCTTACGCGCCATGTGGCGATTTTCTAGTGCTTGCACAGGAAGTGACCATCAGGCATCCACGCAACTGATCAAGAAACTAGGAAGGCGAGGAGCGATTTCATGTGACGTACTTTCGGCTCGAAATCTCGCCGGTTGGTGAACTGTTGCCCTACGTCTTTCTGTGCGCGGAGGCAGTGTCTCCAGATCACTCGAGTCCTTTCATGCCATGATCGACTACGCCAGCCAAAATAATTTAAAAAAAAAAGCATCAGCTAGTATACTTGATTTTTACACATACCGATTTTTATTCGGACTTAAGACGGGCCTGCGATCGAGATGTCGGCGGCCAAAATGGCCCCCGTATAGATGCCGCCGAGGCGACTCCGAAACAAAAAACGAGCAGAGAGTTTTGGGTTTATGTGACGCAAATATGTCCCCCGTTGTACTTACTGTGTTCTGTCGTGGACAGAGCCACTCGCCATGCTGTTGAGTTTCATCAACACCCAGAAACAATGCCAACAATCAATTGTCTGCGTGTAAACGTATGGCTACAGTGGTGGGCGCTGTTCGTCAACGTGGCAAAACGCGGCTTACCGGAAGTGAAAAGTCGTTTCGGGAAACCGCCCTATATAGCTCTAGAAGCTGCTTCCACTGCAAAGCGACCCAGGGCCGGCGCCTTCCAAAACTTTAACCTTGCGGCGCTCTTGACCGCAGAGCATGGCGCTCTCACCGAAGTAGGGGAATGGAGTGTTTATTTTTGTCTTCTCTTTTCACGTTGCATTTAAATATGCGCGATAATGTGAATGGATGAAAAGGCTTTTACAGGCGGTAGAAATGTGAATGATGAACGTTGGTGACTTTTGGTTCAAGGCTCGGTACTTTCTGGTTGGACCGTCATCGGGTACTCCTGCGAACTCAGGATAAGCTTGCGTTTGGCGTCCTTCTTCGGCAGCGAGTAAATGAGCTTGTCCCAGAAATGTGGTTCGCCCCAGCGGAGGTAGTTGGTGGCCTGCATATAAAGTTGCAGTTCTTCGTCCACCAAGCCCGGCGCCAGTTCGTCCACGAGGACCAGGATTAGACGGTTGATCTTGTCCTCAAGAGCCTGGTGGTGCGCCACCCGGAACTCCCATCGGCACCACTCGCTCTCCACAAAGTTCCTGTTGAAAAAAGTTGAAAACATTTGGGATCCATTGATAGAAATTCTATAACAATTCTTCGGTTGTTTGGTGCCCCAGCATAACAGCGAAGTTGTGATGTGGTGGTACATATACGTGAGGGATACAAAAAAAGTAAAAAAGAAAACTTGTCAAAAGGGTTGTCAGTCATTCTACACTGTACAGCACATGAGTGAGGTCACTCTTGAAAAAAGCAGAATCAACAAAAACATTCATACAGGGGGACGCTGACTGGATGTTTCCCAAAGCACCAATTCATAATCGGCGATAGTAATCCCTAGAGAAGGGGAACAAAGGAGGACATAGGACAAACACAAATCTCCAAACACAGCTATGTGACTGGTGCGCGACTGAAACAATCCACCTGGTCCTGGTATCGAACCAGGGACCTCTGCATATCCATTGGAGCGCTCTACCAACTGAGCTAACCAGGAGTTAGACGTCAGTAGAGCAAACAGGTTTTATCAGCTGCTACCAGTCTAGCACGAACAAGGGTGAACAGCCTGCATTTTAAGGTTATGGTGATAATGCAATTAATGGCAAAGGTGCAAGCGAGCTGGACAAGAGTGACCAGCTTGCTTGCACCTTTGCATGAATTACATTATCATCATAATCGGCAAATGGATCTGTAAGGCAGCCCAATAAATGTTTCCTAACACGATTTGGATGAACCTGTCACCAAATGCATTAGGTATTCTTAATATTTTTAGAGGTTAGGAAACGCCAAAAAAAAATATGAGGCAACTATACTGCTAAGATCCACTGTATGTTCCTATAATCCTGCTAAATTTCTTTTGAAACTGGCGCAATTGTTTCGTGGATAAAGCGATTTAGATGCGGGACCTTCGGATCCGCCCCATTCGAAAATGTTGACGTGTTTGTTGGGGTGGTGACGACATCCGCCCAACGCACGGCGTCCCCTTGCACGCACTCACAGACTTGGCTCTCTCGAAATCTCGCCCTTCAGCTTCCACGTTTACCTTCCGCGTTTCGAGCACGCCGTTTCGAGACGATGGCAGCGTCGCTCGCTTCGTCGGAGTCTTCGACACTGATCGCAGCAGCGATGAGCCTGATGTTATCGAAAGATGCTGAAAGCTGGTCATTTTGACTTTGACCGGCTTGCGACCAGCTCCAGCGACGACGACGAGATCGTCACGGACGAACTCGCCGTCGCCCGCAACGATCGCGCACATGCATGCAGGGTGGAAGATCGAAGGGCACGGAGACGTCGAGTAGCGGTGTGGGTGTGCGATCGTACCGTTGCGAGGCGAGCTTGGGCGAGTATGGGGCGCCAAGAATAAGATAGCATTAAACTAAATGTGACTATCACGTGGTTCATGAGCACCATGGTGTGACTAACTTGAGCAGTGCTGCCTGGTCGCCAGACGAAAATGACCAAGATTCGTAAATTCATTATTACGATTACTAGATCTAAAACTCGCGAAACTTTGTGTATGAAAATAAGTAACCTATGAGCATTCCATTTCAAGAAAAATTTACCTGTTTAATTTTTATGTCCTAACCCCTTTAATTAAACCCTATGAATCCGTGGGTTGCAACATGGCAAGCTCTCACTCACTTGGTCAGCAACAGGAGAGTGCGTCTCGAGCAGGACACCGCTTCATGGATGATGTCCTGGAGTAGGAAGCCTCCCTTGAAATTGCGGTCATAGGTGCAGACCGAGAAGCCATGGGCCTCTACGCCGGGGATGAGCTGTTCGTATGCCCACATAGAGTCCTTGCTGCTGAACGAGAGGAAGACGTCGAAGATCTTGTCTTCGTCTAGGTCGTCTTCCTTGATGCACTGCAATGAACTGCATACTCCGCGCGCGTACAGCCATACTTTGATCGCCCGCTTGTGCCTGAGGTAAGCAGTCGATGCCGCCAGGGAGATTATCAACAACACTGAAACACACGACAAAACAAATAAAGAAATTTCCATAGTCAAACTTTCGTAAGTGGCAAATGCCAACAAGCTATAATGCAATGTACACGTCTGGGACAGTCTGGAAGGAGTAATTTTGTAGTTATCACTCAAATATATATTTTCGATGTACAGTAACGATGTATAGCAAATATTTGTACAGCAAATATAAGCGATGTGCAGCAAATACAGGTTTTTTTTTTTTTTTAAAGCTTTACAGGTTTCTTTAAAAAAGTTGTGAAATCTACACTTAAAGGAGCTGTGCAACGATATTCAATTGGAATGTTTTTCTCTCTACACGAGCTTACTGGCACACCTGGGACTCAAGGATACTCACACGCAACGCCATTGGCCAAGAAACTCCTTTGTTGCGGTGTAATTTCAAGGACAAAAGCGATCATTTTCATTCAATCTCTCCTTTGCAAAATTTGATGACGTAACTCGGGGATCGCAGTACACCCAAGTGACGATATTTGAATGCGGTTCATAGATTGGACCCGAGCATTGCGTGAGCACTCGACTTGGGCTCGTGACAATTGCTAGCTCGAGAAGCATTCGGGTAGTGACCGGTGTCCAATCGCTGCAACGACGACAACAGCCGAGCCATAACAATGTGTGGAACTCAGCGCGTGTCCTGCGCTTTGCCAACCCCAGCGCGTGGCTATGATCAACACTGGCGGCATATAATCGGCTCCAGATCACGTGGCCGCTTGTTCTAGCTGCGAGTTGAGGGGGTGAACGCTGCTCGTTTTTCTTAATTTTTTTTCTGGGACTTCTATTGCGTGGGGTGAAAAACGAACGCGTGTTTCATAGGTCATTAACGTTAGGTATCCGTTTTAAGCGGTATTTGTGCACAGTACAAAAATTGTTGCACAGCTCCTTTAAGCGGTTTGTGCAGGTGAGTTATACTGCAAGGAGGACAAAGAATAAGAGGCTAATCGTAATATCAGTTAGCTAATTAAATAAATTTTGTTAATTAACTGTTTAATTAATAAAAATAGACATATGGTTCCAATTAAAAACTTGCTGAGCGTTATCGAAAACCACTAAATCAGTCATTTTCAGAAAGACTTTCAGCGCGTGAGAAGCGTAGTAGTGCACTAAAGTTGCCACTCGTGGAGCAGGTACAAAGCTAGCGCTTGCGATAAGGCGCCCGCGCGATTTTTCCGTCTCTTATCTAGCCCCAGCCTTGTACCTGCTCCACGAGTGGTAACTTTAGCGCACTACTTCGCTTTTCACGCGCTCAAAGTCTTTCTATAAAGTACTGATTCAGGGGTTTTGGGCGACGCTCAGCGAATTTCTAATTGGAACCATCAAACTATTTTCAATAATTCAAAAGTTAATTAACAAGTTTTACTTAATTACCCGACTGATCGTTATGATGAGCCCTATATACTATGTCCCCCTGTCCGTATAAGTCACATGAACAAACCGCGTAAGTGAAGCTTTCACAGCTTTTTTTAAACAAATCTGGAAAGCTTAAAAAAAAAAAAAGAACACCCGGTATATGGTTCGATGTAGTATCTTTATTGTTCAATTTAACGTTTTATTCTTATGCAATGATTCCTAGTGACCTCTCGTCTTCTCCTCTCCCTCAGCCTCCTACGCCACTGCACACACACGCACACGAAGCGAAGCGAAGGCGCATCGGCACCTGCCGAAAGTGTCAGTAATTGAATGGCTCAATCAGTAGACATCTCATATTTCTGACAATGAGGCATCCAATAACTGGTGATTTTGGCAGTTACATGCGCACAGTAGCGCCTCCCCACGAAACAGTTCGTAGGCTGCCGCCAGGACGCTTTCACCAGACAACACAGTTCTAGCACCGTAAATCATCAACACAAGTTTTATATGAAAGAGAGCATTTTCGGAATGTGACTGTATTGTCAATAGTTTCTATTAAAAACATAAATAAATACCTACCCAAAAGAGGTAGTCCGTAAGACAAGATTTTAGACATCATTGATGGGCACAAGTCTTTTTGTCCGAGGTCCATAAACCGTTTAAGTGAAACGAGCTGGTTTGGGCCTTTGGCGCACGTAATTTCTTCGGCATCTTCAACCTGTGCAAATCAGAATGCTTTATTTTGCACCAGCTTCGCTTCAGTGATTCCGAACTGTTAGGAGCACAACTGGTTAAAGAACACTTCTGACATGTATGCACGAGCTTTCTCGATTTTATAGCTTATTTCATATAGCCGATAATGAGCAAGTCAGAGTCATAGCCTAATGGCTCTTACACCAAATAAGCCTCAGAGCTCAGTTAGTAGACAATGTTAAAAAAAAATTAGTTAAAAAATATTGATGGGCTAATTGAAACAATCGTAAATGATCAAATGCAGCGCTTTCAAAAATCCGCCAATAAGTAATATTGCTAATCAACTTTGCGGGGACTGATCTGTGAAACACTATAAGAGCACACACAAAGTGACAGAGGTAGTATTTTCACCTGGGGGAAGAAAAGTACACGAAAAAGGTACTAGTGACCGCATTACCAGAGTTGTGTCTAACCCTTCAATTTCCTCGTTTTCATTTCACCCTCTTTCACACAGAAACTGATTTCGAGCTCGCAGTTAACACCTAACTTCGCCATCGAGCTTTTTCATTCTCCATAATATCGATTAATCGTACCACACAACAGTGAATGCATTTATACCCACACACGACTTCAGGCATTTTTTAGGCTCATCTAATAAGTAGCGACACTGTGAAAGGCACGATCCTCCATGTCTCGCTCTCCTTATCTGACTTAATTTGTTGTCTATGATAATCGCGACAGACAACCACAATTATAAATGCAGACTTACAACATCTGTGTAGGCCTCTGCCCATTGCCTGAATGCGTAGTCCTCACAGTCACAGTTCCACGGATTCCCAGCCAACTCTAGGATGGACATGTTAAATTTCGAAACCAGATCAATGGGAAAACGAGACAGCCTATTTCCTCGAAGGAAAAGCTCGTCTGTCCCTTGGGGGATCTCAGAAGGATCGATGCTTGACAGTAAGTTGTTGCTGAGATTGAGCAGGCGCAGGAACGGTGCCTTTTTCGCGAGACCTGCGGTGTTTGAGGGCCCAGAATCCAGGGATTCCAATTTGTTCCCGCTCAGATCCAGGGCTCTGGTGTCGGCGGGCAACGTGGCGGGAAGCTGCGTCAAGTCTCTGTCGGAGCAGTCCACGAACACGTGTCTGCCGAAGGCGCCGTCGTCGACGCATTCGCAGATGCAATTCGGGTCGCAGCCTTCTTTCCACGTTGTTAGATTCTCCAAGGTCAAGTTGTAAAGAAGGTTTCCTTCCAGCCACGCGGGACCTTGGCACATGGGCACTCCGCGCTTTGTTACGTGAACCGCTTCAGTCATAAGCCAGGAGAGCAGACAGTCACATACAATTGGGTTTGCTGCAAAGGGTTTCGAGGCACAGAAATAAATGGGATAGCAGTGTGAGAGCTTCAAATAAGCGTATCAATGAACTCTTCGCGAAACTCAGTCTCCCCGTACTTGACTATTCGTCATTAGCTCGCCACCCGAGGCTTCCCCCTGCCTCGACTCCTTGGCGTATCCCCCTATTTCCATCTCCGCGTTTTCGGACGTTTCACCTCAAAAGTCAGATCGCCATCGACACTACGAGCCGATCGGACCAATAAAGCAGCACCCAAAGCGCGTCGTCACTGCGTTTCTCTACACACACATCGTAACTCGATGCGTGTGTCGTCGCAAGCTTATTTATTTTATTTATTTATTTATTTTATTTATTGTACCCTCAGGGCCCGAGGGCATTACAGAGGGGAGTGGGTTACAAAGTAAAATCACTAAAGAACAAAATGACAACCTAAGAATAGAAACACGAACATAAGAATTTTTAACTTAGAAAAGTGGTTAAACAACGCTTAAACATGATGGCATCTGTTACAGACACAACTGACGATGGAAGGTGGTTCCACGTGATTGTTGTTTTGGGGATGAATGAATTATAAAAAGTAGTGGTTTTACAAACAGGTAGACCGATTTTGTGTTGGTGATCGACGCGTGGCGAGACATATGAGGGAGGAGTTAGTAATTTTTGATGCAAGGAAGAATTGTGATGATAAATTTTATGAAACAGACAAAGACGGGATAACTCACGACGTGAAGAAAGGTTAGGTAGGTTTAAAAACGTTTTCATGGATGTTACGCTTGCACTACAAACTACTATGTTCTAGTGAACATAGAGAGCGCCATGGCCTTACGTTTTTAAATTGTTTGTATGTGATTGTGTATCTTTCAGCCTTTGTCTGCGCTCTATACTTATAATAAAAGCACGTTATACCACTCCGAAATATAGCACAAACGCTCATTTCAAAAGACCAAACGACAAGCGCGCTCTTAACATGGCTATTCGGCTTTCGATTCTGTTTGCGGCAGTCATGGGCGTGTATGTAATATATATATATATATATATATATATATATATATATATATATATATATATATATATATATATATATATATATATATATACTAGAGAAAGTTGAACAGGAGTGTAAGCACTCACCTTCAATGACCAGGGTTCGCAGTTTGTTTAGTGACCGAGGGAAACTTTGCCTGTGAACGGCCTGCAGCCGATTTCTCTGTAGCAAAACCACTTGCAAGTTTCTCAGGCTTCTGAACGCACCATTGACGCTGGTTAGGTTGTTACGAAAGGCATAAATAAAGCCTAGCTGCGGATCATTGTCGAAGTCGCTCGGTTTGAATACCTCCAAATGGTTGTCCTCCAGGTAAATATATTTTAGCATGGGCATGTGGCTGAGGGAACCATTCAGCGTCAGAAAGAGATTGTTATTCATTAACAGCAGTTTCAGGTTAACAAGTCCCTTAAAGCTCTTTTTCCCTAGCCACCGTATCTTATTAAAGCTCAAGTTCAAGCGTTTAAGGTTACCACTGTTTTCAAATGTTGAATCCCCAACAAATTGTATCTCGTTCATTGTTAGTGTCAATGACGTCAGGCTTCGTAACTCTAGAAAAGCTTCCGTAATATCCGAGATCCTGTTCATGGATAAGTTCAGGATGCGCAACCTCTGAGTATTTTTGAAAGTGTCACGCACGCTAATTATAACGTTTTTCGCGGCATTAAAGTTTTCCAGTTTTGACTGCTTATAGAAGGCCGTTCCATTTATGTATGAAATCGAGTTTTCCGAAAGGTCAACCTTTTTTAAATCTCCGAGCGCTCGAAACGCTTCACTGTCAACCATCGAGATGTTACAGTGTCGCAGGTCCAGTTCCACGAGGGCGACGTTCACGGGTCCATACTTGCGGATGTCGGTGATCGAGTTGTGCGCAGCTCGAAGTATTCGTAGGTTGGGAACGTTGCCCATCGACAATCTATCTATGTTTATGATGCTATTGTTGAACAAAAGCAACTCCTGCAAATAGATAAGAGATAGCATTGTGTCTTCATACTTCCCTTACATCCGTCGACGGAATCACACTATTATACATCAGATATGCATATTGTACCTGGAGCTGCAGGAGACCCTGAAAGGCTTCATAGATCATTTTGATGCGGTTATTGTGCAAATCAACAAAGACCAGACGCTTGGCCCTCTTGAAAAAGAAAGGTGGAAAAGACTCGATATAATTATTTCCGAGTCGCAGTTTTCGAAGGTTTTTTAGATTTCTTAAGGCGAGGGGGTGGAGATTCTTGATACGGTTACGGGAAAGGTCCAGCTCTGATAAATTTTTTAAATTACGCAACTCAACGTTGACAGTTTCAATGAAGTTCCTGGACAATATGAGAATCGTCAATTCGCCGAGAGTCGAAAACGCAGCCGGAATAGTCTTCAGCCTATTGGATTCGAGCTGAAGCCGTCTGAGCTTGGTTATGTTTGCAAACGCAGAATCTTCTATATATTCCACCGGAGTATGAATCAAGGAGAGTGTTACCATTTTGAGATCCGCGAAGTAAAACGAAGGGAGAACAGTAAGGTTAACTTGCTTCACAGTTAGCTGAAAAATGGAAGTATTGCTGAGCTTAGAAAGTTCACGCGCCAAATCGTCGCTGCTGTCAATATCCCTACAAAGTATCTTGGCACCACGCTTGATAAGCTGGCAGTAGCAGAATTCGAGCTCAGGGCAATCAGTATCCACTTTCCTCCAATTTTTGGGCTGGGAAAAGCGTAGATGAGCCACCATCAGCAACAGCGCCATCATAAACTCGCCACTTGGCAACGCCATTTCTGAAAGAGAAAAAAGAAAAAAAATCCCGGCACCACTTTAAATAAGTGATTAGTAGTATAGAAAACCAACGCACCAAACTTTGTTCAATAAAAAAAAAATGTATGGCAAATTGCCAAGTAATTGTGTTGCATACGTGAAACGTTCAAGCATATAACAAACTGTTATCGTTCAGCAGCACGTCTAGCCTGTTCAGCCAGACGCCTGCGTTCACGGCGCTCTTCACGAGATAATTTAACGCGTGGCATGTACACTTGAAATGATAGACCTGGAGATCTTCCAAAAACCTTCTTTGTCCTCTTATCCCACCTCGCCTAGCTCTCCTCCTCACTCACCCCGAGCCACACCACCTCCGCGTTAACCAATCGTTGTCGAGTACCTCACTCCTCCTCTCCCACCCGTCAACCAATCAGTGTCGAGCCTCGCGGCCACGTTTTCATCCAGGCTTCACGAAATGTCGAACATTTAGCCAATAATCGTTTCATGTTAAAACTGAAAAAAAAAAAAAAAGCTACAAGTACTTTCCAGGAGAAGATTGTGATTCATAAATAGGTTCTGCGCTGGGCCACCGAGCCTCTGAAACGTCACGAGTTCACAAGGCATTAGGTATACCCATTGTTCACGACTAGACGCCGCCGCACGTGCAAGAATCGCTGCCCACTCTGATAGCGGACAGAACCTGCGATGTGATAAGCTGCAGATGTTGACAATTATCCTATCTAGGCCGTTATGTTCCTGTCTTCTTTACTCGGTGAACTTGCTGTGACATTTAGGTATATTAACATGCGCGAAGCTGTTCTTCTTTTGTCATATCATTGTCTAAATGATTCCGAGAAAACTACTCTCACACGTGCATCAAGCATCGCACGAAAGGCGACAGACGAGCAACTCCTCAAAAGCGCGGTTACCGACAGATAACGAATAGAAATGTTCGCGTTGTTCTTTCGCCAGCTGCCGCAGAAGCATGTATTCGTCATCGTGGCAACAGCAGGAACAAAAGCGGAACCGGCTAGAGCAGCGGCGAGACAAGCTCCATGGACCAGAGATACTTAACCACTCCTTTCCGGACTCAAGGTTTGCAAATCTATGTGCATCTCAAACTTAATACAACTCGTTTCTTGCAGGCTGCAGGCAGCCGTCCGCGGCTGCACGCAACCATCTTTAAAAAATCCCACGGTTTCGTTGTAAGTGTTACGTTTGCTAATTAATGGTATTATTTTGTTCACCTGTAATTACTAAGACAGTCGTAAGATGCTTATGAGTCAAGTAGTCAAGCTCCAAGGTGCAAAACGTTCATAAGTACAACTCTGATGAGCCTCTCACTTTCGTGGAGACTTCTGTTATTTGGCTCCCTCGTCTTGGCGAAAGTATGGTTTTCGTGTTGGGGTGACGCAGGGTTTTCTTTCCTGGCAGTATACCTGAAGTCTCCTGTGTTTTGTAGCAATTAAAAACGAACATGGTTAAAATTGCGTACAAATAGAAAGGAACAGAGGAGAGAGAAGAGACAGGAGCAAACTCGCAACTCGATGTATTGAAGGAAGAAAAGAGGAGACCAGCCCGGCAGTATCAGCTCGGGCCGAGGCCACACTGGCACGGGTGCACCCGTCCACGCAGAGGGCACACAACATCGACCACACTCCTACGATTGCAGAAAGGCGATTTCTGCAACTGCCCCCGTGCCAATGTGGCCTCGGCCCGAGCTGGTACTGCGGGCTGTTCTTTTTTCTTCCTTCGATACATCGAACTGTGAGTTTGCGCTTGGCACTTCTCTCTCCTGTGTTCCTTTCTATTTGTGCGCAATTATTACCAACTCGCCCAACTAACCACCTTACTATAGCAATTAAAACATTGGTGAACTCAAATAAATCGCTGCGTTTCGTTTACTTTTTTTTTTTTTTTTTTGCAGTCTCAGGTTTTTAGAATGAACCAATTGCAGATTGCCAAAGCTTATCCAACAGCGCACGTGCAAATCTGTCTCAAAGCGACAGAGAGGAATAGCATATCACCGAGGACAGTAAGGCCTTTAGACACCCCTACTCTGAGTAGTGCTCCAGGTAAGAAAGTATCAATCAATGTCTCGCAATCGAGTTCGCGGACATTTTTAGATAAGGGAGGCTATCACAAAACAAAAGATAAATAGGGCGGCCGCTGCGGTCACCCGTTGCCTCCAGTCAGTGCAAGACTGACGTGCGTAATAGATAAGCCGGCGGTTCATTCCGGATTGTGTACTCACGGTGTGAAGCGAAGACCACTTTATTTATGCACTTCACACGAGGTCTACTCTTTGTATACACCCATACAACAGATTCTCTATATCGCGCTGTTCATAATTATTCACAAAACAGGTTCAGAGCCGGTACCGAGGCTAGGTGTCGGCCTACACTCTAAAAAAAAGTCCGTGCGTCTTCTTTCCCGTACAACACTCGGAGAGCCAATCACCGCAACTTACGGAGGCAGCTCAGCGAATGACGATGCCGAAACATAGACCAAAAAACACAGTCTGAATTGTGACATTAAGCAATGCAAAACGTCACGCTTGCATTGCTTAATGTCACAACTCAGACTGCGGTTTTCGGTCTAAACATATGTTTCGGCATTGTCATTCGCTGAGCTGCATTGGTTCTCGGAGCGTTGTACGGGAAAGTAGACGCACGGGGATTTTTTAGAGTGTATGAATCCTCACTGGGTGGGTTCGCGAACCAAGCCAAGGCGGTAGCAATATAAAGGTTTTGATAAAGCCTGTATTACGAAAGCAAGCTAAATTATAAAGTTTTATCGGGGCTTTACCAATCAGCTGTGATCAAGCCTCCACCACAAAGGAATAGAAACAGGACTATTTTTCGCCGGTGGCTTATCCGCTTAGCCAGGTTCACCGAGGCTGGAACCAGTTCGCTACAACAAACAAACAAAATTAATTCAGTTAGGCAAAACAAAAAGGCTCAACTATGAACGACCAGGAGAGGTTTCTGACACCCCACCCCCACACAATATTTTCTTTTTATTATTTTATTAATGCTAGTCTTCGCCATTCTCAAAAACAAAATTAATAACAAAAAAAAAATAAAACTAAGTAATTATATCTGACAGTGAAACGCAAAAACCCTTCGGCACTTCGCCCATTCTGAGGCAACTCTTTAAAGGGACACTGGGCATGAATTTTACTCCCTGTATACCTGTTGCGTGCAAAAAGCACACTAGTGCGCCAAAGTAAACACCGCCACGGACCAGCCACGGTATTGAATCGCTACGCGAACAAAAAGTACCCATGACGAGTGTGTTGTTTATTTTGGGTGAAGGGAAAGTGGGGAGCCAGGAGAGCATGACGAATTATGTGACGTGCTGTCCTGTAGAAGAGAAAGACGTTGGCGCGGCCCAGGGTTGGAAAGGGGAAGCACTATAGATCGCAGGGCCTTTTCGGATAAAGATTTTTTTTTTTTTTCGTGTCCAGCCTGTCTTGATCTTCTAGCGGGTGAACAGTATGAACCGATCCCCACAAACCTTAGCGCCTGGCAGTCATGGGTAAGCTACTTTTAAAAGGTAATTCGTTACAGTTATAAAAAAGTAGCGAAGTTACCGTTACAGTTACCGCAACAAAAGAGTAACTCGTTAAAGTTACATTTAAAAAGTAACGACGTTACTTTTCAGTTACTTTTCTATAACACAAAACAAAAATTTAGAAAAAATGAGAAAACGCCCCTCACAACGTTTTATTGCATAAAATTAAAAAGTACGCTTTTCACTTCATATTCTAACTTAGCAGCAGTTGCTTCTTGAAGTTAGTGTTTGAAAGTTTCCATGCCATAGTGGCGCAAATCAAAATACGAAACATGCGCAGTGCGGAGTAGTGGCGCTAATCAAAATACGAGACATGCAGTGTCCTTCCCGTGTATTGTTGTTTCACGGTTGATTCACCCGATTAAAATGCGTTTGCACAGAAAAAAGAAAAACCACAACATCGGTAGTGCTTAGACACTAAGATGTAAATGTTCAGTCACAAAGTACAAGTGCGTGCGTAAAGATAACAAGATTTTTTTTCATAAAATCTACACGTGGCTATATTTGGGTCGTGACTCGCGAGAAAGAACGTATTCACAACTTTGTGCAAGACCAACTTGACACTCGAAATGTCGAAATAGACGATTTGGAAAGTGCAAGGAATGGCTAAATTGCACCCCCTCCGTTCAGTGATATATTATTCATAAAACACTGGAAAGTAACGACAAAAGTAACGTCGTTACTTTCATCGTTACCTCAGAAGAAAGTAATATAACTACAGTTTCAAGTTACATTTTTAAAAAGTAACTCCTTACAATTACAAGTTACCAAAAAAGTAACGAAGTTACAGTAAAGTGTTACTACTCAAGACTGGCGCCTGGGTAGCGGACTTACGCATTGCAGAACACTGGCTGGCAGTAATGAAGGCGTGGGAGGAACTTCTGTCACATTCTTACTTGTATCTAACGCTTTATTACGAGTTGATTTGACCAACCAAACAGCGCGAAAAGTGCAAGTTACTTGGCCTTCCCTGTACATGATTGATGATAGAAAACGCACAGAAATACGACGAACAGCATGTTGGTGCTGGTTAAAATTTACATAAGTGACGATGACTTCATATAAAATCAGTTGATTTAGCGCCTGTCCTGTCGGCTTTGTGTTCATTGTTCTCGTTTTGTTCGCGCGTCTTAACCTTTTAACTGAAGAATTATTGACGCATGCTGCGTGAATAATTCGAGGGCGCCATGTTCTGGCTGTACACTCCGTGCATGTACTGGACCCGAGTGGTGTGTCAGGGTGCGGCTTGAACTCTGTCCGAGGGACGATTGCTGCGAAGGCCCACTTCTCTGAGCAGGCGATCGCGCACAGGGGCTGTTTCGGGGCACGACCACAAGAGATGTTTTATGTCACATGCATCAGCGGGAGCACTGCAGTGTGGACAATGACCCGTCGCTGGTAAATGATGAATGGACTACAAACAATTCATACACTGACTCATTGTGCGCGTACCTGCGCGAAACCGGGTTGCATGCCTACCTATAATCTTTACTTCCCTAACCCTATCCCCCTTTCCTGATGCCCCGTGGCAAAACTGACGCAATAAAAAAAAAAAAAAAAAAAAAACTCTGTCCCGAGCATTGCGTTGACAGAAGTCCGGTTTCCGGTTCAATCACGACCTACGCATTGGAGGCCACAAACCTATGACTGTCAATGCTGCTGAATGGGGTTGTGAAAAATAGGAGCGGACTGTTTTTTCCTTCTCTCGTTTAGAAATCTTTCCTATGATCGTGGCGTGGTCAGCGCCGAACTGTTATTTGTCAACTCCACCCAAGCCCGCGTACTTAATTAACTGTGCATGATACGAGAGCTAAACGCAGCTAACAGAGTGGAGGAGACTGCACTTCCATTTGGTTTGCGCTTGGGTACAGTCGACGGATATTCCGGTTTTGATACGCTGACAGAAATCGTCCAACTCCTACAATGACTGCGGCGCAGGAATTACAAGCCCAGACGCGTAACTTCGATTAAAGGAGGGGTAACGATTTTAAGATTAAAAGAATTGGCGTCTCGTCATTTTTACGTTGCTTATCGTGTCCCCCGGAGGATAAAGAAAACACCTCCTTCACAAAAAAAGGTCGCGATTCAGCTGCATAATCGCAAAGGAAAAGTCGAGTTTTTCTCCCCACCTGCAGCCGCGACGCCCGTTGCAATCATAAACACGCAAAAAAAAAAAAAAAAAACGCATTGCGAAAAAAAAAGTTTCTTACGGGCGCGCGCGCCTTTTTATTTTTGGTGCTTTCCTCTCCCGCTTTTCGCCTCCTCGCTCCTTTTGATTCGTGATGTCAAGAATTAGGAAATTTAGAAGCTTTGTAGGCGACATTTCTATAAAATTTAATAACGGCATTTGTAAAACATGTTTTTTAACGCAATTGCGAACGCACTACGGCCCTTTTTGAAATACCAAAAATCGGAGTCCGTTGTGGTGCCGCCTTCTGCATTTGTATCCTCCCACGGAAAACAAACGACACCGCTCAAAACCGGGTTTTTTTTTTTTTTTTTTTCGGACCGCCGGCGCTCGCTTTTTTCCTTCTGCCTTTGGGTCGCGATAGCAACAGCAGGGAGCCGTAGAAGAAAGTGAACTCTCAGGACTCCGCGATATTTGACGTCAACGCACCGGCGCGGATCGCGCGGAAACTTCGAATTCGGCATTTGGAAATTGTTTTTTTACTTCTCAAATACTTGAATTCCCAAGTTCTGAGTTTTGAGGGTAATGTCCCGGCATCGTTTTCAATCGTTTGGAATAAAAAAAAAATATATATATATATATATATATATATAAATGATTTTGATGTGTCAGTGCCCATTTAAGCTGCAGCATAGCGCCCGCTAATGTCAGCAAGAGAGGGAGCGTCCTCCGAGAGGGCACACGGGAACCTACATGGCACCCCGAATTACGTCACTAGCAGTGCAAAGACTGGGAGTGAGTTGAGGGGTGCCCAAATGCCAATAATTTTCTTCTTTTTTTTTTTTTCTTTTTTTACAAAACTAGGACATGAAGGCGAAATCGGTTGTCTGTTCTTTACTTTAAAAGTGTCCGAGGGCAACTTCCACAAATTTGTGACCGAAGTCCGGAAATCGTTCCACCCCCCCACCCCCTTTAACCTGGTAAGCACGAACCAGTCAGAACACGTGGCCGTTTCTCTAGGTTACGAGCTAAAGTTAACTCTGATCAATTTCCCTTCGTTTTCTGCACGGCTTGGCCATAGTGAAACAAGCAATGAACATCCTACATATTATAAACACCACCATTCTAAGCCCCATTCAGCGAGTCAAAAAATTGTTTGTGTATTTACAACACTATTCGATTTCCTACGTTACCCCCGCCCAAAGCCAGCGCACGGGGAGAAAAATCTGTCCACATTTAGAATCGGATCTAAACAGCATTTAGCAAACGCGATAAAAATCGCTTCATGGTTCAGCTTCAGCTTTAATGCGGTCATCAAATATATTTGATGGACGCATTTAAGCTGGTCCCGTCAGAAGACAAGTTTGTCTTCTTTCATCCCAGCCCCCCAGACTTCTCTTTCGTCTGAAATAAAGATTACATACATACATACAAATGTTTAGATAACCGACAGCGGCGTTACGAAACCAGAGCACACGTGTAGGCACCATACCAGAGGTTATAGATGAGGCTGCTTTTGATCCAAGACTCCCAAGTCATTCATGGGTACACGCAGCTTTTACTCTTCATGGGAACCTTTCGAAGGTAAAGACAAAGCACACACAATTCATCTTTGCGCCTACCAAACGAGGTGTAAACAATCAAGGTAAAGCAAGCTTGCTGTACGCTGCTAACGACAAAGCACCGATCAGACCGGAGTGGTACGAAAATGATTACATACATCACGATGCAAACGCCTCCGACAATTCCCAACCGTAGTGGTAGCAGGACTATGTAGATAGGTTCTGGTTCGCACATTATGCACACCAACCAACATAGCGTCATAAGCTCCCAAGAAAACGGGATGAGGACAGAGTCAAACTCCTATTCAAAGAGCGACACGACGTCACACCGTTCGCGATAAGTGTAGAAGGGACGCCCTTATCGCCAGGAAACTCGAAAGCGAGAACAGGCGAATCAGAAAGAAGATATATATATGTATATAAACGCCCCCAGCGCTCCTTTACATTTCCGGTGTACCGATAGCGTTCACGCAGTCCGCCATTTATCATTTAAAGCAAAGGTTGCTGAAACAAGCGCGTTCGTTTCATACGAGCGTTCCTTCTCCGAAAATAGAAAGGAACTACTGCCCACGTGAGTTCCTTCAGCGCAGCGCGTAGAAACCGCGTCACCGCGTTTCATTCGAGAACGGCTAATCTGGAATTTTTGGAGGCCCTATCATCCTTTCCGGTAGCATGGCTACCGGGTATTCTCATCGTTACACGGACCGCCACCGTTTTGCTCTTCGGCTAAAAGGCAGCGAGCTGTGAAGTTACAGGAGTCCGGCCACAAAGTGGAGCGATATGCAGAAGCGACAAGGGGGAAACAGTCGAATCGAACACGGTGGAGACGAGAGAGCGCAAGCGCCGATTGGAATGGGTAGAGGCAAAGCGCCGGCCTCCTCTCCAGCATTCGCTTCGATGGAGCCGCAGTCTCCATCGAAGACTTTTGATGAGGTGAACCATGTCTTGCACCTACTGCGTGATTCACGTTAAAAAATCCAGTTAGCGGTTGTACTGCACTGGCTAAATTTCTCATCTACAGCTAAGAGACAGGTCACCCGTTGAGGCGTACCAACATCAAGGCTGTATAAGCAGAAAGGAAGACAGGACCTTGCAAAAATTGTCACGAAGTGGGGTTTCTCCTGTACTTATAAAAAAATAACAACTCTCGGATCCTTTCTGTCCGTCGTCAGGAATACTACAGGGCTCCAATTTGAAACCATTTTTTTTATCAATGACGTATCCACTTGTGCGCAATAATATCAAACATGTTGTCATCCGCTAATATCGAGCTCTTTTCGACTCTTACCTCGATTTACGACTGCGGCCTTCGGCGTGATACATTGCATATTTGGACTGTTGTCGGGAGAACTGTTTAATCAACCCAGAAAAACTAAAATCATGTCTTTTAATAAAAAAAAATTTTAAGAAACACGTGAAATTGTACAAAAAATCGTGAGGGTGCAGGCGAGCTGGTGAATATTAACCATGTTGAAATTAACCTGAGACTCGGGTAGAGAAGAAGCATCAAAACGTATAAGGGACAGAAAATAGACCGGACGACGTCGTCCGGTCTATTTTCTGTCCTTTCAACGTTTTGATGCTTCTTCTCTACCCGAGTCTCAGGTTAATTTCAACGTGAAATTGTGCCGTATTTATATTCACTTGACGGTAAGTGTATTACAAGAATGTCAGAGATTCGTGATCTGGGAGTGTACTTTGACACTGCTCTTTCGTTTGGCTGCCATGTTACCTACATCGTCTGTTCCGCATTTAGATTACATGGAATGATAAACCATTTAACCATAAATGTTGTCAGCTTTGCTCGCTTGCTCCGTTTATTTGGTTCTATTATCAGATCAAGAGTCGGTTTTGGCTCTGCGTTGTGGAATTCGCAGAGTGCACGTTACGCAGCCAAAATAGTCACTTGAGCGACGCCTTGTATGGCAGGTACCTTGGCCGAAGGCATTTTTACAACTATGACCTTCTGCCTGATAAATTTAGCTTACAGTGTCTATCCCCCAGAACGCTGTCGCGCGGCGTAGCACTTTTGCACATAGTTCACGGGGACATTGACTCGACGCTTTTGTGTACAGTGAATTTGAATGTACCAACCCGTATTAACAGGAGAGCTCTTCCTTTTTATCATCACAATCAATATATATTATCACCATTAACAAGAATGCAGACATGTGTAAATAATCTTGGGCATGAACATTTTGATATTCTTGACAGCTAAGAAAATTGGACGAGATTGTTTTCCGTCATTAGCTGTGTACTGTCATGCTTTGTCGCATGCTAGTTTTATTGTCATTGACATTTTTAATTATGTATAGCCGATTACGTTTTCTAGATTTTTCAATGTGCCACGTTGTAGACGGTGGGTTGTTTTCTTGGCACAAATAAGGGCATGATGATTATGATGATGATGAAAGAGATGGGAGAAGCTTCCACGTTACTCTTACCCAGTCACCGACTGTCTTTGTTCCTTGCCCCGCTTTGTCCTCTCTCCATTCAATCACAGCGAGTAGAAGCGTCGAGTAGAAGCGTCGTCTGCACCTCGCAGCCTTTGCTCTGACGTCCCCGCCGCCGCTCTTATCTCCTCCTCTTCCCCTAGTTTCCCCCGTAAAGTCGTGTCACGGTCGCTGGCGTGTTCTGCTGGCACGGCCTAACGCACTGCTCTCCCTTACCGACTCGCGCCGGTACGCGTCTGGGATACGCCGCGCACCAACCATCAGGCTCCTTCAAGTTCAGCACTAACACATTTACAATTCTTCCTTCGATGGGACATCAAGCGCGATCGTGACCTGACACACCGACAAGAGGTACCAACTAATTGCCACCGTAAACTAGGAGCTTCGTTGATCGAGGGAATGTACGAGCTCGCGCCTGCCAGGCCAGCAAGGCCAGCCAGGCCCACGTGAAGTTTTTCAAACCGAGAATTACACCTGTTGTTAAAAAAATAATAGAAAAAAAAGAGTAGACTTTTTTTTTTGTATATAAAGACAATTTTAAACGGAGTAATATTAAGCGGCGAAGAGTTCGTTAACTCTGTCAGCAGTGGCAATATCAGTTCGTCGAATGACGTTTCGCTTGACTGCTTCATCGACACTGCAACGTTTCATTAAAAGATGCCCACGTTCGTTTCATTGACACATCTTGCGGCATTTCGTTGATAGCTTCTTTCAGTGCACATTGCCACGGCTGCCGGCATCCTTATGGTAGCCTAAATTGCTAAACCCTTGGTGGTTCCGACGAGGCTTGCCGTATGCTGGAGCTTGATATTATAATTTACAACCAATTTTACCCTCGCTTCTCTCCCTTCCGATCCCCTTCGCTTCAAAACCTAGTCAGATACAACCTACCGTAAAATCTCAAGAGATGCCCCCCGCTCCGAAAGGTAACCCACCCCCATTTTTGGCTTGATTTGCTATTTCCTTTTAAACCCCGCAAGATAGCCCACCTCTAGTAATCATAGTGTTTGGATCAATGATTGCTGACTGGAAGTACAGTTATCTTTGCTTCACTGCCCTTGCCACTTCGCGCAATAACATGTTTGACAAAGATGATATCAAACTATAGCATTTTTTCAACTTTTCTTGATTGCACACCGAAAGTTATCCCCCTCCTTATTTTCACACAATTTTCTTTCGATTTTAGGTGGGCTATCTCTCGATTTATTACGGCATGAAAGACAGTCGGAGGGGACAATGGGTGGAAACTAGGAACGATGAAGTGGAGATGGCGACATCCTTTCCACAATGGCTATTCTCGTGCGTGCCCTTTTCCCTCTCCCCTCGCACTGTCTTTCTTAGGTTGTATCCGACTCGCAGATATGTTTTTGCTCTATCAGGGCCACCTGGTTGGTCCACTATAGTCCATTATGGTTGCGGAATACTTCCAGTGAATGAAATGAAACCAATCCAAAAAAGAAAAAAAAAAAACAATTGTGCACGAAACATCGCTATATTTTGTTGCAGGTTAAGAAAAGCAGGAAAAACTCCTCCCGCAAAGCCCTCCACTTTAGTAGTATAGCGGTAGTGAATGCTGGAGAGAAGGCAAGGGAGAAGGCAAGACCACTTGCCTCCCCTCCAGCATTTGCTCTGCTAAAGTGGAAAGAGTGAAGAGCCTTGTGGAAAAAGTTTGTCCTGCTTTTTATTTTTTTTTTAACCTGCAACAGAGTATAGAGCATGAGTTAATGAAATGAGTTTCCACAAAACATCACAGTGTCAACAAAATGTGTGTCCATGAAACGTGTCTATGAAAAGTTCACGAAACGCGTTTCGACAAAACGATACACACCCCTCCTTAAGCATATTGTTTTGCACCGGACCATGTGTTTGTGAAACATCACACAAACAGCACACTGGTTTTCAATGTTGGAAATGTTGCTATGATCGAGCGTGCCATTTGTCAATGGAATAAAAGGAAATTGCATCTGTCTGAAGCTGTCAAGTTGCACCGGATCCAAAGTTATGAGCTTGAGGGCCACTAACGCGTCCCAGATAACTGCTTTTCAAAACAGTTACCTTCGAAAGCTAAACAGGATAAGTGCCTGCTCAGAACCGACAGAATAAACAAATTCCTAAACATAGAACAAACATTACACTAATTTAAGATGCTATACCCTACAGACATCTGCAAAAATAAATTTCTCATGCCTTCGAAATGTAGCGGACAAGAATTGTAACAACATGTACTACACTGGTTAGCAACACAAAAGTGAAGATCAAGAGGCACTCGGGAAACTGCTTAACGAGATCATAGAGATTTCAAGAGACATGTTTATATACAGCCACTATAGTTCTAGGCACAGACACAAAACAGCCAAAGGCCTCTAATCTTAACAGCATAAACATGTTTGCAAATACGGTCTCTGGGTGCCACCATCTTGCTGCTGGGGCACCAAGTTATTATGATTATGGCCGAGCCCAAGCACACCCCAAGTGAGCAAGACGGCCAGAGCCCGGAGGCAGTACTTCCAACATGTATACAGTATATGTCTACTACTGTAATAGAAGGAACTGTCTTGTAGACTCAGCAGAGAAGGGCAATTGATATATGTATATACCAGTGTGCACACCAATGGTGACCTCTTTGCCCAGCTACACACAAATGTTACGTGGGTGGCGAACTACTGCCCCATGTCAATTTACTCTTAAAGGGATACCCCGCAGACTTCTTCATGGTCCCCGATTTGCTTGAAATTTTGCTAAACTCGCCACACAACATCGCCAAAATAGTATCCCAAATATTGTGTAAAAATACTTTTTTTTCACGAAGTTATTCAATTTACAATTTTTGTCCTCGCCATGTTTTTCAAACTGAAAGTCTCTACTGGCAACAGCGAAAATGTGACGTCAGTGGAGGTGTAGGGGTTCACCCTTTGGACTGTAGAATTTGTTCCCAACTGATTCGAAGCAGTTTCATGGTGTCAAATGAATGCTTTGGAAGCTCGCTCAAGGACCCGCGCTTCAGCACGGAACAAATGATTGGCATATTCTATTTTTAAAACTGCTCGCCCGACTGGCAAGCTGACCTTCCACTGACGTCACGGCACTGAAAAGGGCGGGTATATTTGAATGTTGGTTTTTGCATCATTTTCATTTGCCGATTTCGCAATAACCATTATAAATTTCACGATACTAAATAGCATACCAGAAAGGGTAGAAGCCGGGGAGTCAGAAAATATAGTTAGCTCAAAAATCGGCGGAGTACCCCTTTAAAGAAAAACAATATTGAAATGAAGTTTGAACATACTGGAAGTACTAGCGTTTAAAAATATTTAAACACTGTTGAGGACTCGAAACATAGTATCATCTCCTGCATTGCATACAACACAATGCATCACACAACAAAACTCTAGGGAAATTAGTTCCTCAACCATATTGTATACTCACATGTTAGTTATGTAGGAACTGCATGTGCCCAATAAACGAATGGCCTGTTACATAAACAGCAACTTTTCTAAAACCACTCATACAAAGAAAACTGGCATTTCAATTCCTAGAACTTTCTATCCTCTTCTCCATCATGTTTACATTTGTGCCAGTTCACCTTCACTGTAAGTAGAATTCGATTCCAACCAAGCTAGACTGAACATACTGCTGAAATCCTAGTGCCAACTGCTTTTTCTTTTGTATCCTAAGGCAGAACACAAATAAGTTGCTTCAAAATTATTTAACAGATCTACATAGAATTTTTGAAAGCTTATTTATTACCAAACAAAAAGTACACTTTTAACAGACTACCCGATACTGATAAATTTTCGGATATTAGATAACCTTTATTTTTTTCTCCAGCAGCACTTTTTGCTAAAAACGCCTTAAAAAAAAACAAAAAAAAGTCCACGTGTTTTGAGAGATTAAGTACTTTTGTATTTTAGCTACTCACTAGGTAGGATCCACAGGTTTAACCCTTTCTGGTCATTTAAAAGGAATGTTCGAAAATTTCCCTGAAGTCAGTTAAAGCATTTAAAAAGACGTTTAATTTGAAGCCTGTAGCATCCAAGGGTGTTTTTCGAGATGGGTGAGCATGTCCGTGTTAACTCCCGAGGCAAGAGCTTGCATTAACTTATACAGTCCAAGCTCATTACAACAGATCTGGTTACAACAGACATTTGGATGTAACATACCAATTTGTGAGGTTCAGTTGATTCTCCTCCACATACCATTGACTCAACTGCATATCTGCAAACAACATACTCCAAAAACTTGGTCAAAATCAAGGTCTGTTAAAAAGAGCTTAGACTGTAATGCTGAAAAGAGGGCACAGGAGCATATTCAAGGCACTTTATGCACCTGGTGCTCAAGCCTTTTACAATGCTGCAGTAGAATCTACACGTAAAAGGCCAGAAAGGGTTAAATGAGACCCAGATAATCACAATGTGCCAGCATATTTGTTTTCAACTGCGCCAACCAAGCAGAAAAAAAAAAAAAAAAACTACTCTGGTTCATCTCCCGACCTGACACATCATACATTTATACCTCAATGAAATACTAACCTTTTCTTTGTTACAAATATGGCACATTGCAAAAACAGATTCTGCAGCTTGGGCACTGTCCACTGTGTTTACACCTACAAAATGGAAAATGGCTTACTTGGCAGAACATGAGTAGTAGCTGTGTAGTCTAGCAATCAAGTAAAACATGTATTTCACAATAATTACCCACAGAAGTTCCTCCAAATCCAATCTCGTTTACAATGTCACAACCGATAACAATATATTATACACACAACAGCATACTGTAATTCATTGAACATCACTTAGTAATTCCAACATTCAGCACAACAGGAAACAATGAATGTGCTCCATAAACAGCCTGCTTAATGAGAGCAAAAATATTACTACCTTTTGATTGGGTCTTTCTACACAACCAAGTTCCGGAAGTTTCTGTCGGTATTACAGCAGATAATTCAGTCAACTGCATTGATGCCCACTCCCATCTTTGTAAAACGGCATTCAAATTGGAGTTGGATTAAATTCTCAGGGTACAAGGCCAAAGCACCAAATGGATAAATCTTCAGTGAGCATGGGATCAGTGTCAAACATGTCATGACATAGCAATGCAAATGGCCCAGAGACTGGCACACAGGCATACAGCATGCTAACATTCGTTGAGTTGTATTGCATCATACCATTTTATGGTACGCTAGTCTATCACAATTATCATGCTACAAGTAAAATATAACAAATTGCCAGCAACAAACTACTGGGAACATCAATTTAAGCTATGTGGAAGCTTCTCCTAGACTATGAGGGCTAAAGCTAACAGCAAAGATGTCTGTTACAGCAGATCTGAAAACTGACAAAAGCCTGTGCAAAATGTAAGGAAAATATGTCAATTGGGATATATGAGACATTAAGCTATTCAAAGATATGGAAATATAAAAAAATAGAGCAACCATTTTGCTATCTGAAAATAAAAGCAAATACAATTTGTCACAAAATGGAAGTAAAGAATTGCACAAGGCATTCTAGCTTTTGCAATATTCATGTGGAGGATGCTTGAAATTGTTCCAATTACCCACAGCAAGATCGAAACAAAAACTAAATGTAGAAACAGCTCTTTTAAAAACGATATAGATTATATTAGAATGCAAATCGGGCCACAAAACAAGGAAAAATGTAATAGAGCGTTTTTTTTTATCCATTTATTTGTCTTTGGTCTCTCACATTTGGAAATCATGTAGACGCCCTTTAAATGAAGCCAATTTTTGCAGAGGTGTACAGAATGTTCTAAACCTAACTTGAGTTCAAAAGCTATACACATCTGAGAGCAACTAACATGAAACTGACAAGAAATCTACTCTATAATGGTATTAAGCTAGATACAACACAAAGATCAGAAATGCCCCCAGCAGTGCCAGAGAAACATTACTGGTAATTCAAAGTCTGCATGTATATCCACTTAGACTACATTAGGCCTGCAGGGTGATCCTTGAAAATTATTTCGCTTGAGAAACCATGAAAAAAGAGAGGAGATAAGCCATATTTCAAAGCTTTAACGTTTCTGCAAGATATTACCAAAAAAGGGTTTAAAGAAAATTAATAACTACCCTAGATTGTCAAAAGAGTGAAAGTGCCTCAAGCAAAACTAACAAAAAAAAAAAGCTATACTACACAGTAAAACCATTGGAAAGTACTAAGCAAAGGAATGATTGAAGTATAGTAATGTTATCTACCGGGCAAGTATTACTTGTAAAAAAAATTCAAAACATTCTGCTCGGTAACAACCAAACAAAAAGCTGAGAGCATTCAATTCTTAATAAATAATGCATACAAAGTAGATAGAACCTATTCCTGTATATTATAATACTGTACCAAGGCCAGCAGCACATCCGGCAGACAGTGGAATTTCACGAGAGTAAATCTTAATGTTTGCAACACTGTTTGAAACAAATTGTGTTGACAACAAGTACAATTTCAGATCCCCTAGAAACAACAAGTAGTGCATGCATGGCGGGAAATTGCTGATTGACAGGTGCAAAAGGCCCCTTTATTTCAGTTCTAGGGCTCCTTCTTCTTCCAGCTTGCAGATGAACTTTGTCACTCGGTACTGGGATGCAGTCTGAGAAACAAACACTCCATTTCACTGACATGAAAACTTAAACTAACTACTAAACATCTGGTACATAGCATCTCATAATAAAGAAAATCAGTGACAACTAGAACAAACTAAGAAAAAGAAGGACTAAATTTAAAGTTGCATGTGGCAGATTTCAAGTATAGTTTGGAAATAGTAGTTGGGTGCCTTCACATCTGCAACTCAGAGCAGCTGCACGATCGGCTAGCCCCATTGAGACTCGCAACCACTGTGGTTCACGCTCCGTGCAATCGTCGAGTAGCCGCCACCAAGACGCTTCTCATAGGCTCTAGGGAGCCGCCGTCGATTCCATCCTTCCCGCAACAGTACGGGTTCGCGTTTTGCTGCTTTCCCATTTCCGCTGCCTACAACTACACATTCGTATCTTCTGACATCGAAAAAGGAATTTGGAATATTGGCCTGGGTCCTTTGAAACCATAAAATGGAAACACAATTTCTACATCGACGTGCATTTACTCGAACGATACGGTACCTACATGATCAAGCTAAAAGTGGCACTGATTTGCTGTCGGGCCAATGTCTTTTTTCGGGCGCTTGTTCAAATCGAGGTGCTGCTCGTTATAAAAAATTCATTCGCATGCATCAGAGCCGCAGCGGAGACCACCATGGCAGCTACTGCCAACTGAGGAGTGTGCTGACATGTTGGTCGCGTCTCTCGAATGGAACGCCAGACATTGACTGGACGCCAACAAATGCAACACGTCACCACGTCACTTCCGAGTACCGCTGATTGGCTTAGCAGCTTGGCGGCTCGGCGACCGAGCTGAAAAACTGGTTGGGGAGAGACTGCTCCAAATCGGTTGCTCCACGACAAAAAAAAAAAAAAACTATTGTGCGACGGCTGCGAGTTGCAGGTGTGAAAACGCCTGAATCTTGAGGTCACCGAATGAATAGAATATGTCACCTGACGAGCCATGTCCACATAGGCAAGCAGCTTCTTGATTCCAATCCAGATACTAGAATCGAACAAACAACAAACGGCAGTAGTTAAAAAAAAAATATTTTATAACAGTTGTGTTCAAATCTTTTCTACAATTCCTTTTAATATCCTTGATAACAATTCAGCACTGCTATAGAAGAATCATGCCAGAGGCATAGCAAATTCTTGCCTACTACTATAAATTACACTAAATTTGCATTTTTCCAACTTTTGTAAACTTTCGAAGAAACAATATTTTCTGACCACAACTACCGTATTTTCCGGACTATAGTCCGCACCTGGTGTATAGTCCGCAGAGGCAAGTTTGGGGTCAAAAATGAAAGTTTTTGCTTAGATAGTCCGCACCCGCTGCATAGTCCGCACCCAGTGCATAGTCCGCACCTGGTGCTTAGTCCGCACCTGGTGCTTAGTCGACACGAAATTCTTCTCATACACGGCACACCTTGACATATATGTTTTCCTAGCTCACAAAAAAAGCCTATAATATACATAAATTATAAATAACATACTCTTTTATTCACAAAATCCGTCCCGTCTCGTCATAATCATTGATATCGAAAAACATAATTCCTATATAGTCCGCACGCGTAGATAGTCTGCACAGCCAGAAATTTCAACTTTTAAACATGTATAGTCCGCGGACTATAGCCCGGAAAATACGGTAAATGGATTCGTCAACCCCACATATAAATTAGGATAGACGATTTAATTACAAGCTAAATGTTTGAAAATATTTTCAGTTTGTGCAATTTTCTCAAATTAATTCCACAGGAAATGTAAGCTGATCATAGTGTTTCTTTCAGAATAAACTGGGGCTATTACAGTGCTAACCAGAGAGGAAATCGGACAAATTTTGTACTCCGGGGTGACAATTTTCTGGGGCATTTCAGAAAAAGAGAAGAGTGTGCACGCACAGAGTCGATCGGCACTCAAGATATGCAGGTACACGAGGGCCCACAGCTTTAACTTCATTGCCACAGAAAGTAGTCGCCCAGTATAGTAATTTCATGAAACTGTACCAGCATAATTCTTCATTTATATTTTCATGTATTAGTCAAAAATACTGCTCCAGTAAGCACAGCTATAAGAGGCAGCTGATTATATAAGGTATTTTGGGTACAAGTAAGAATTTGAATGAAGATTGTGCTTATGGGCTGGTTATGACGTCTAGAGTGTTATGAAAAACTGTTGCACACGTTCCCTTGGTGCCCAAAAAACACCTTGTCCCTCACAAGGAACTGAACTGCAAACCTCTCGCTTCGTAGTCTGGTGCTCTACCCAAGCACCAGTGCAGCTGATTCTTTTTTTATACATACACACATGTCTTCATTAGTGCATGAGCAGAGCTGTTTGGACGAGTCTCGTAACAGTGCATCGATACACTTCTGGTCACTCCGACAAAGTTTGTCACGAAGATAGAAGCTGCCGCTATATGCGCCACTGTCGAAAGGGGTGCGGTGAATGAGCCAATTGAAACTCACTGTGACCACTTACAAGTAGTTTTATAAAAACAATCTCGTAAACTAACATTTTGTTATGCCTGTAATTGACCATTGTACGAGAGCACCAGTCATTCCTTATTCATCTCTAACAACAGAACTTACAGAAAACAATGCTTTCTCGAGAAAAAAAAGAGCCAGTCAATTGAGCTCACGGGATCGTACATCGTCCACTAGATGCCGCCACTTGCAGAGCTGAATTTCGGTGGTCGTGACGGTATTGAAAAGTCATTTCAAGACAAGAAAAAGAAAAACGAGAGATGATATTGTTTTTTGGAGATTGTTGCAGATAAGGAAGTTTGAGCAGTTGATTGAGTGTGTACAGGGCCAAAGACGCGTACATTAACACGAAACACCTAGATTGCGTCACCGCAATCTAGGCGAGGCTAATTCAGAGTGGGTCCAAAATTCCGATCACTCTTCTTGGTTGCCAGACTCCCAACAGTGGTGGCTAGATGGGTGGCTCTCTGCGTCCTTGTTGACACCAGTGCCGCGACACATCCACTAACAAGCTCTCCCATAGTGTTACAGAGAAGTTTCGCGACCAGAAGCATACAGAAGGACTCTGGTGTCGTTATAGCTGCTATGTACTCACACTGCCACCGAATTTGTTGCCCCAATGTCGGAGGGGGTCCTGTGATGTCATGTGATCACATAAGCTATATAGCTATGCAATCACTATAGGTGTCATGTAATGCACCAGTTACATGATCACATGATGTGAGCACATCATGATTTCACATGACATGCTCATGTGACTTTATACGACATCACATCACTTCACGTGACATTGCGATTTAATGAGAAGAATTTGCAACTTACCTCGATTCTTTGCACGAGAGATGCAAAATGCACTGCACATAATTTACACATGGTTGAAAAAAACCCCGAGACTGCGGGTAAACGACACAACACTAAAAAGTCTCTAACACAGCTGAAATTTTTATTTTCCAAACCTGGTTATATAGGCACTTCGATACAAAAGAAAAAAGGGGGGAGAGGGTGAGAACCTCAAAGAATGCCACTTTCCACCAACGTAACCTCTTGACTAAACAACAAGGACAACAGACTCTGCGTCACGCACTTCACTTATCTTTGACCCCTCGCTTCCCGACCGCCAAACACACTGGTAACCCCAAGCCCAGTAACACATATACAAAAAAGAAAAAAAAAAAAAAAAAAAAAAGAAAAAGGAAAGAACGACCCATCGTCCCTTCTACCCGAAAACCGACAGACATAAACCTTGAAGGTCAGAACTTTTCACAGCCTAAGAAAACGCCGCAGTTCATTGTCCAACCCAAACGACGGCTTATTAACTGCATTCCCGTGACCTAATATCGTTAATGACTCTTTTATCAACCGCTTATGATCATCTTTTTCCCTCAACTCTACTGAAGTTAGATGCCACAACGGTACACAGTTTCTACATTCGATAACATGTTTTGACACTTCGGAGTACGGGTCTCGTTTCATTATACAACGTTTGTGTTCCATCATGCGCTCATTTATACAACGTTTAGTCTGTCCAATATAACAGAGGCCACAATCAAATGGTATCTTGTAAACGACACCCGACGAACATTCTACATCCTTTTCTCTGTGTTTTATCGTGCAACCTGAAACAGTTGAGGCAAAAGGGGTCAAACGGCTCAATCTATAATCTGTAGAAAAGGCAGTGCCAATATTAAACCTGCTGGCTAACGCTTTGATGTTGTGCGAAATTTTATGAAAATATGGAAGGTGTGATGTTCAACTATCAAAACCGACGGAACGCATTCTTGCTAACGGCCCTAAATTTTGTGTAAATATAAAACCGTCCAGGATGGATATTGTATCTGCGATTCATACTGTGTCAAGTGCCGTCTCTGACCCGGCGGTAAAAACTGCATTGATAACGTCTTCTTTAAAAAGGATGTCGGATTTGGTTGACGATTCGTACAAAAGCGACCGGCGGGACTTCAGCAAGATCGTATCGGTCAAGAGGGAATTAGATGAGAAAGATGTAGTACTCTTAGAAACCGATAAGTCGGGTTTGTTTTCAGTGTTACCAGTGTTGGAGTTTCGAAGGAAATCGGACGAAGCCATGGCGGGGTTGTTTAGACCTTTTGACGGTTGTTTGAAAAAGTCCAAAAGAGAAATTGTGAGGGTTTGTAAGGACGCCGATCTAACAGCTTTGACCACCAGAATTAATAATGTTTCTAAAGACACGTTTGGCATAAATTTTTTCCTTAAAGATCATAAGGTAGATCTTCCTCTAAGAGTAGTCATAAACGAGAATGGCACATGGCAGAAAATAGTGTCCTCATTTCTTCAGAAAACTCTCACGATCTTGGATACTACCGTATTTATTCGAATATAGGTCGACCTTTTTTTTTTCGGAAATGTTGTCAAAAATTAAGGGTCGACCTATAATCGTGACCAAAAAATTTCGACCTAATTCGCGACCAAAATTTGAAACCCTACAGAGGGTATGGAGCTATCAATCACCTAGCCGGCGTCGCGGTAGAGCCGCGCCGCTTCTTGTTTCAAAAAGCTTTTGATGCACAAAAACAACCGAACAGCAGCAGCCGACAGCCCGTGGCCGCCAGCTACGGCTCTCGCGCACATTCCCTCGGTGTCGGGTTTCGCCATCACGCCTGTAGCGTTCCCCTCGCTGGGCAATGAGAAGGGGAGGGAGAGGAACGCGAGGCGCCATGCACTTTGCCCAGGCTCCTATGCGCTCCGCGCCCCATTCCTCTCCCTCGCAAACGCGCACAAAATAAAAAAAAAAAAAAAAAAAAAAGGATGTACTTTAGTTTGTTTTTTTCGGCGGGTCGCGTGTTGCTCACGGGGCTCGCAGCGTTGCTCATGTCTTTGTATTTGGTCTTTCGTTGCTCGCCCGTCTCCACCTTCTTTCGTTTCTTCTTGTCGTCATTTTACAACGGTGTCAGTGAGGTATTGTTGCCAATTTGTGAGGATGTCTACCAAGCTGACGAAGCTTCGGACGATATGTCCGGAGTTCTGACGATGAATAAGTTTTTGACATCGCCCTGTGATTTAGCTGAGAGTGCTGTAAATAAAGGTTTGTTTCTTTTGCCCTAACTTTCCCCTGTTTCCTAAAAAAAAAAAAAAAAAAAAAAAAAAGGTCGACCTATATTTGAATTATTTTTTTTTATTCTCGGTGGGCTCAATAAATAGGGGTCGACCTATTTTCGTGGTCGACCTATTTTCGGGTAAATACGGTAGATCCCCGTTGTCACTGCGTTGTTCTGATGATTTAGTAGCTGAATTGCAACCTTTCCACGGAAAGAGGTGCACAATCTTTTCACTTGACATAAAAGATCTGTACTATTCTTTAGAACCTAAGACGTTATTGGCTAGGGTCAGCAGCTTTTTGGAAGAACATTTGGTCAGTTTCCAGTCGCAATCGGGGGTATCTGTTCAGGATGTTCTCAAGATTTTAGAAGTGTATCTAGCTTCTACGGTTGTGCAACATAATGGTCAAAGTTACATTCAGCAACAGGGTGTGTGTATTGGTTCGGCGGTAGCCCCAACTCTCTCGGATATTTATCTAAGAGACCTTGATCTGCGTCTTCTAGAGTCTTTTAAACATAGATCCCCTAAGGAAATTCTGGTGAGGAGGTACGTAGACGATATCTTGGTTTGTTCGACAGATGGCTCCTTGGCGGATTCTTTGGAAAAAGTAGTGTTCGAAGCAGCGCCCGAATTAAAGTTTTCGCTAGAGAGACCGAATGACGACCGTTTACAGTATCTCGATATTCAACTTAGGAATAGTTCAGGCCTTTGTTGGAAGTACGGAAAGTTCGCAGCAAAACCTCTTCTTCCTTTCAATAGCTGCCATTCTAAACATGTCAAACTGGGAATAATTCGGAATCTCGTCAATTCAACAGTACAGAAGTCATGCTCACATTTTATTGGCTCTTCTCTTCGTCGACTGACAGAACGTTTCGAGGTTGCTGGATATCCACAGGAACATATTTTAAGGCAGTTGATGTATATGATATGTCCAAAGAAGTCAATTCGGAAAAATCCTAGGCCTTCAAAGCGAGTAGTCCTTCCATATTTTCATAAAATTTCGCACAACATCAAAGCGTTAGCCAGCAGGTTTAATATTGGCACTGCCTTTTCTACAGATTATGGATTGAGCCGTTTGACCCCTTTTGCCTCAACTGTTTCAGGTTGCACGATAAAACACAGAGAAAAGGATGTAGAATGTTCGTCGGGTGTCGTTTACAAGATACCTTTTGATTGTGGCCTCTGTTATATTGGACAGACTAAACGTTGTATAAATGAGCGCATGATGGAACACAAACGTTGTATAATGAAACGAGACCCGTACTCTGAAGTGTCAAAACATGTTATCGAATGTAGAAACTGTGTACCGTTGTGGCATCTAACTTCAGTAGAGTTGAGGGAAAAAGATGATCATAAGCGGTTGATAAAAGAGTCATTAACGATATTAGGTCACGGGAATGCAGTTAATAAGCCGTCGTTTGGGTTGGACAATGAACTGCGGCGTTTTCTTAGGCTGTGAAAAGTTCTGACCTTCAAGGTTTATGTCTGTCGGTTTTCGGGTAGAAGGGACAATGGGTCGTTCTTTCCTTTTTTTTTTTTTTTTTTTTTTTTTTTTGTATATGTGTTACTGGGCTTGGGGTTACCAGTGTGTTTGGCGGTCGGGAAGCGAGGGGTCAAAGATAAGTGAAGTGCGTGACGCAGAGTCTGTTGTCCTTGTTGTTTAGTCAAGAGGTTACGTTGGTGGAAAGTGGCATTCTTTGAGGTTCTCACCCTCTCCCCCCTTTTTTCTTTTGTATCGAAGTGCCTATATAACCAGGTTTGGAAAATAAAAATTTCAGCTGTGTTAGAGACTTTTTAGTGTTGTGTCGTTTACCCGCAGTCTCGGGGTTTTTTCAACCATGTGCAATGTACACCAGCTCGTTTGCGCCCTTACTTTTTGTTCACATAATTTAGCTTCTCAAACAAGTCTAAAAGCCTCAAAATGTCAAAAAAGAGTTCTAAAACCGCTAAAGGGTCAAAGAGACCAAATATCTGAAAAGTGCAAAAACATCAAGAAGGCCAAGACACAGAATGCATGCTGCATCTCTCAACTTTATAAAAAAAAAAAAAAGTATCAAGGTAAGTTTTCTTTTTTCCTTTTAAACTGCCTTTTTAATGTGCCACCCTTGAAGCATGACAAAGGGCAGTTCCTTTTTTCTGTTAAATACTTGCAAGTTTCTCTAACTATGGCACATTCAACTCTGAGCACCGTACCGGACAGGGCCACTGGTGGCTGCCAGGGCGGCGATGGCCCAGGTCAGAGGAACTGCGAGACTCACCGGCGTCCCTCGAGCTGTCGTGCAATGCGGTCCAGCTCTTCCTTGGAGAAGCAGTCAACATCTTCCAACACGGCCAGGACATGCTGCGCTTGCGACAGGTTGGGCACCCGCATCACCGCCGTGAAGGAGGTGCTCATGCCCATCTCGTCCAGCACTCCCTTCAGGCTGCTCGTACACAGCACCAGCAGCTTGCGGCCCTGGAACGTACACCGATCAGATCAGCCACAGCACTTGACCCCATGCGCAACACACGTCAGCTAGACTAGATTGCAAGGACTAAAGAACTGCTGATGGAAGTTATACATACTGCTTTAACGTCCGTGCAATGCCACCCAAGCTCTGTGGAACGTCATTGTACTGTGTGCCTAAGTATCTGTCTGTAGTCCGCATAAGAACTAGCATTTAATTAGCATCAACTATATGATGCACAAAGCGCTAGTTTGCACTCACCCAGTAGATTTCCAACGACGGGCAGTGGAAAAGGACCTCTTTTGTTCCCGATTTCAGGTACTTTTTTTTTGCTCACAAGGGACACTCAAATAAACTTTTTGTGCTTTCTTCAATTAAGTTTGGACTATGGTATAGGACCAGGTCGAAAACAGCAATCTCACGATTGAAAACTGCAAGACATACGGTAAACTAGTTTATTTTCGTGGGCTCAATATTTTGCAAATTTTGTGCGGTATGGACTTCGAAAATGATTCACGGGTACAAAGTTTTGCAATTTGAAGAAATGTGCTCTGTACTCGTTATCGTGGAAAGATACATTTGCGGGACCAATTTTTTGGTACGCTCTTCAAGTCGCGAAAATTAGGTTCTCGCAAAAACAGTCATTTGCAGTATTTTAAATCTAACTAATAAATGATTACCGAATCACACCTATCAGACACTTCAAATGTATTGTTGTCATGCTGTTAGTATATGATTTGTCTCTGATGAGCAGTGCCACAGCTTAGAAGCACTTATACTTTTAAGAGCAACAGGACATCATGCAAGTGCACAGTTGGCATGACTGAGAGTGAGCAGACAGTGCAGTCATTCAGCCCTTGAACATTCAGACAAGGGAAGCAGACATGGTGAAAAACAGTGCGCACAAAAACATGGACAAGGGAGAGGAACAACACACAAGTGCCATTGTGTGTTCCCAGTGTGTTCCTCTCCCTAGTACCTGTTCTGCCTGATGTTTTTCAGCACGTCTTCCATTCAGCACCAAGCCCAACTTGCCACCTTACTCTAATGAGGCAGTGACACACGAGCTTTGCTGCCAAGTGACGCAGCTAGTAACCAAGCCAACATTGACTGTGCTGAGACAGCCCGTATCGGGGATGTCCGAAGACATATAGTGCATTCTGATGGATGCTTTAGAGTGCTTGCCAGAGTGGAGCATTTGAAGCAAAAAATTAGACAATTTATTTCATATTTTGAATCATCATATTTAGCTTAGTTATAAGTGTGTTGAGCAGATCTCCATTTTCATTTCAGTATTCCTTCAAGGTAAGGATAGTCTGCTAGTCGAAGTGTGTAATTAAAAGTCAGAATAACTAACTTTTTGTTTGTTACAATAAAGATATGGTTTCAATACAAATTTTCAGAAAGATTTGAAGGGAAACTGAAGCATGTTTCAAGAAATCTGAGTTAGGAGGAGACTGCTTTAGCTTTTTGTCCAGTGAATTCAGTTAACACACTTATCTTGGGCAAAAGTAAATGTAAACTGCATTTATTTTTAAAAATATGTGCAGCGATTGCCACCGGGCATGCGGCGATCCTCTCTGCCGCCTGTTATCTGTCCAGAGCAGTGCGACGTCATTGATGGCATCCTCGAGCCAGCTTAGTGGCAAGGGTCATCTGACCCCACTGATGACATCACCTTTGCTAGTTTTAAGGCAAAAGCCTTTCTTGTCCCAGTGAGTGAAAAAGCGGTGTATATGGCCATAAAAACATGACTGAGCGGCACACGCCGCTCAATCGTATGCTCAAGGATGACGCCGTCCTTGGCGTCATCCTTGAGGTCGTCCTAGATCTCTAGGACGACCTTACTTGTCCCGTTACATGAAAAAGCGGCGTTGTTGTGCCCGAAAGATGGCCATAAAAATATGTCATCAAGCACGCGCCGTTCATGCTCACGCTCAAGTGCAGCAGCCTGATGTCACCGCCGGAGTGCCGTGTGCAAAAGGTGCGCTTAGGACTTCATCTGTGCTCGTTGTGTGCTTCGTGCAATGGACAGTAAGGCGACCACGTCTACATCTACGGCCTCGACATCAGCAGCAGTGTCTACATCTACGGCGGCTTCCGCTAGCAAATGTGGCCACCCACGCAAATACGCCACAGCCTCCTTAAGTGTCCTCCTCTAGTCTGGTTGGGACATGCGTGTCAAAAAATAAATTTTACGCGAAAAAACAATTTTTTTAGAGCATTATCGATGGCGTGAGATCTATTATAAATTCTGCGCGCAAAGTCTATGACGTCACGGAATGGTCATACACTTTTTCCACCTCAACGAGATGGTCATATTCTCTCTCTATCTTTGCGATGGCCAAGCCGATCCACCTTTCCTCCACGCGCCCAAAATGCGGAGAGAAAACAAGTGGAAAGGAGTAGTTGACTACCGACTAAATCGCGTCTTGCGCCCTCAATATTGCTCTAAAAAATATTTTTTTCATATGAAATTTATTTTTTGACACGCGTGTCCCACCCAGATTGTTTTAAATTTTTTTTTTCTTTTCACTGGCCTTTTAAAGGAATGCTGAACCGAAATCTGGATTCCACAAAGCACGGCGGCAAAAGCGTGCAACGGGATGCTACGCAACAGGCTGCTACAAACATCAAAACACCACTCATACAACGATATATCGAACGGACGACCACATCTGACAGATATGTTCCTGTCTTATTTCTCTGAGAAAGAGAGGGAACGCCCCAACGTCCTCTCCGCCTCGCCGCCTTGAGGGGACGAAGCGAAGAGAGGAGGAGGAAACTAGATATCTTGACATCACGCGCCTCGTCGGCCTCGTTCAATCTTGACCTTTTCTTTCCAAAAATATGGCCGTCGATTCAAGATATTGTTGTAGAGATTGTAGGATCCCGCCTACAGCTCCTGCATTGTTCTGAAATCCAAATTTTGGTTCACCATCCCTTTAAGGCCCATGCATAATTTTACTGTTTACAAAAAAAAATGTTTTTCTTATAAGTGGTTTATTGACGAATGCCGGAAAGATGAAGCCAATCGAAGTTGTTTTGAAGGACTCTATCTCCTACTGGCAGTTTGCATTAAGATGCAGAGCAAGCAAAACCCTTGACTGTGTTATTTTTTTTTTTCAGAACATTGCAAGATGTTGCACACATAATAAATTTTTCTTAGTAATTTAAAATGGTTTTCAATGATGACCCATCAAGTTTCTATCTGAAATTATACTTCTATCTTTACGAAATTAAAAATTGATTGTACAAAAGTAATTAAACAGTCAATTATCCCAAATGCTATCATGTCTTCAAATAGGTCCCCTGGCAGTGACCAATAGGGCAGTAAGCCTCCTGCACAATGCATAGTGTTTGATGAAAGATATGGTTTCCATTTCGTGAAACACTCCGTATATTACCACATAAGAAGCGGAACTAAGCCTTTTATCCCTGGAATCTGCGACTGAAAATGCCTCAAACCACTGGCATTTGCTATGAAATAACAGTACACTTAAACTTGACTGCATATGCCAGCTGGATTCTTGAGGACTTCCCTACTGTCGCCCCAACTCCAACTGGCAATGCAAAGCCTGCAAAACTATTTGTTAAAGATGATGAGAATACAAGGAGTTTGTGATTTCTGGCTTCTTTTGTTTGTCCACACTCAATCACTCCTGGGATAAATTCTAAGATTTCACTTTCTGCAAACTCTAGGGAACATGTTGGCACCACGTAAAAATTGTTTGATGAGCTCTATTATTGCACTCTTGTTCTTTATTTTGTTTGCTCTTTCACAACTGATGGAATCCCTATACTGCACCCCACATTTTCTATATAATGAAGTTCCCCTGGCAAAACCTTTTCGTCTTTTGCTGCGATAGGAGCCAAATAAATAGGGAACATGCAAGAAAACTAATTTACTGCTCTAAATAAGGAACTGAAGGCAACAAAATCTAACAGGGGTACCGTATTTACTTCCTACCTCAGCCTATGTTCTGTACCTTCACTTTAATCCCAGCATGGACACTCTTCGTGTACACTCTATACACTCTACTGCTTCATCTTGTTCTCGTCACTCTAACACAACCATTACATTGATGTAAATGTAACATGGCTGCAAATTTTGCCTACTGGTAGTTTACAGTATACAAAACGACTTAATTCACTTGTCACTCAAACTGCCCTGATGCAACACTATAGGTAGAAGAAAATAAAAATGTTCAATACCTTTGGAGGATCCTTCTGCAGCAGTACAAGCAAAGCTTGAAGAACTAGGTTTGAGTACCTGGGTCCGATGGGACCATAATCTGCACACAAGAGAGAGTGATGTAAAGAACACCCTCATTTTACCAGTTTGAACCAGGGTTACAACAAACAGGTGCATGGCCACCTACCTAACAGTCGTTCAATGTTGTCCACAAGAATGCAGCTCTGCTGAGATTTGTAGGCGTCATCAAATACCTACAAACAAGAATACTGTAGAGTTAGGAAACAAGCCGGCTGGATGCCAACATTCGTTTTGCATAGATTTAACAATCATGAAATGCACAGACAGCCCAATCACACGTCTATTAATCTTTTTTTTAAACTATATTGTATACATGTGTGTCCCTCTTTTCCAACTCACCACAACAAATACTCTCTGTGCATATTTCACAGCTGCCTGCCTCAGTGGCTCCACGGTCAAGTGCCAGCCTACGAATCCCCAGTTGGTGGGTTAAAACCTCGCCAGAGTGGCTAACAATCTGATGCAAAATTCTTGTGGTGTAGCAAGTCGTAACCGATACCTTTTTTTTTTTGGCACATTAAATATTTATAGGTGGTCTAAATTATTCCTCATTCCTTGATTGGACCATAACGATATCCTTTGTTTGCTTGGCCTGTAAACCTCAAAATTTAGTTTCCTCTCATGCATATCACGCGTTCCTTTCTTTTAGCATTTATTTTTTCAACACTTCAAGACAAGATTACTTCTTTAAACCTATTTCTTAAGACCTAGACTTCCGAAGTGTTTACCTTCTTGATGATCTGGCATTTGGCAGTCTCCGTGTAGCCAACCATGGAGTCAGGGCCGCACAACTTCACAAACGGAAACTCGGATCGCAGGGCAATCTTGGCCGCCAGTGCCGTTTTGCCAGAGTTTGGAGCACCTACAAACATGTGCTTCAATGTTAGCTGGATAGTAGATACCGAATCTGGGTTAAAAGCCTCATTCTATACACATTTTCACGTCAAGAACTGCAGTAAACATGTTTAGCTCCTTGCAGCATTACTAATTTCCCCTTTTTATGTGGCAAATTAAGGCAGTTGTATGTGACTTCAAGATCAGTTATATGGAACTATTTTATCAGAATGTACACATTTGAATGCAAAAAACACTGTGTCTCACAACAAAAACTTGTGAGAACTTCTTTGCACAGTGTCTGAACTACAGTGCAAAACTTGCTTTTTTCTTCATGTGACAAGTATAGTAGTCAGCTTATTTATGGAGGAACAGTTACCACATAATGTAAGACTGCACTATGTCTCTCACAGGAAAACAGACTAAGGTTTTAGGTGAAAAATAGCAATAAATGTTCACTGCTATAGTCGGTTACAAGTCAAGAAGGTAGGAGAAGCTCCTCCCACAAGTGTGATGCGCCCGTTTCAAATCTCTCCGCAGTCGAAAAAAGAGTTCACTGGAAACGCTCCTTGTTCCGCTTCAATGGATTCCCACTTGTCTCCGATCCCACTTTTTAAGAAAGCGACCTTTGTATTCATCGGAGAGGGAACCGAGCCCCTGAAAGCAGCCTTTGTATCCATCGGGGGGGAAGCTAATCCCCGAAGGTCGCATTTGTTTCCGTCGGTGGGGGAGAACTCTAGTCTTCCTCTCGTGGCTTCCACAATGCTAAGTCAAAGTCGAACAATAAAGCAAATATGTACAGAAAGGCAAGACCCTCCTCGCGCGTTGGCCGCGACGTCAAGGAAACGGTGGGACGCTATTGGATGCGGAGGTGGCGGAGGGATATCTGATTCCCTTTGAGGGGCATTTGCCGCTACCTTCTTAACCTGTAACTGACTATAGTAAAAATAAAAGAACTGTTTCAAATATAAAAAAAGAAAACTGGTTCTCTCATATTAGTTGTTTGACAACTGAAGGAGAAAAACCAGCTATTTTTGCCAAAAATGTAATACTTGGCACAAATTTTACTATTTTAATAGCTTATTAGAAGAAAATATGCATTTCAATGCTATGACTGATGATAAGCTACAAATTTATGATTGGAATGAGCAAGCTAAACATACTATTTAAAAATATGTGAATTTTAGGTAATTAGTAGCTCGCCAAGTATCACGCTGCACTCGTGCCCCGATATATGCTGCAGCCAATATAACATTGTCATGAAGAAATCATTTCATACTATTAAATGCTTTTTTTTTTTTTTTTAATTTTACTCTAAACAAGAACACCATGTACAGTCTTCATATTGGAAGCTACAAATGCAGCAATCTTTCCAAATAAGCAAAGCTAAAAAATTATCTGCAGATTTTATCATTCAATAAACACTACAAAATCTACATGGATGGCCAGATAACTGAAAGGCAGTGTGCAATACAGCAACTAAAATTGCAGTCTTCCAAGGTAAAGCAGTGAAAATTACAGCTATGGTTGCAAAAAAAAGTTAAAACAATGCATAATGAATGATTAATCTATATTTTTATTCAAGCTTAATTGCACTTATAAAATCCTTATATGTTAACAGCAGCAGACAGCAAAAGAGTTCCTCACCTTCAAGCAAGATGGTGACCAAACCGCGAGATTCAGGTGATCGAGCTTGCTGAATAAAGAGATCACCGTCTTCAAGAATGGCACTGATAGGGGGACCCCAAGTTGTGATCCCTTTGGTTACTAGCTGTTCAATTTCCTCAGAACTTGTGCCAAATGCCTTCAATACAAAATGGAAAGTAATGCAGTCAGTTTATGCATGTCTCTTCTCTCAGTGTGCTTAGGTGTAGCACACAAGTTGCTTACCGGCTTCACATCATTTTCTAGGGCGTTCATGAAATCTGCTCGGCTAATGAGAAGCTTCTCAGCAGCTTCAGGGTCAAGCTCAACCGTACTCCCAGCCTGTGAATCAGAGTTTACAATCAGCTTGCAAATGTAACAGAAACAACTGTTTAGGAACCTGGCACTTGTAAGTGCCTGAAATAATAAAAAAAAAAATAGCAGCTACACCTTGTCAATTTGGTGAAGGCTTACACTCCTTGTGCCAATACCTTCAGGGAGCTAGAGCTCCATTGCTGTCACACATCACTCCTACAGCAGACTGATCAAGTAGTCATTGCATACATAAGACAGCAGAAGGCAGAAAAGGAAGGTCTAATATTTACGGTTTAAATGCGCACCAAAGGGGATTCTGGTTTTCTCTTCAATAAATATATCTATCTCCCCCAAAAAGAATTACGAAACATGCAAAAAAAAAAAAAAAACATGTATTAGAGAGACATTAAAGAATTTCTTACCAACAAAAACTTTATGAAAAACGTTGCAAAATATATCAAAATGTGCGTCTTGAAATACAGCTTACGAATATATAAAGATATTTTGCTTAGCAGTCACTGCAATTTTGTTATTAATGCAGAAACGTAAGTCATTTCTCTAAAAGCAGCAAAATTGCAGGTCAATATCTAAGAAACTCCATCTTTTATTTCTTTTAAACTCTAGTTAACTCCTTACAGTAACTTAAACTAACTTGTGATGGCAAAATATTGAGTAGCATATGACCTCCAATTGAGAAAAGCGACAACAAACCTTCACTCAAATTGAGCAAGCTTGTCTTCGTTTTAGGGACTTTCACACACAACGACTGCAAAAAGAGATATTCTCTAGAACCGGCAAAGTCTGTACAATGGTGCTGCTCTAGCGCATAGTGTAGAAAGTCGCAACTTAAAACCATGAGACTAGGAAGAATAAAAAACTGACAAGGGTCATTCATGCCTGTAATTCTTTAAAGGGCAACTCCACTCAATTCCAAAAAATTTAGGCTTACATGTGATTCCATTTCACAAAGCACTACTAAACAGCTCTACGTCTTCCGATTCGCGAAATGTGGAATATTATTCGTGCAATCCCAATTTAAACATCAGCTGATACCGAAACCGAAACTTCGGTTGCGTCAGGCAACATTGGTCTGGTGTTGTCAGAGTCATGGCCACGTCACGTCGAACAACATGGTCTTGTGACGTTTGGGTGACGTTCAGGGGGGGGGGGGGGGGGGGGCGACAAGACACGCGACGCGGGCAGGTCGCTTCGCATGGCGTGGATGGTGATGCCCCGGGGGAGAGGGGAGAAGACGAAAGAGGAGAGGGGGAGCAGAGAAACGGACCGATAAGCGCGCAGGGCAGCGCAAACTAGCCTATCCGCGTTACAGTGATCACGTGGACGCCGTTCAGCCTACACCGGGAGGGGAAACTCATGACGTCATCGTTCAATTTCACTCTGAGAAGTAAAAACAAACAATGTGAGAATGACGTAGTCATGCCTCTGACGTAGTGGCTCAACGTTGGCCGCTCCAACTCAGTCGCATCGACTGCGCTGATGATTGCGCCTCACGTCGCACGCTAGAGTTGGAAGATTTCGGCGACATGGCTCACTTGAAGGTTTGCTGGCCAGTTTATTAAATATATAGACGGAATTAGATTGTAATATTTGACATGGGATCTTCCTATATGATACTGAAGAGGGCTACATAGTTTTCTAAATATCAAAAATGAAGCGGAGTTGCCCTTTAAGAATCTACCTATTTTCCGGACTATAGTCCGCACCCGGTGTATAGTCTGCAGGGGGAAATTTGGGGTCAAAAATAAAAGATTTTGCTTAGATAGCCCGCACCCGGTGCATAGCCCGCACTTGGTGCATAGTCCGCACCTGGTGCTTAGTCGACACGAAAATCTTCTCATAGACGGCACTGGTTTACAAATGTCTCCTTTTTAGCTCACAATAAAGCCTATAATGAGCATAAATCATCATTAACATAAACTTCCGTGCACAAAATTCGTCACGTCTCGTCATAAACGATCTTGAAAAACATAATTCCTGTATAGTCCGCACGCGTAGATAGTCCGCACAGACAGAAATTAAAACTTTTAAACATGTATAGTCGATGGACTATAGCCCGGAAAATACGGTACTAGTGCATCTGCCAGTAATTGTTTTCCACCCCTTTCCTGTACTCTGCCTGTCAGAGTATGTCAAAGTCCTTGGATACGGTCATCCATACCACCCATGGAAAGAACCTCATCCATATCACTCGTGGAAGGAACCACATCCATATCACTCATGGAGGGAACCGCATCCATCGTTTTGACTACACACACGTCACAGCCCCACGCACCATTACTATGGAAACTAAGAGTGAAGAACAACCGGCGACGGCAGAGCAGCAACTGAGCATGCCCGCATTCCACCGCGCCGCAGCGCAACACCTCCCAGATAAAGTCGTAGTGCTGAATGAGATGGCATCATCAGAGAAGGCCAATGCTGGGCACAGATTGGACATGATGATCGTGTCAACATTCGGCTCAAACTGGACTCGAAGTCAAGCGCTAATGCAGCCCTCATTTCCAATCTGTCCAGCGTTGGCCTTCTCTGATGATGCCATCTCATTTGGCACTAGGGTTTTGTTATCTAGGAGGTGTTGTGCCGCACTGCCTCCTCTCTGGCTCCGCGCCAGCTGCGAGCGTGACTAATGAAAACGAAAGGGCTCATTTTGACGAAAAGCCCAGAGGTGTCTGTCAGTTTGTCAGCGCAGGAGAGAGGGAGATTTTGACGCGGGCTGACGTCAGCGCTTAGGACCAATAGGAGCGTCACACGCGTCACCCTTTCCCATCCTTCTCCCTCTCTCTCCCCAGTGGTGACAAATGTAAGACACGGCCGGGAGTTCATCAAAACAAGCGTCCTAATGCATTAAAAAAATAAAACTGAGAGACAATAAAACTAGTTTGTGAGCTGCATGCAACTCTTTACGTCTCAATATGTGGCTCCGATGATCCTGGGAGCTACAAACCAAATATAGATAGGACCAACTGGCAACAAAAATATTTCTTTTTCCTTGGAAATGTTACAATGAACCAAAGGACGAAAATAAGACCAGGGTAATTTCTTTCATTCTATAAACTTAATTGAGCCAATGAAGTGCATGTATTCCAGTTGTACTCATGTATTCCAATAATAAAGTGGCTGGCCAGCAACAAACTATGCACACCATTCTTTAAAATTGCAGTAGAGTTTCTGAAAGCCTTCAATGCACAGAAGTACTACAGTCCTGTCTCACTAATATGGACGCCTCCATTCCCCAGATAAATCGTCCATGATGTGATTCGTCCATAATGACAAATCAAGGTAAAGATCCCAAATAATAAACAAGTGTGGTCAGAAAAGAGTTTATTTAGTAAACAAACATTGTGACTTTCGTATGCACATATGCTTTGGAGCCCCTTTCTTATCCAAAAAGTATAACACATGTGCTACCTGCAAGGCGTAATCTCCATATCCCTCCTGTTAAAAAATTCAGGATCGTCGTCCCTGGCCGTGACACATATAAGGAAAAAACAGTGCTCCTTTTGGCAGGAAAGCTCCAAAACATTTAACCATTGTTCGGTACTCAGTGTGGGAACCACGTAGCTCCCTGTATCTAGGCCCAACTCAGGCAGGCCGAGGGGTGTTGCCATGTCAGGGCACTTCCCAGACGCGAGACGACGCCGTATTCCCTCGTGGACGACTCTCCCTTACCCTTCTCAAGTGATTTGCCACAGGCACACTTTTCAGGACCTTGATACATGGACGCCGTACGCCCCTCTGCCCCTTCTTCCTGCCACCCTGGGCGCATCCATTTCTGCAGGCTATATAAGACGGCCCAAACCAACGGCAAAGGGCGACTCTCGCTGGGGGTCCCCACAATACATATCTCAATTTGTCAAAGAGTTAGGAGATGGGAAATTGAACTTCCCCGAGTTTCAGCCCTAATTTAGACCAGAACGTCCATAATTACTGGCAGGTGCTCCAAACTATGACGAGCTGTTCCTTCTCGTACACCTTATAACTGTACTTGCCCAGTTTACTTTCAAACTAGTTGTCAATGGTCCGGACAGCAGGTTTCTATATTAATGCGACAGGTCAATTCCCGTAAAGTTTGCGTATATAGCAGGGTGCCCATATTAATGGTGTCCACATTAATGGTGTTTACATTAACAAGACATGACCATATATGCTAACAATCTGATTGCCTTGGGGACTCACCTTGATGAGCCGGTTCATGGCCGTTGATTGTGCTGCTCGTACCAGTCCCTCCAGCTCAGCGCCAGAGAAGTTTTTGGAGAGTACGGCCAACTCGGCCAGGTCGACATCTGGGGCCATTTTGCGATGGGTGCGCATCTGAGCAGTGTGAATGTCCAGGATCTGCAGTCGGCCCTTTTCGTCGGGCAATCCAATCTCCATCTGGACCTCCAGACGCCCTGGTCGTGTTAGCGCTTCGTCGATCATGTCACGCCGATTGGTCATACCGATCACCAGGATGTTGTTCAACGATTCGACGCCATCGATTTTAGATAACAGTTGGTTTACCACAGTATCGTGCACACCAGTGTTGCCTGCCTGCAAGGGAAGGATGGATCTCGAATTGCCTGTAGGCTGGTCTGTCCCCTGGGACATGCTTTCTTGGCGACACATTTTAAACATTTTACAAGTGCCTCACTCATTGGGTACTATGCGCTTTAAAAGCTAACCCCCAGTTTCCTTGTCCTCCATTCACAATATGCTTCAAAGTGATCAAGCACCCACACTCTCCAATTTAGTATGTCCTCATGCATATGTTGCTTTTGCACTAATAATGAATGAATGTGCCTGCAAAGCTTGTACAAAAACTTGATCTACTCTCCCTGCTTCATGAGGGTGGAAAAAATTGTGAAGATTTCTACCGTGGCCCATAGACAAGAAAATTACAGAAAATGCAAAATTTCTTGATGTGTTGAAAAAAAATTTTTTGAAGGAGGATGGAAACAAAAGTTGCTATCGGAAAATTTTTAATTTAGAGGTTGAATTAAATTCAAGCCCAGCTTACCACAGATCCCCTCTGCTTACAGATGGCATCAATTTCATCAAATATGATGATGTGGAGGCCACTGTTGATTCCAAGCTGAAAAATAATTCAAAAGAAATGAAAGCAACAAAATGCACATTTCTATAAACATGTGATTCTATGCTTTTTTTTTTTTTTTTTTTGGCCCCCAAAAAAAGGGGATGCTTAGTTTTGAAACACAATTACATTCATCTTCTAAAGTATATCTCTACATCAAGCCTTGCACAAACCCCATGATGCTTAGAGTCGCAGGCTGCTTAAAATTGCACAAATATTTTATTACATCCCCCAGACACTTAGCGTTACATGGAACACTACAGTAAAATCCCAGATGACCGCCCACCCTGAAAGGTCCACCCAATCAACTTCATGCAATGTCCAAGGGAAGCCCCCACTCCACTTGCTACGAGCTAAGGCATAATCTGTTGAGGTTCCGAACTTTGTAGATTAGAGGGAGATGTCCGGCCATGCCTCCAACAGGATTAGGCTAATTTTATTTTACCTTGTCTGCTTCGACGCAATTGCAGTATAAAAAATACAAGTGCTGCAAGGGTAGGGCGACCATAATCCTCGGAGCAAAAAATGGGACATAGAGAAAGGCAAAGCGGGTGGCAGAAAAAAAAAAGCTTAGCTGCTTCCCATAAACAAACACTCAGATTTTTCCTAAGTTCTCCCTTGAGAACACAAGTGCTTTTTTTTTTCCCATTTTTTAACACTGAGGAAGAAATGTTTCTGAATCAAATTCAGTAATATAGAAGTCTCCCGCACAAATGCTTATGTGAACCAAATGTATTAGCAGATTCAACTACAGTATGTTTCATAGTATTAATGTGTATTTTTATAACATTATGTCTGTAGCAAGTAAACAATCTTTGTTTTCTTCCGTTCACTTAGTACTGATTTGTGCAACTACTATGCATGTTCCCACAAAAACGGGACATGAGGCTTCGTTAAACCAAAAAGACAGGACGGCACAAATGAACCTCTAAAACGGGATGTCTGGTCACCCTATACAGAGTATGTCAGTCTACTATGATAAAATCAAACATAAAATTTAAAAAATAACCGGAAAAATAAAAACCAGTTTGCATGAATTACTACGCACACCCGACTGCACACGTCACCATATGGGCACCTTGCATCCGCTAGGAGCTGCTACCGATCGCCCAACGAACAGTGCTTCACGCGGCCCCTTTCGAGTCGGCATAGGGAGAGCGGTAGAGCTCTGCCGCCGCCCGCGCTTCCTCCAATGTGGTAGCCCAAGCAGGCATGTCGACCTTGCAACACCCATCAGTGTAGCACTGCAGTCAAGCTGCAACGGCCGAGGTCGCTTCTCGATGAGTGCGTGTGCTGCCGCCGTGAGAGGCGCGCATATTAAAGAGTTAGATTTGAGAATGCCCATTAGGCAGCAACTTGCATCACCTAGTTGACAGCGGCAGCGGAAGGCATGACCGCATGCCTTTCAACCCCAGCACGCTAGGCAAGTGCTGGTGGTCCTTTCAAAGCCAGCATGCTAGGCGAGTGCTGGTGTTGGAGTTATTTGCCACACAGCAATTGTTTATGGTGATGATGATGATAATGAAACTGCGCCCTCTATAGTTTGATCTCCTTGCCAATAGCACTGACTACAACATTGGCTACTCTGGAATGATGACTTCACATTATTTAAAGAGAAAATTAAATCTTGAGGGTATACATTCCAAACCGACAAAGAACATCTGGCACACGTCTCATAGCACTGCAGATTAATTTATACCAACTGGGGATCTGTAATGTGAAGCTGAAATATGTCACATGGTGCCTACACAGCAACGAGCCTTTGCCAAATTATAGTGCTGCTCGACTGGGATTCAAATCCGCCAAGTGGGGATTCAACGGCCAACACTCTGCTTGGACTGAGCGAGGCAGCTACATCGGTGAAGAAGATAATGCTTGCTTGCCCACCCTTTTCTCTTCTTCCTCTGCATCTTCAAACAAGCGGCGAATGTTGGCTTCAGACTCCCCAACATACTTGTTTAGGATCTGGGGGCCGTTCACAATTTTGGGCTCCCTTCCGTTGAGCATCTTTCCGATCTGTCGGGCCATCAGGGTTTTGCCCGTGCCAGGAGGTCCGTACAGCAAGATGCCACGGACATGTTTCAGATCTGCAGGCATAATCATTGTCACAACATTAACTGGTCGTCGAGAAAACTAAGCCATTTTCTTACTATCCATAAAAAGCAAGTAGACGCACCATTATTGAAATTTAAAATCTTAGAAGTGTAAAAATATTCCTATTCATTCAAGCAATGAGTATAGACAAGCACTTAGTCAATGTTGTCTTCAAGGTGAAGCGCAATATATTTTGTAAGTGAAAATTGATTTCTAAGGTTATAGGAGCAAAGGAATTGCATGTGTGTGAGTATCACATGCTATTATAAAATACCGAGCAAGAGCACACCCAAACTTTTGAGATAATTTTGACAAACATGTGATGGGTGTATGTTAGGCAAGTGTGAAAAAATATGAAAGAGGCACACAATATGAAAGGGAGCACCTTGGTTAGCAAGGTAGGCTCAAAAGTCTGATGTGGATATAGGTGCTTCAACATTCTGTTTAGGGAGATGCCACTCTTTGTAATACATGATGCCGACTGCATGTGATAATGAAAAATATACAAATAAATAGCCAGAAAGAAAATGCCCCTGTAGCACAGTCAATGCTAAGAGCTTGTGTCAGAAGACACTCTTTCATGCCCTCCAGAGCAAAAAAACCCAAAAAAACCCAAGTGTCTCAACGCAAAATAGTCCGACGTCAAAACCCTAAGAAAGTTGCATAAACATAAAGGCACTCTAGGGTGGGGCTTGATATGTCCTTATCTTATTTTTCAAATGTTTCATAGTAGCGGGTGGGCACCTATTATGACATAGGTGCATGAAACTCTCAGAAAGTTACAAGTTGTGCGTCACATCAACACAACATGGATTGTGTATTTAATACTACAGCCACCGACAGATTTTTCGGACGTTTTCGCCGAACCGTCACTCACCCCATAGAGTTAATGTATAACATTGACCTAAAATTCGGACACCATAAAGCTTATTCCTCTATATTTTGGACATAATTTGTGTGATTTCCTCAGTTTACAGCCACAAAACAGCCGCCGTAATAGCGCCGCGAGCTTAGTCACCGCCATTTTGGTTGTTATGATTTTGCCCTGTAGCCTCCATACCACGTCCTACTCAATAAAAAAGCTAGGTTGAGGCTATAGTCAAATTTTTCACTTCCGCTATAGCCAAAATGGCTTCTGTCTGCCCATTCTTATGGCTCTTCCAGTTCGTCTCGTGGTCCATGTTTTTCCAGTGCGTCCGCAAGAAGAGCAGCCGTCTGCCGTTCTTGTGGTTTTTGAGCACAAAGGTTTTTTGGTGATAGGCTTAGTATTGAAGTGAGCTTGGCGGACTAAACATTGTCTACAAATAGTGCCAAATAGCACCAACTTCAACTTCGCTGTTTGTGCCAACGAAAACGCCAACAAAGTGCAGCACCTAGATCAAACAGATCAACAAACGAGTGAAAAGTGAACAAAGCAGAAGTTGCACGAGAACTTAAAATTGACATCAAGCAAGTGGAAAGTAGCCAATACACAGCGGAATATGTGCGAAAATTTCATAATTTGGGCAGACATCAATTTTTCGAACCGCTTGATTATTCAGACAATTTCAGGGTCCCCTCCGAGTCCAAAAAATCGGTAGGCGACTGTATACAGTAATCCCTCGTTATAACGAAATCGCCTTTTTCGAATTATCGCTTTTATCGAAGTTCAACGTGGTCCTGACCGAAATTAATGCATTTTGAACCAGATTATTCTATTCGAAATGCATCGGTGGCCGATCACGCTTATTACGAAAGTCATGGAGCCAAAGGCATGCAAGCGTACACGGAGACGCACGGAGACCTTCGCATTCCCTCAGCCTTCTCCACCGAGGTAAACGGCAAACTGGGAAAATGGCAAACAACTAAATGGAACAAACGGGTGACGGAGGGCAGAGTGCCACTTCCGATGCCAATGCGCCGAGGCGGGCAGGTAGCAGTGGGAGCAGCGTCCACGTTCCGATGCTATTAACGGCACCCGCGGCCAACGTTGCCCAACTCCCATCGGTATCAGGCCAAGGGAGCACTGGAGCCCGGAGGAGATCAAACCTTCGGGAGCCCCCGACGCGTGTGCCTGCGGCATACCACATGCTACACGCACAAGTGTGTTGTATGAGAGTGGGAGTGTTTACTGAAAGTCGCTTAGATCTGCAAGGCTGAAATCGCCAAAGAATTCGACATTCCAACATCGGCTGTTCGACACTGTCCATTGTTTTACAGAACAAGTAAGGCATACTGGACGGGTTCAAAAGTTTCTCATGCAAGAGAAAACACGCCCGCGACCCGAAGATGAAAGATCGCCAGCTGCTTTGCGCACGTCGGATTTTCTCTCACGATCGTCTGCCGAGCTGGCGCACGATTCCCAGAGCTGCAACGGTCTCTGCAGGAGTGTGTGAGAACATGTCGGCAAAGCCACCGAGGATAACTCATTTGTTCGCGCTTGTCGATGCAGACGTTTCCAGCAAAGCCACCGAGGATAACTCATTTGTTCGCGCTTGTCGATGCACACATTTCCGTTGTTGCTCCTGCCATGGATGCTACGATCGTAAACCTTGCGCGAGGCCAGGGTAAACACAAAGCGACATCGGAAAGGCACTATGGGAAACGCCGACGACTGCGGAAACACGAAACATCCTAAAGCTGCTTCTAAGCAAAGTGGAGTGCAGCGGCGGTGACGGTGTTCTTGCGACGCCTGGAGCAGTTCGAGGAGAACTTATGCCCGCATGAAATTGTCGGCAAACTCCACTTAATTGCAAGCTATCTTTTTTTACTCGGTGAAGCTGCTGCTTGTGGTTCATAACCAAGGTTTGTTTGATTAAATATATGGTCAGAGTGTTCCTCAGTGTTCCCATTCACCTGGAAGGCTGCTGGTGCCATTTTTTTGCCTCTATCACTTTTATCGAATAACTGCTTATATTGAATTTTTTTGCTGTCCCGCTGACTTCGTTATAAAGAAGGATTACTGTATAAGATTACAGGCCCTGCCTGAGCTGATAGCTGCTATCGAAGGGTCAGAAATACAAACTGAAAAAGAAAATGCTAAAAGGAAGTATGACTCACTAAGTTGCTCTATGACTTCAGGTGGAAACACCCGTGAGGCAAACGCTCTTCTAAAAATGGCGCTAAACTCATTGTCTAGCCCTCCAATGCCCATCTTGTTGAAATCCCAATCCGGGTTGATGATGGACTGGCGCACCATTTTGCTGAATGCAAAAGAAACAGAGAAAACATTAGCAGCGTCTTTAATATTTCCTTAGTTGTGTTAAAAATTAACCTCTTGTTAGATTTTTGATCTGGTTCACATCTAGTTTTACCTACTGTTATATCTGTTAGCAAACTGCAGCAACCAAACTTCAGGAGAGATGCAGGTCAGTTACAAGCAAAAGTAAAATTATGTTTGAAATCTTTGATCACCATATAAACCGAGTTCTCAACAAAAAATTATATTTGAGAGATGGAAAAAGTATCCCATTTAATGTTATTGCATGCTATCTACAGTCTACAAAATATAGCAGCACAAACACTTGACTTACACATAAATGACAAAAAGACAGAATTAGTATCACTGGTATGAAACTATGTATAGTCTGTGAATTACCTAAAATCCCAAATACTTGCGGCCATAAACTCAAATAAACAGGCCTCAACAGTTCTGCATCATCATTGTATGCATTGCTAGTAAAAGTAAAAAAAATTTTGGGGGTTAGCATCCCAAACCAACGAAGGGCATTCGGCCTGCCCCAACAGAGGAGTGAGGGTTATTTTCAATCACATGGAGATCTTTAGACGTGCAATCGAAATGTCAGTTACACACCTTCTGCACAACAAACATCCATCAATTTGCGGGCGGAACCAGAACTGGGGATATGCAAGTTAGTACTTTGCCTCTGGGCCACTCATGTAGCTTGCACGCATTGCTGACCATGTCCCTTGTTTGGCAATAGAGTAATTATAAGCAAAGAACTGTACTCACAGCTTTAATAAATTATTACAAGAGCACTCTACTACTTGGTGCTAATAGAGCAAAATAATTATATTAAGCTAACATCCCTCCAAAAATACACGAGGCTTGATGACTGACGAAATGCAGCAGGTGAAGTGCATAAGTACAATGAGGCAAGATAAAAAATATTTACCCTTTAGCAGAGCCAGTGAGGCCGATTGCAGAGCCCTCCGCTTTTTCAAAAACAACTCCCGCATCTGGCAAGAGCAGTCCGATTCTAGTCTAGAAATGTTGCAATCAAAAAGTTTCAAAAACCAGTGCAAGCTAAGATATTCTAAAAACACTACATAAGCCTATTGTGTGGCACAAATCTGATGCTGATAAAGCACTAAAAGGTGATTGTGCAACTTACTGTTTTTGGTTTTCCTTGGGGTTTGGTGGCATCTCCCCTTAGGTAGTCCAAACTTGCAACTGCAAACCCACAAGCCTTTAAATTTGTCTAGAAATTTTAAGGTTCCAGATCTGTAATTTAGTGTTCTCTCATTGACCAAGCTCAAGAAGATAGGACCATTGCACAAACCAACTACATGGATATTTGATGTTGCAGATAACTGATTAACTGGTTACTCATGTAGGGCAGCAAGTGCAACTATGAGATGGCATTTATTGCCTTCAAAGTATGAATACGAAGCACCCTTGGATCACTCCATACCCACGAAAAAAAATGCACCATAAATTTTAGGAAACGGGTATTAATCACCTTCCATCTCCTTGACAACCAGCTTGAGAAGTTTCTTGTCCAGAAACCCATAGGCCAACTGAAACCCAATATTTCATGTTCTGTAAATAGCACTACATAGGTATATACTATTACAAATGCAGATGTTTGCCACAACAAAGATATATAGTAGAAGTAGACAAACTCTCACCATTTGACCAACGGTAAAGGCCTGCTTTGGAAACTGCTGCACAAAGTCACTAGCCATCTTGTCTGTGTCATAAGGGTCTTTAGTAACACTGTGGGGAGAAATTAGGTTGGTACCTCTTTACTGCTTTGCAATAAAACCTAGGGTCTTACAATACAGCCTTAAAAGAAAACAAACAAAAACCACCATTATCTACCAAAACAAGGATAACAGTTTATTTTAACTGAAGGATATAGGCACTTCGAGAAAACAAGTTTATTTTAAAAAAATGCCTGTAGGCACTTTGAATTTACATGAAGGTAAACACACTAAACTTCTTTCAGATTATTTTACAGATCATTGGAAAAAATACAGATGCTAAATTGTTGCCAGATAATATCGTCCTGATATCTTAGAATGACATCGATCTGCTCAAGAGATTCTCTGGGGTGCAGCAGATACAGCATTAATAACTCTGAAGGCTGTCTGTCAATATATAGATCTCGTATGTACAACACCAACTACTGATTTTCTGAAAAGCCCCTCGCTGATGCATGAATCTTGCCTTTTTATGGCACGTGTTACAGTCGCTCGCAGGATGAGAACGGCAGGAAGTCTCCCTCGGATGCCTGACCTCCAGCACGCTCTCGTTGCCTTCATCGTGCTTTTGCTGTGAGTGCACGATCAAAGCTCACGAGATGCTGCAGCGTTACCGAAGGCAGGAAGCCTGTCCAGGAGGAGGGGCAACTGAAAGACCTCCTCGCAGTTCTAATCCTTTCGGCAACTACAAACTATGTTGCATACTTACTGCACTTGCTCCCCACTGTCAAACTTGCTGCCATGTAGCATTTAGGAACCCTCATCACGTTTACAGCGGGTGACCCGTTTCCTTCTTTACTTTCCCTCAGTCGGCAAAACGTGGCAGCACATAATGCTACTAGTAGTTTGCTCACTAAATAAGTTACCACAATAAACTTAAGAAAACAAAAAAAAAATGTTTGAGTTCTTCAATGTAGTTTGAGCAGTGGCAGTATACAATTTGAAAACTAAACACTCGAGACAGCTTTTAGTACACCAATTCCATGCACAGCAAGTGTAATTAATGCACAACAGAACCAAAATGTCTCACTTTTTCTTTTCAAGAAAGTCCACCTCAAGCGTGATTTTGGCAATGTATTGCGTGTTCGGATCAAAAACGTATGGCCGCACATCCACCATCTGGCTGATCGACAGTTCAGCCCATTTTCTCTGAAAGAACATAAAAACACTGTGCCCTAATGAACTTCATAAACAACAAAAAAACAAGTCAGGCTTTTTTTCTTTTTCTGCAGCTCAACAAAGCAATTTAGAAAGTTCATGGTTAAAACAATTAGTCATATAGCGGGGTATCCAATTAGACACTGATAATTGGATACCCTGCTATATGGACACCATTTTCAAGGACAAACTGGGAACATACATGCATTTTTGTATTGCTAATATGGACAACTCACATTATGAACGATTTCTGGGGGGAACGGAGGCGTTCATATTAACGAGACATCACTGTATACATTAACTCTTTCCTGACCATGGAAAAAGTAGCAATTTGCAAAGCATCCGAGCAAACGCTTATATTTTCCTAACTAGCTTGCGTACGAAGCAATATGACACATCAAAATATGGCCATTCAGTTGTTTAAAAAAAAAAAAGAAATTAGTATAATGTGAAAAATTATTTTAAAATTTTATTACTTGAAAATGCAATGCACAGTCTCCTGCAATATGAAAGATCCAATAGGAGCACGTGGCCGAGACGTTGGTGAGCAGGGGCACTATGCTTGCTTCGTGCGATACCATTCTGATTTGAGGGGAGGACACCAAGTTCACTAAATCGGATTCAACCAGGCCTTGACGTGCCTAAAGTGCGAGACACATGCGCGAAAAATCCATCCGATCCAGCAATACGACTGCCTGAACCGAGAAGTTTGGTCGCTTCAGACGTCGGATCGGCGATCAGGTGTGCGTCCGACGTACCAGATAGTTTCGCATGGCAGACGGACTGTCGGAAGCGCTTAGCCAATGATAGCACAGCTAGCGCGAATGTCATGATGACATACTGGGTCTGGCAGGACGAGCAAGAAAACGGGGCTGACCCTGGGCAACGGGAAGCCGGACGCGTGAATCCCGCTGACCCATTCGGGAAAGGTGGCCTCAGAAAGAATGCACGCGCTAGCGAGAATGAGCTCCTAATTTCGCTCGTCCCGTCAATCGAGGACCAGAGATCTGTATAGGAACACGGATTTCCGCTGGAGCGCCTGGATCTCTTGGGTGGAGCTGAACGGATCGTCGTGTCGCATGCAAGGTCGGAAGCGTGCGTCTCCAACTGTCACGTGCGGCAATTCGGAGGGGCGTTCGGACTGTCGGATCGGACGATTCTGCTGTCCATGTGTCTCGCGCTTTAGGGTTCAGTTTAATGAGAGAATGCGTTTCATTGGTGTCATTCCCAGAGATATGGTCATGAAGGCTCGAAACAAGCATAGTCATCCCTGTTTTTTATCCATTGTTTCTGGTATAAAATGTCAGAAGAGGCACTGCCAAATAAAGAAATATTGAAGTTATCCCTGTGTACCGTAGCGAAAAGATATAATGCATGAAAGCGTGCATTTGTTTGTTAAAAGGACTGCAGGGATCTCCCGCTTTAAGTCAGAATAATCGCTTTTGCTCAGGCCGGTCTCTCACACACAGCCGTAGCAAGACGCTGAGGAACTGCTTTGTGCATCCCCTCGGACTAGAATGGAATCGCCCGGAGCACGCAGTGCCCCCACCAGCCACCGTCTCGGCCACGCGCTCCCAGTGGGTCCTTCGCACTGCAGGAGACTATGTGTGGAAGGCGTATAAACACCAAAACATCTACAGCTATGTCAAATTAAATGATAAATAAGAAAAATTTAGAATGTATAAACTGTGCCCCACACCCATGGCTATTACTTCTGGAAGTTAGTGTACTCTCACTAACGTTGTCTATTTTTGGTTCGTCGGAGAGTTAGCCTCCATAACACGTATGCTTTTCAACAAAGGAATGCTTATATTGGTAAAGCACAAATAGTACACCTCACATCCCCAGAAAATGCTTTCTTTGTGTTCTACCTTAGTTTGGTCATAGCTTGATTGCAGTTCCCCCATATTTAGAATTTTTGTGTGCCTTGTTCGGAACATAAAATGTGCACACCGGCTCAGGACAGCCTTGGAAATTATACTGATGCTTACCGACAACTCTGCATCTGTTAATCGATGCCTATACAGTGCAACCCACTTAAAACAATACCACATATAACGATGTACCACTTATAACGATCAGTTTCTAGAGTTTCTAGACTCGAAATGATAAGTTTTTAGTCCAGATACAATGATAATCGGTTATAACAATTGAAATTTCTGGCTTTCTCATTATCGTTATCAGTGGGTTGCACTGTAACATAATTTCAAGTGTCCCCAGAGCTCTTAAAGGGACACTGACACCCCTCAAAAAAATGTTTTTTATTTTTTGCCAGGCGCTTCATTATGGTGTCGGAGGACTACCCAATTAATATTTTGCAACAGAGTAGCGTATTTTTTTAATAAAGCCAAAAGACGCAACTGCTCGAAACCGAAACCCGACGGAGGTCGGTGAAGTGGAGAGAAGAGAGTGAGTGGCGGAAGTCACGTGGCTACACCCGACCGTGCGTTTTTTGTCTTTTTTTTTTTTCTCCTCTCCGTAGCAGACGACACGACATGCGGCGTGCGGGAACTGCTCGCCGTGCGATACTTTTACAGTTATGTTTGTTCCGCTCGTTTTTCTGTACTCCAAGATGAGTTGTTTTGTACATTGAGGAGTTGGAGATGAGTAGTGAGTGCCCGTTGTGAATTTCCATGATCGGCTCCGAAAAGAATACACCCAAGATGTTGCGTGAAGAGCTGGTTCACATGTCCTGCATCCGAAAAAAAGTGGCATTGTGCGACAGAGTTTCCGAAAGATCAACGGGATCGGGACCAATGGCTGGCTGCAATTCCTGTAGAACATATACGGGCACCTCGGAAAGCGGACGCTACCTGATTTATATGCTCCTTGCATTTTGTGGAAAGTGATCACATTGAGTTCGCAGGTGTCAAAACGGAAATCCCATACCATTTAATTCAGCGAAGTATCGTCCACAACATTTGTTTGTTATTTTTTGTTTGTTTCTTCAGTGATGATTGTAAAAAAAATAAAAAAAGATATGTAAATATCGGAAAATGGTTGAAAAAAAAAAAAAAAGAACATAACGGGGATCGAACCCGGACCTACCGCATGTGAACTGGATGTCTTTCCCACTGAGCTACAGGGGCATCTCTTTTGTGGTGGATCTCTTTCCTTAGTAATAATTCAGCCGTTAAACTGTAAGTTGGAAAGTTTGCTGTCGATTTTTTTCTAGCAAAAGCACTCCCGGGTGCGTCGAAGACTAGAAGCACCACGCTTTGGGGACATTCGCACCTAGTACAGAAATCGTACGCGTGCATATTCAACTCGAAGTAGACACGTCGTGCTTGACGTTTTCGCGAGCGATGTCTTCAGCCACGAGAAGGGAGCGACGGCTCGGCGACGTCTTCGTGCAAATCGGCTTGGTGGTCGGGCGTGTCGTACGGGATGAATACCCATTATTTTGATCAGTCCCAAATTTCTTTTTTAACGGTAGACAGAATTCGCCGGTACCGCGAACGACAGTTCTGAAATAGAGGTCTGTCGTTCGCTGCCCTCGCCGTCCCCGCAAGTCCCACGATACGCGAAACGACGAACGCACGGAATGCTTCCGGTTGTCTGTGGAACTTTTTTTTTCAATCAACGTATTTACAGCTTTTTAGAAGCCACAAAATATGGGTTTCATCATTTTTTCTATTTTTAATACTAAGTGTGTGCCTTCAGTGACCCACGACTTTGATTAAATTTGGTGGTCGCATCGATACCTTAGAAAACGGCCCGTGACCGCGAAAAAGAGAGTGAGCGAGACTCGAACCGGCCAGTTCTTGATCGGCGGTTTTCGGGCGGAAAGAAACCGAACTTCGAGCCGCAAATTCTGTTGTGGGTAGTTGAGCTCTCATATGTCACGTACAACTAAAAACCTCGGCGAGCATAAATACCCTGTCAGTGTCCCTTTAAGGTCTAACATAACATGCCACAACACACTTGAATTATGCCAATAATCCCATCTTTGTTACGAAGACTAATGCAAGCAGTTAGCCACGTTAGACAAGTGCAACCACCGTTCCCAGGACTATTTTTGACAGCCCACCAAGTTGTGATAAAGCTTAAACCTACCTTGAAACCGAAACTAGCGTTTTTTGGCTATCCATAAGATTGTGGAACATCATTCTCCGCATTAAATTAAATTTCTTGACAGCGCTTGGAAATCATCGATCACCGGTGATCAATGGCCTACAGGCGCAATCAGGAAAGAGTTAAATACCATGACTGCTGGACCTTTCAGACACCAACAATGATTAAAAATTCAGTAAAAACATTTGTTCAAACAGCATACTAACCATGGGCAAGCTGAAACCCATGCATCCCGGCTTCACTTTGTCAGAAGTTTTGATAGTGAAGACAAACTTGTGGTTTGTTGTTGTGACCTCAACATGTCTGGTAGGTGAAAAACATACAATAAAAAGGTAAGCTTTCCAAGGCTAGTAAAAATGTCGAGGGAAACTATTGAGCAAATAACAAGGAGCCATTTGCACCATGATCTCACCTGACTTTGTCCTCGGAAAAGTCCACCTGATTTACAGCTGCACAGTTAGATAGCGAAATCTCCTCTGTAGGGCATCTGTCCACCTTCATTTGCTGCAACAAAATAGAAAATTTGTGATGTAATGCAGAAAATTTAGCAATACCAGGACAAAAAGACAAAGTTGCAAAGAGATAGACAAAAATGGTGGACAAGTTGCAAGTATGGTCTGTCCTTCCTGAGGGCAAGTGGCCTATTTTCATGACAGAGTTGGAGTTCAAAACATTTTGAGATGAAATTTCGAATTCTGCATGGCTTTGCCTGCCATATGAAAATCTAGGGCATGGAGATGCATTTTTCAAAAAAGATAGCTTTGACCATACGAGAAGTGGAAATTAGCACCCACTGCAAGCACACTAGCACATTAACGGTAACCAGCACTTTGCTCTGTAGAATTCCCAATTTTTATCACGCCCTTCAAAGTTCAATAGGATTGATGGGAATACCCGATCTAGTTATCTAGTTGCTTTTTAAGAGAGCAATAGACTCATGCAAAGCATTCTCCTCCCTCACATAAAATGCATATGGAAATAAAATGAGCAGCTTTCATGTACATAACACTTGTTCGTTCAGGGAAGCTGTGGGCCCAACTTTTCATTGACGGGCGATGCATTAAATGGCTTGCTTGATCTTGCCAACCAAGTTTACTAAACACTCTGTCTAGAGGTCTGTCAGACGTATCCAGTCAATTTCCTTAGAGGTTCTGTCGAGAACAAAGGTTTCCGGACCACGTGAGCGGTGGCCGATATGCATTGCTGCACCCTGAGAGCGCAGCACTTGCTGTCGAGACCGGTGCTTGACGCATGCGCATCCTTCCATACTCGCAGGGATGCCGATTCTCTCGTTTCCAGCAGCTTCACTACGATTCTGGATAATTTGCCATGTGGCACCGCTTCGAAAGCATCTGCACCAAGCTGTGCATGAGATCCGAGCTAAGAAGCCACGCTGGCCGACTGGCTGTGCCTGTGGAGCAGTGAGGGAGAAGGATTCGCCGATCTTGCAGCTTACACGGCGGCACGCACCGCTTTTGTGGTAATTTTCTTCACCCATTGATAACGAATGATATAAGGACTGATTAACGTGGAACAGTTTTGACCCTTGCAAGAATGTTACCATGAGGTGCTCAAAAATAGAAAACTCATGCTCATTAAAGGCACCTCTGAAAAAGTCCAAGAGCCGAGTCGTTTAAGCTTTCTAACCCGAAATAATCATTTATTTGGCCTTTGCAAAAGAGCAAGAGTTGGAAATTATACTCATGAGAGACAAACTGGTGTGCCGGTTGCTGAACGACATCCTTGACCATGAAAGACCAATAGCACGGCCAATGCTTTCTAGGTGGCAATTATGCCTCATTCACATTGGTGGTTGAACCACATTCGCGAGGCGGTTAATGCGCATTTGATGACGAAAATGAGCGAAACCCCTGCGATTTGAACACCAGTCTGAGAGCAGCATGAAAGAAGAGTGGGAAAGTCCGTGCACGACCTGAGCTGGTGGCATCCCTCTACGAGTCTCTGCTGCGACGTGTAGAGCAAGTCACTGCAGTGAACGGTAATTTTAACGGTCATTAAGCTGTTTACTTGCAAGATCAACTAGCGGAAGCATATGCTCTATGTAATTTTGTTCTTTATGTGAATAAAGAAATCGGCCTTGGGGTCGGAGTTGGGAGAAGACAGTTGCTGCAAAAGCGCCACCCACCGCCATGCAAGCTTGCGAGATCTGTGAATCCTCCCCTCCCGCTGATTCACAGGTGCGGCCAGCCAGCACAGTGCTGCTTCTTAGCACAGATCTCTAGCACAGCTTGGCACAGATGCTTCTAAAGCGGCGCCATGCTGCAAGTTATTGATAATCGGAGCACGGCTGCCGGAAACGAAAGAATCGGCATCCCTGCGAGTATGGAAGGATGAGAATGTGCCAAGTGCCGGTCTCGACAACAGGTGCCGCGCCATCAGAGAGCGCAGCGATGCATATAGGCCACCACTACTGTGGTCCAGAAACTTTTGTCCCCGACTGTACATTGGACGTACTTGGTGAATGTTTTTAAAGGTATGTCGGATATACCAGGTCAATTTCGAAATTTCCTTAGAGGCTTCATTCTAACCTAACCTAACTTTTCCATTGCCACCAGTGCAAACAATGCATTTAGATATATTGAATGGTCAAGTCACCTTTCTTGCAGAAATGTGGAATTGGTATTTATATTAACATGCTTGTACTTTGTAGCTCACATTATTTTCGTGATTGGTTGCAGACTGGCGAAAATCTATTGCTCACAGTTGCAGCACATTTACCACGTTATGATAATGCAGGTGTCATATTGCTGCTTGTATATTGGCAATTTTCATCACGTGTTTCCTAACCTACTTTCACGGCTTTGTCTTTAGACCGCCAGGCGCTGTGAAAATCCTATTTGCTTGAGAAAGCTGGCGAGCCAACCTGCCACCACAGCTTTTTGTTCAAACCGCTAGGTGCCCTTAATTTTGCTGAAGTCGCCGGACCTTCGGTTTTCCCAGTGAAAACAATCAAGTGGCGTAAAACTTTCATCACGTGGAAGTTGTACAAAAATCATAATGTGGGAACACTCAATTGATTATGTCCGAGGTACCCTTAGGCAAATGGACCAGTTACACCCAACATACTCCTCTAGACTTTGTTAGAATACAATGAACAATTTTGTAGACTAAAACGATTTATTGGAAACTTTGAAAAATAGTTTGATACAAGAGGGCTACATTCGAATCCATTTTTGTTTCTGTTGTAGTCGAATTTGTCTCTTTTCGTCTTGTTCACTTCCTGATGCTCATTTTCCTTGGGGCCGCTAACGCCCGCTTACACTTCCGAGATGAAAATTTTTGCGTCCTTGCAAATGCTGTCGTGATCCTCTGTTATGTAGGCGAATCGGTTGATTCGGATGTCTAGCAGACAAGTGAATCAGTATGGGGCATCGGGTAAGCCTGTTTTACTCTTCAAATTGAGGAATCTCTAGTTGACACAGGGTCGTTTTGGGGTCGACTCGTGATGCAGTTGTTCGACAATGATGACGGGTGAGGCGCACAATGATTTGGAAGGTCGTATTATGCCTTTTCGAAGCCATTCGTTGGGGTCTGCACGAATAAATTTCTTGTTGGCATTGCAGGTTTAATAAGGTTGCGTACGGACAGGCTACTCGTCGGTGAGTTTGATGCAGTGTTTGTGTTTGCAGAGACCAAGTCCTCTTTGGGGCGGGCCGCAAAAACTTCCGACATTTTCCAGATGTGCGCGTTTTACTTCCTTGAAGTTCTCGTTGTGTACATCAAAGGGCTCGTTAAGAGAGCAGACAGTGTTTTTAACCTCATTGGACGTCGGGAGGGTTGGAAAATTTGCTTCTTCCCTCGCCGTGGAGTCGTGAGTGTCGACTGTTGCAATAGATCTGAGTACAGCAAGACAAATCGAGTCTCGATGTGGTGTCTCAGGATGCCTACCGTGGCGCGGGAGATCCGGCGTGCAACGAGAGCTGGTCACGGCCAACATCTTGTTTATGGGTTCACAGGGCTGTTGGTTTTCCAGCTGAGACGATTGGTTGAAGAAACGTGTATAGGAATCGGTGTGATGAAATGTGAGGTCGTGCCGTCGCCGTCCCTGTTCGTTGATGTGGAGGAATGCTCGTTGATCAGATCGGGTTGCGTCTTGGAAATCCATTCAATTGAGTGGGTTCAGCTACTGTAGCGCTTGATATAATCTAAAGGAATGGCTTCGCGCCAGTCGAGGTCAACAGCAAGTGTATGTGGGAGATTTTTTACTAGTCGCACCTCGACTGTAGCAACCATATGTCCGAAAGTAATGGTCGCTTCAATAAAGCTTACTGTTGACACGATCCATTGTCTTGTCGGAGGTCGCGTTCTGGTGCAGCATGCGAATTTGTCTTTGTTGCGGGGAAGCTGCTTTTTGTTCCCCGGTGCCTGTATCCGGTACGGGACAGTCTTTCGCGCAATGTCCTGCCTTTTAGCACCTTGAACATATATCCAATTTTAGAATAGCAGGCATCGTTATGCAGACCTTCGGTGACGATGCATGAGGCACAGTCGCAGCATTTGATGTCGGGAGCAGTCTTGCCTTGGTTCCCGTGCTAGGTGATGGCATGATTTCGGATTCATACTTGTGGTCGGTTTGTCGGTCTAGGCGTGAAACGTGGATGAGGAAATCGGAAATTGATCCTGGGTGTAAGTCGTAGAATGCAGATAGCATAGGTTTGTGGGTATTTGTTTGTATGCCTTTGATTAGTGGGTCAACAACATCTGCGTCCATGAGTGGATATCTTCCTTGCTTGATTTGTTGTAGGCAAGAGTGCATATAGACGGCAAGTGTTTTACCTTGCTGCTGAACTCTGAGGTTCACGTGTGAGGCCCATTGGTGAAACAGAAGAGGCTCATAGAATTCCGCTTTGATGGCTGCTATCCACACAGTTCAATCCGTGAGTCTCATGCCATCCAGCGGTACCATTCGGAAGCTCATCCGCGAAGGCGTGAGATCCCTACGCTCAGCGTAGCTGGTTCGTTCCAGTCTGACCGATCTCTCATTGATTGGGTGGTAGCGAGTTATTCTGGAAAGCTTTCAGTTTCTTTTCCAGAGTAGGTCGGCAGCGTTAACGTTAGATCTGGTGTCGTGGTTATGTGCATTGAGGTATCGCAGGGAGGTTTGACTTGCCGTTCGAGGAGTCGTGCGATCATCTCAAAGTCAGATGCCAAGGTTGTCGTGGTGGTCGTGGCATCCGTTCGATTCTCTGTGGCATTGGGTGAAATCAGGTCTGTTATCATGACCTCGGTAGGTGGTTGCTGTCGTCTATCCGGCGATTTTTTGTTGTCGCAGCCCGTTGCAGCCGTGCTCGGTGCAAGATTTGTTTTGGTTTTCCTCGTTGGCCATGTTAGAATGGAATAAATGATTTTGTAGACTGTAAAAAAATGTTAATGAAAATTCTGAAAAATAATTTAACACAAGAGGACTAAATTTACGTCTGTTTTCATTCCTGTCGTAGTCAAATCTGTCACTCTTTTCGTATTGTATGCTTCCTGTTGCTCATCTTCCTCGGGGTATTCTTCCTTTCCCACTCCCACACAGAATTGGTCAAACGTCTTCAAGTTTAAGTCTTTGGCCGCTAACATCCGCTTACACACTGCATTTATTAAATGGCCCGTTTGACTCACAGTAAATGGTTCTTTTGAATGACAGTAAGTTCATTTACTGATCTTTGACGTTGTCAGAAACATTGTTTTATCTCTGTGTTTCATCACTGCTCATCTAAGTTTGTTGATAGAGTTTTTGTCGACTGCCTCTGCTTTAAGACACAGGACGGGGCCACATTTTCACAAGGGCTCTGTGCACATGTATACAGTATTTGTTTGTTTTATTACGCTCAAGAGCAACAACAGGAAGAAAAAAAAATAAAAACAATTTACTAGTGGCAACAGCACGATGTGACAGATCACACTGAATAATTAACCAAACGGGCGCTGACGCATGTTTTTCGTCCTTTACTTTCAGGCCCCGCCTCCAGAGGCAACAGGTAAAATGGGGCACTGTCCCTTCCGACACGATCAACCATAAAATAGAGCATAAACATTCGGCCAATATAAGTACCGAGAGCATCCAAATAACGTGACTGGCTCGGAGACCCAGATCGAATGGCACATTTGGGGGAGGCCGTTGAGCAAACGCCTCCGCGAAGCAGCAAATAAAAAAATAAGAAAGCGGTGTTGACAGAGTGCATTCTCAGTTCTTCCCTAAAATACCGTGACTACTAAAATATAAGTGAACTCTGGACTACATTAAATTAAGGAAGAAACAACATTGCGCCGTAAAAACGAGAAAATTGACCTCCGCTGTAAACGTTTGTTTTCGTGCTTTTTTGTTGTTTTTTCCGTGCCGCACTATTGATTTTTCTGGCCGCAACACGAACTCGTTAAACCGAAGTCAAGCGTATTCGGAGGGAGTAGAGGTTTCAGATATAAAAAGAAGATCGAAGGAGAAGGCGTCATATCGCTCTGTCATGGAAACTGATAGAGTTCGAAAAACCCAGGCCGTGAACACCGAAACTCGCTCCAACTCCGAAATATCAACAGCACGCGACACCAACTCAGATGTCTTTTTCGACAGTTCCTTCAAATGTTAGAGAATATCTGGTACGCTTTTTGGGGCATGCACAGACTGTAATGCGCGTATTCACAATGCGGTTCACGTCTCAGAAATGCTCGGATTACTCAGACAGGCAACGTCACCGCGAGGTAACAGTCACAATCGCTACAGAGCCGTTACACTAGTACACGGGATATTCCTGCCCTGTTTACTACGACGGTGTGGCGGATAATTACATAAACTTCACTTATAGATTTGATAAACATGGATTTACCTTCGTCGCTGACATGGTGAGGACCAAATGGTTTCACGGTTACCACACTGCGACACTGCGACAGCGCCGCGTCCTCCTCCCGGTGTTGCAGTTGCAGTCCGCTGCTGCTCTCCTCTGCCCGCTCTGCCTCAGCAACGTTGGCCTTTGCCTGCTTTGCCCAGCTTTGCCTACAAATGATTATAAAAGATGGGCGGTGACTCGCGCCACCTATACAACAAATTTGAAGCAACCAAGCGCCTTATCGTTGAGTGGGAGAGGCTGCGTGTGATCGCCAATCAGTAAAAGTGTCCCAAAAGTGGGAAAAGCGAGAACAAAACAAGAAACTAAAACTTTTACCTGTGTCGGCAATCTGAACTTTTGCTGACCCTCCTGTCTCAAAAGGGGTTAGGCACCGCTAGCTTGGCTAGCTTACTAAAACTAAAGGACATTCACCAGGTCATCGTAGCCTGCAACAGCAACATATGTTCATAACTGTTGATGAATGCTTTATAAATATGTTAATGAAAATTCATGTTCCTTTTTTTTTTTCCAGCAGACTCAACGTTGAGCCCGTTGAGCCTATGCGTTGAGCCACTGATCTCTATGACAATTGCTGGATCGCGTTTGCCCGCTCCGCGAATGCGGTCACTGGCGGCCATCTTTAGGTAGAGTTATATCACCTCTAGCCGATGTAAGCTGCTGCAGCCGCTGTCATCCATCCATGGTTTTGGCAGGTGAGTTGGAAGGCAGCGGTCAAATTAGCGTGGGTGATATTGCGTGCTTGATTAAAATTATTTGACGAAACATGTTTTTGAAACCCGGCGTGAACAGTAGTTCGGTTTTTTAGGACTTGGTAAAAGTTTCACGAAATTGCAGCACCGGGAGAAAAGCTGCACAGCACGTATCAAAAGTCGCATCAAAAGAAGCATCGAAAGCAGACGACGGTACGGAGTCTGCTTTTGATGCGAGCTGCGCTGCTTTCCCCCGGTGCTGCGCTTTCGTAGAACTTTTGCCGGGTCCTCAAAGATGAGGCTACCGTTCACGCCGGGTTTCAAGAATCTGCTTCGTCGAAAAACTTCAATCAAGCACGAAATGTCACCCACGGTACAGTGTACTAGATCTACGGCTATTTTTAGGGCAGCCTGCCGCCATTGCGCTGTCCGCCATATTACTATGATGGCTAGAGATGATATAACTCTACCTAAAGATGGCCGCCAGTGACCGCATTCCGGTCCATAGGAGGAGCTGGTCAAACGCGATCCAGCAAATAGACATAGAGATCAGTGCGTTGAGCAGACTCCCAGCCTCCAAGTCCGAAACTGATGAACGGCAAATAAATCCAATCCAATCCACACTATGCATGTGCACATGTGTATGGTACGATGGTGGGTCGTTGTATCACTTGAAATGCTTGAATAGTCGAATTTCGTTCTTCTTTTTGCGTTAGTATGAGTTGTGAGTTGTTGACGAGTTCTCAGTTCCAAGAAAACACACCTGAACAAGCATGACATCGGTTATTGATTACAAAAACAAAGTTATACTAGCACCTATGGTGAGGATAGGCACCTTGCCTATGCGACTGCTCGCCTTGCACTACGGGGCTGATCTCGTCTACTCTGAGGTATACTGTAGCTCTGTTTTCACAATACTGTCATGTCTTGCTCTTTTTTCCTAGCTTTTACGACACACTTGCCAAATCAGGTTATTTTGATGGCAGCATTCCATCTTTTTTTCTCTCCCTAGGAACTCATAGACTACCGCTTGTTGAAGTGTCAGCGGTTGGAAAACCGTAAGTGATCTGTTCAGCATCCTTTAAAAACAGCCTATCTTCGCTTTAGGAAACAATATACCCTCTCTCGTTGTTTTGTGTTCTGTACAATGAAAGGAACAACGTATGGCAATGTTTTGGCTTTTAATGTTGATTTTTAGCTAAACCGTCCCATGGATGTCGGTGGCGCCAGTATTTGCCCATTCCCGACATTCCTTGTGTGCGATGGGAAAAAAAGGGGGAAAAAGGGGGGGGGGGGGGGGGGGGGGGGGGAGTCGGTCATGACCCTGAAAGTATGTCTTTACTTATGCAGCGAGAGTGTGGCTAAACCTCCTTGTTTATTCAAAACAGGAATCTGTTGTGTTGTATCATTGGATACATTTGTTTCCTTCACCTTGTTATCTTGTTTTAGATGTCTGTAGGCAATTTTTGGATAGTAAAGTGAATATATTGGTGCAGCTTTGCCTCTTGCTCTTCAGCACCCAGCCACAGGATAGTTTAGATGAAATATTTTATTTCTGTGCAGGCATGGTAGAATGCAACTACTCAGACACTTTGCAGTGCCTGTGGAGCCATTGAAGAGATTGTAATGTATACAATAAATAAGTGTGATGAACGGTGCGTGCATTGGGCCATACTTCCGAGTGTTACACACTAAAACTTGCCAATATGATGCAATCTCTGTACTTGCAACTTTTGTAGAGGTCCTGGGCACTGTGGACTATATCGATGATGATCATCAGATTGTCTTTCGAACATGCGAGAAAGAAAGAGGAAAGAACATTCTACAGATTGTGAGTGTTGTATGCTGTTATTTTACTTTTTTCTCGCCCTCACTCTGTGTTAATATGCATGTATACCGTACAAACTCCATTTTCTCTGAACATTGTTTCGAGTTGCATGGTTTGCCAAACTACATATTATCGTGCTACATATCGCCAAGCAGTGAAATGTAATGCTACTTTACTTTCTAGGGCACTTGTAGCCCCGAGCGTGCTGTGCAAGTGGCCAAACTTGTGTGAGTCTCTACTTTTTAAGTAAACAGTGCTGCATATACTACTATGGGTGTGTTTCAAAAAGTTGTGGACCGCTTTGATGTGAATTCCACATGCATTGCAGAGAAAAAGATGTTGCAGGAATTGATGTCAACATGGGATGCCCAAAGGAATTTTCACTGAAGGTCTGGGTGAATGTAACTGTGCAAAGTGCATATCTCTGAAGGACCTATTTGGCATTGCAGGGTGGGATGGGTGCTGCTCTGCTCACGCAATTGGACAAAGTGAAAGCCATTCTTACAGCATTGGTGCAGAGTACAACCTTGCCAGTCACCTGCAAGATCAGGGTTCTTGACAGGGTATGAATCAATCCTGGGACTACAAAAATATCAATTTCCAAATGTTTTTCTTTTTTTTTAAATTGTTTTATACCAGTTTCTAATAAGGGCTGTCTTGCCCCTTCTTATTTGTTGGTTCTAGCTAGAAGACACCCTTGCACTGGGCAAATTGATTGAGTCAACTGGGGTCAAGGCACTTGGTGTCCACGGACGAACCAAAGAAGAGAGGCCACAACATAAAAACAGGAATGCCACAATTAAGGCATTGGCCGAACACCTCACTATTCCAGTCATAGCAAAGTAAGTGCCGCTTTGAAAGTTGCATGCCATTTTTTTTCTCATCGTGGATTTTCGCTATTATGGATCAGTTATTTTAACTTAGAGTATTTTGTATCATGCACTGTTTTCTTGAATCATCTTGTGTGCTAGTCACTGTTCTTCGACAGAGCCCCTGGAAATTTCACTGTCATAAAATAAATATGTTTAGTGCAGTGCTTGCCAAAGGCAGTTTATCAGACTGAATATTCCCCAGAATATATTAGCAGCTTTTGTCTTGTACACAAAAAAAGTAAATGTTTTTCTTCGTACATTAATGGTGGTTACTACTTGCATCACATTGAAGGCGAGTTGTAACTAGAGATGCCGCAAACTTTTTGCGAACCTGAGGTTCGAAGATCGAAAGGTCTGCAAAGTTTTGAAACGTTAAACCTATTACATGAGAAATTCAATGATTTTCAAACCTCAGAATTTTTGACCCTAAGAAATTCTATTGTTTTCTAACTAACTTTTTCGTGCTATGAAATTATAAATTTCCTAACTACCATGCTAAGAAATTCAAAGATTTTCTAACTTTCGAACCTCTTAAGTTCAAAAGGTCGACGAACTTCGAACTTCTGATCAAAAGTTAGACAAAGTTTGAACCAGGTTCACCCCCATGGGTTCAAGCGGTTCAAGGCAACAAATATAAATAACACAAGATGCCATTGTGTGAAGGGTAGTTGAAATTGCTTTAGAGTCTTACTTAGCTGATCGTGCCACAAGCGAGTCGCGACTGGCTTGTAAAACGCTAAATGATCTCTTTGGTGTGGCCTTGACCTCACACCTTTTTCTTTCAACTTCCGCACAGAGGATCTGCCGCGTACAACTCCCCGAGGTAACCTGTGGGCCAACAGGTTCCTAATCTGTAGACTTGAATTTCAACCGAGGCGCTTCGCTGGGGATGTGCTTCATATCATTAGTTGTTTTTGAATGCAAGTCCCCCAATTTCCTCGAGTCAAGGAAAGGCGTGCGCAGAGCGCGACGCTGATGCGCTACGAAGAACGCTGAATTGGCACTTAGTTCATTATCATTAGTAACCGACTGCATTTTAGAGCGGCAAATATCTCCGTCCATCGAAGAAGTTCCAGGCAGCGGCAATAATGGTTAACCCGATAACATGTGACCTCCATATCATAGTTCATCCCGCCGAAAATGAACACCTAGAGCAACAAACAAATTTCGGGAAGCCTGGGTGCCTTCATGTGCATGCATTGTCCTGTATGATTCGTTGTCTTATGCCAGCACTGCATTTAGGCGGCATTTCATCGGATTGGTACTAGTTTGCAAATAAGTAGCAAGTATGTTCACCTGACCGCCTCAGGGCTTTTCAATGAGCCGTTCAACCAGTTCAACGCTTGTTTCAAAAGTTACGACAAATAACAAGTGAAAAAAGTAGTGCCATCAGTACCACAGCACAGAAGGAAGGAGTATATTCACTGCACGATAGGAATGGGCAACGTTTTCAGTAAAATTTGTACATTTCGCAATATTTTCTTAGAAAGTTTCATGAAAACTTAGTTTTAAACTGCAGAATTTGATCTCCGTTCGTGAAATTCAAAGACTTCAAACTTAAAATCGAAACTTGCGAACTTGTGCCTCGAATTGTATGAATGTTTCGAACTTGAATTTTAAATAAATTCTAGATGTTAGAATTTTTCAAACGATCTGTCAAAAAAATAGAAATCTTGAAACTCAAACTTTCAGAAACCTTGACATTTTCGAATTGTTCGAACTCTAACCCAGTGGGATTCCAAAGCTGCAAACTTTTCAAATTCGAATCTTAACAAGGGTCAAAATTTTTTAGCCTTCCTAACTCGAAATTTGGGGGAGGGGGGGGGGGTTCGCGGCATTCCTAGTTGTAACCTTCCAACTTGTCGGATGCGGGAGTGAATGTCGCATTGACAATACAACTGAAACAATTTCTTCATTGTTGCAGTGGAGGATCCAGTGAAATAGTGGACTATGAAGACATCGAGCGCTTCCGTGTGGCCACTGGGGCTACGTCTGTAATGTTGGCTCGCCAGGCTGAAAGCAACTGCTCCATTTTCAGCAAGGCAGGCAGGAAGCCCATAGATGATGTCATTGTACAGTACCTCCACTATGTGAGTGCACATCTGAAATATTTGTGCAGGCTGAGCAAACAAATTACCTCCATAGTGTGTCAATAACATGTATATGAAAAGTAATGCCACATAATTCTTTACTGCTAAAACAACTTAGCGTAGTTAAGCATTATGACTAAATTATTTTCCCAAATTGCCTGTGATAACTTTATGAAACTGCACTGAAATTGACACTTCAAGTTTAGTGTGTGGCATGTCATAGGTACAGCGAAAAGGCTTGTTACCTGCCCAGTTTGCTTATTTTACCTGGCCACATAATTTATTTGTTTCTTTCATTATTGGACAATAGTATGCATGTTCTACATGATGAAAATTGGAAAAGGTATATGAATTACCTACAGAATGTTACATTAGATGTTGCTGTTTTGTAACTAGAAAAGGGACATTGGTTGCTTTTTTTTTTTAAGTATTTTTAGTTGTTGGTGAAACATCCTGCATACACTCCAGCCATTACTAAAGTTCCCAAAAAACAAAAGGGTGGGTGCCTTAATCAACATGTTTGTGGTCAAAATTTCACGGTATGAGCTGATCGCTGCATTGAAATTAAAACATTAGTTGACAGAATCATTGTTATGAATGTTGCAAGTTGGTGACCTTGTAGCACCAATTTTCACGGCCATTTTTAGAGTGAAACAGTCTGCTTTCTTTCATTCTAGTTTTAGCTTATGCAACTTTTTGGAGATCAGCAAATGGAGCTACTTGTATCGCCCACCCTATAGCAGTTTACTAACAAAGCTATAGACGATATGCAAAACTGCTTGGTGGTCTGGCAGCACTTTGTGCGTGGCCATCTTGGTAGCGTCAAGTTGCTTGAGTTTCAGTTTCTCGGCATTTCCAAGGCAGAGATGCTCTGCCAGTGATTGTGATTCAGCAACTTCATTATTTTCCGACTTCCGATCACCCAATGTGGGCAAAGGACTAGGCCCTCTTTCCTTTGATCTCTGAAGATACTTTCAATTCTTTTTTTTGACGCGAAGACACATGAAGTTTTACTGTTTAGCAGTAGGTTGCTCCACTCCAATACATGCAACTCAAAGGTTAGTTTTTTTTTAGCTGTTATTGACAAAAGCTTTAATTGGTGGAAAGCTCGGAGTTCTTGTGGAAGAAACTGCCCTGGGCAATATTTTTGGGGCATTGCAAGGAGCTCAAATTGGTTTCAGATGGCGTCGACTGAAAGCACAGTTGATGGATGTCGTGCCGGTTAATAAGATTTGTTCAACCCTGGCAGAATGACAGCATTGACTTTCCCAAAACTACTCCTCGAGTTCCTTTGCACTAAACAAAATTTGAACCTCAACTGAGCCATTTCATGAGCCATTCCACTCTGTGAAGGATGATGACCAGCGAAGCTGTTTAGCACACGACACAGACGTGACACAGAATTTTGAACAAAGGTACAAACACATTTATTGTCTTGATCGGTAGTCATCGGTCAAGTGCAAGTGGTCACCGACAGCACTTGCAGTGCACGAGTCCGCTTTGCAGGCTCCCGCACATTGCCGATGTTGGTCAAGTTGTCGTCGAACCACAGCCGATTACACACCCTACAACTACACCCAAACTGTCTGTCCAGAAAGTCTTTTTTGAATTTGGCTTATGCTCCATTAAAGTTGTCCAATTTAGCAGCATGGTACAGTGCAACCCACTTAAAACGATAATGAGAAAACCTGAAAATTCAATCGTTATAACCGATTATCGTTGTATCTGGACTAAAACTTTATCATTATAAGCAGTACATTGTTATATGTAATATTGTTATAAGTGGATTCCACTGTACCTGCGTTTTTGTGATGCGTTCTCCGCCCCGCACCGTTGTCTGGTTTGCCGCATGCGCTTGGCGTTTTGTGCACAATCTTTATCGGAGGTGTTTGCTGCCCGCCGCTGCCCTTCAAAGGCGCGTTGCTCCTCAGGAGTGTGGATTATGCGCGGTCTCCCCATTATGACGAGAGAAGAGAAGTGAAATTGAAAATGGAGAACGGCAACTTGTCTTTCTGATTTTGCATATACATTCGCGGGGACGACTATCGCCGCCCCAAAAAGCTTGAGGAAACTAGACACGCGCGATGCGACCACCACCCCAGGAGAGTGGAAGGAACTGGGCATGCAAGCGCTTGGAACGACGAAAAAGAGGGGGCGGTGCAAGTTTTTGTTGATGCACATAAAAAATCCACGGAACCCTAGCCATAAACAGCTCTGCTGTAAAAAATGGGAGGCTGTGAAATGAAGTTGGCGTCGCCGGTGTTGCTCCACCCGACGTCTGCAGCATAGCTTTTTGCCGCCGCCTACATAGGGGTTTTAGCCACTGCAGTGAACTTAAGCGATGTAATGGAACGTGGCGTTCGACGAAACAGGCGGCAAAATCCAGTCTGTAAGATTTGAGAACAAACAGACGTCATCAGTGTCTGTTGGGCTTTTTATTCTACATAACTGCGCTTTAAATCTTCCAAAAATATTGTATCAACAAACTCTCCTGTTTACTTTTAGAGGCGTTTTACAAACCTCGTTTACCAATGCCTGATTAAGTGTATAGAAATCGCTGCTAAGCAATGAGATTGTTTTCTGGCTGTACAAAAGTAATCCTTTTTATTTTTTAATATATGGCATTAAAGTGAAGAACTGCGGTGTTTTCAGCTTTTGTTCACTGTTAAGCACACGCATTGTCAAGGATGGTCGGTGGTGTGGATGTATTAAAACTGCCGTCGTTTTGCCTTCAGCTTTGGTCTCGTCCGCATACGTTGAGCTGCTTTGGCGCCAAGAAAACTTAGGCCGACACTACAGCATGCACCAGAAAATAACAAAGCAAATTCAGAAACAAATCCGGTAAAACTTTGTGAAAAGATTAGGGCCCAGTTTAATAATTGTAACTGGGTTCGCGCCGTGCGATGACGTCCGCACGTTTTTATACATTGTCGCGGATTGTTTTTGTCAAAAGTGTAAAGTAACAAATAGAAAAAAAAAAAAAAGTGAACCCTGTTCTTGCTTGCGTTCATGCCGCACACGAATCAAAGGTATATCACTGCTTCAGCAGAACGCAGCAACGCGTTGGCATCGCATCTCTCACAGGGAGCGTGGTCGCTTGTTTACACGGGTTCTCTGCTGGTTGGATAACTATTTTCTTTTTCTTGCCGCTACCAAGATGGCGGAAATAGCTCTCAGCACGCTACTAGATGGTGCTCTACATTTAACTTATCGTTTATTGTTTTCCGATATTGAAGACAAACGTGGTGCGATTTCATAGCATTGCTTAGAACTTGTCCCTGTGGCAGACTGGATCACATATTTTGTTGATTGATTACTACCTATAATATACAGGCAATAGAGTATGACAACAGAGCCACCAACACCAAGTACTGCGTTCAGCAGATGCTAGGCTCCCTCCAGGATACTGAGCGGGGCAAAGCTCTCTTGGCAAGCCAGCAAATGGAAGAAATATGGTAGGGTTTGGATACTTTTCTTGCTTAGGTGGTACATTAGAAATTTTTGGAGTAGAATCTTTTCATTCCTGCACGTCACAGAAAATAACTTACTTGATTAAAAAAGATATATATGAAATTATGTGCTGGCTTGGCTTACTTAAAGGAGCACTGAAGACGTTTTTGAGATTGTTTGTTCTTGGTGATAACTTATCTTAGAGGCTCCAAGCATTCTAGAAATCCAAAAATTATGCTCGTGCGACTTCTATTTCTCCACTAAAAATGTGATCGAAGTTTGTGCCACGCCCCTTTCCGAGCAAAAAAATCTGCTGCACAGAATTCAGGAGAGGCGCCAGCAGCATGACGACGGGCGCGCATCGGCCAATCGCAAGCTGCCTTTACGAGAGAGGCGGCTTGCGATTGGCTGATGCATGCCCATTATCACGCCGCCGGCGCCACCGCTGGATTCTGTGCTCCAGATTTTTTCACTCGGAAAGGGGCGTAGCACGAATTTATATCGCATTTTTAGTAGGGAAATAGACGTTGCACAAGCATAATTTTTTGATTTCTAGGATTCTTGGAGCCCCTAAGATAAGTTATCACCAAGAACAGACACTCTCAGAAATGTCTTTGGTGCAACTTTAATTTAATGCAAAAGCAAATACAGAGCTTTTTTTTTTCTTCATTTAGAATAAAAAATGAGGAGCTTTTATTAGGGTTATTTATGGCCTTGGACCCACTGGTGGTCATGACAGCCACCAAAAAGGAGGTGAAATGGATTGATTAGTTAGCTAATTAACAAAAGTTTTCATTAGCTTTATAAATTTTCTTTTTAAAAGCAAAACCTATTTGGAGAATTCACGCTTGACCTCAATACAATCTAGCCGTACTGTGAAAGTTAAATTAAAAATATGCGTAGTAGGCGCTACATGGCGAGGAATGTCACCCTTGTACACGGCTTCAAACCGAAACTAAGCAAGCAGCTTCGCTTACGGAGCCAGCGCAAGGATCAACGTCACTGGTGCTCTTTGCCCATGAAGCATCACCGCCGCAGCATGGCTCCCTCGCAGGTAGTGCCTCATTCCCATTGGCTGCTCTAAACGATAACGTGACCGTAGTGACAACCAGTGACTTTCTCGCTTCAGGTTGCAGTAAGAGTCTCAGTACGTAAACTATTGCAACAAGATTACCAACCTAAAATTGTATTGTAAACAAATTACTGCTGCTGCTCTTTTTTTTTTTTTAAAGAGTGGAAAGATAGTATATTTTTTATTTATAATTCTGAAGAATTGGGAATAGAACAAAATTAAACTTCGATGAACGTTGAATTTGGAAGAATTGAAAATTTAAGCGAAGTAGTCGCTGATAAATGCCAAATTTGCTCTGAAAACACAAAACCCTACATATAACCAATACATCCCACGTTCTATGAACACCTTTCGTTGAACAGCGATGTGCTTTTTGCAGTAGGCTTTGGAAGATGGAAGAATTATATTCAACCTGGCAAAAAAAACTCCAAGCAAAAGCAAAAGAGCTTAAAGATCTGTCCAAGAATGACAGTTCAGAACCGACACTGAAGCGATGTAAAGTGGGGAATGAAGAAGTCTGGCAAATGGAAGCGAAATTTGTGAGGTATGTTGCAATATTTGCATGGGGGAGAGCCTAAAGTAATTCTAACCATTCTGAACTTCCAGGAACATGTTTGAGATGAGCAACCTTCCAAAGACTACGCTGATCAACTGGACCCGGAAGAATAACTATCCACACCCATCCTACAAGACTGTAAGTTCAGTATTTTTTTTTTTTTTTTTTTTTATAAACAGTATTGACATTGTCAATGTTTCAGGAAGCCAAAGAGAAAAGCTTCCGCTCTGTGGTGGTTGTGGACAGCAAGAGGTATTCCAGCACATTCCTGTAAGTAAAAAGCTGTACAAAAAAGAAAAAAAAAAGTGCAGTATGGTATTTACCATCAATTTATAGCATTTGAAATAAGTATATAGTAATCAAGATCAAGGTATGGTTTCAATTATAAATGAGCAACTTTTAGCAGCATTTAATCACATCCAGTTTGAAGGCACCAACATGATTTGAATGTTCTGGTGGCTGTTGGAATAGCGTACCGAAACCATGGTGGCAATGCTCGTCTCCTCTCTCAGTTTCTTGGCGCATGGTGGGGTTTGCCGAAACATTGCAGGGGCGAATCGAAAGGGGAGCTCCGTGTACTCAATATTCACCTGTGAGTAGGTCTACAAACTATTTAATCAAAATATTGATTTTCTTTTGAGACAATTAAATTTGAAGCTCACGCATACACTTCCGAATCACTTGCTGCTGCTCTAGTGGCACCAACGAGCAGGGGCACTTGTGACATCAAATGTTGCAACGCTCTCTACTCCATTGTGTTCTGCGTAGTGAGCGTCTGTCGTTTTGCAAACAGTGTCTGGTTTAGGCTATTATATTAGCAGCAAGCGATTAGGAGGGGGAACGGGTAATGTGCTGTGGTGTGCAATAGCACCACGAAGAAATGCGGCTGAGTGACATCTTATTAGTTTTCCGACTGAAAAATCGGTGGCGGAAGTGGGTCCGAGCTGTCTGACGCGAATGCTGGCTCCTAGCGTTTGTGTTGTGCTATAAAACAGTTGACACCATGCTAGCAAATAAAACCTTCCATGCCATTCTGCTTCGAAACGGCATCTGGGTCCTCATGTAGGCGGATCGCGAATAAGTCCCTTCAAAGGCGATGCCGGCGGATTGATGCAAATGGTGAATCGTCTGAAATCTCGTGCTGAAAATCTTGGAACATTTGCTGGTAACTACTTGACTAAGACAAGCTTGATGAATAGCAGTTCAATATTTCCCACGGACGATCGCGACGGACTTCCGATGCTGGGCGAAACAGGCTCAAGCTGCCCGCGTGCTGATGTTAACACATCATCTGACGTCGCAACAAGATGGCAGACCAGTAAAGTTGCAGGGTAGTTTTGGACATATCATATTCCTACGATTAAGAATTATATAAATAATTTTTACTTGCTGCTCTTGGCTAAGTTTCTTGTGCTTTCAGAAAATATGTTTAGTTGAAAACGTTCAAATTTACACTGGAGCTCCCCTTCAAGGGGGTGGGGGGCGGCAACCCGGAATGGACCTTTTGTGAGTGCCGTCTGCGAACATTAAATGAAGGGCAGCTTAACATCACTCAGTCCATCAGGTGCCGTTGTATCGGTTTTTACTGCTTTTTTTGTCCCCATACACCAGATAGAAATTTGGGCAAAGGTTAAATATGTTGGTTGTGCAGGATAGTGCCCTTCGAAAATGGCAACAGTGAGAAACACTGTCGGGGGAAGGGTGTACGCACGCACAGAACCGGTATCCCCCAAACAACCTTTGGTGCTGTGTTACTTTGTTTTGTGGATGTGCATGCTAACAGCAACATATTTCTGATTTTACAGAGAAAAAAGCAAGAAGTATGCAGAGCAGGCAGCAGCCTTGGTAGCTCTGTATGCTCTGGGCTTAATTGACGGGTCCAAGATAAAAGGCAACACAGCAGGCATGCCAATGGAGTAAATGAAAAGTTCACAAATAAAGTCATTGTTTTCCAAGTGTATATATTTCTATGGAAATAATTTCAACAAACATAACATTCATTTAAGACAGCTGACCATTCTACTAAATAACTGTGGGTTCTAAGTACCAAAACAGTGTTGTTTCAGGGAGAAACTACAGGTGTCTAAATGGTGTCCAAATATGATAGGAGGGAAAAATAAGGTACCAAAAGAACACAATAGAAATTTGCTTAAAAGCTAAAAAAATGCGTGACACCAAGGCCTAACAGATGCACAAAATCCACTATTCTTTCTTGGAATGAGTGCTCGCATCTGTTAGAGCTTGTACAAAAGAAACAACAAAATTCACCCGACTTGCTGAATTGTAAACATAAAATTCTGGCTACAGTATATGGTACATCACTTTGAAATGTAGCACAATATCCACTGCCGTTAGCCAGGCTGTGAAAACTTGAAAATTGCGTTTACCTCAGTTTGGCAACTGCACTAAAGACTTGCAACATGACACTTTTGGTTCTGTACACTGATACCAAACAAAACCTCTGAAGCTGATACAGAAACTCTTATAAATTTCCAATCTACTTCAGTCCTCTTGTACATGTTACTGAGATCTTTAGAATCACATGCTGGTCTAGAAATAATATACCATAAAACAGGTAAAATGACAAGCATAAAACTTTTTTTTTTTTCAAATGCCTGTGCAAGGGAGTTGAGTCGCGTACCTGACCAGCTGAAGTTAATGCCTGAATCTCAAAACCAACCATGAAACAATAGTAGCCAAATTTTATCAGACAACTCTCACTTACCCTCACATATTCCTAAATGAGCTGTTATGTTACCACTAAATTGCACAATTCTTTGATTAAACAGATTATACATTGTGGTTTCCTATGTGAACAGCTTTTGGGCCAGATCTGTGTTGTGGAAGTGAGATTACAGAAGTTACCATTGAGCAAATCTGGTCACTTTGGTTCAGAATTGGCATTCTATTGCTCGAATTGTAGATTACAAATGCTTTGTTCAACTAGCTGACGATTCTTCCTGAGTGCATGATGCCATAACAGAGATGTTATGTCCATTTCTTCAGTTCCCTTTCTATTCTTTAGCTAACCAGAAGCACTGGGCAGCAACTGAAAATGCCTTTTCGCTTAAAGCAGCAACCGCAACACAACAGTAAATTCAACAGCGAAACTTGTGCGACTGTTGAGAAACACAGAAAAGCATTCAAATGCATCTCGCCTCAACTAATGCAATGAAGTTAAAAAGATAAGCAGCACCATTGCAGGGAACACAAAATAAGACAAGATAGCCGTCTTGGCAAAAATAATTCTAAAACTTGGAAACTTTAAGTGGTCTTCCTGTCTCGGAGATCCCGGTCCACATATGAACACATACAAAAACTGAGAGAACAACTGAGGAACAAGTACATAAAAGTCAAAAGGCCAAGTGGCTAACTGACGAGGCCAGTGGCACAATGTGAGGTGAATCAAAAGCTGCCCTGGAGGTTGCCAATGTCTGGCACGTCCTCTCCAACAACAATGGCTTCAGGTGAGGATGCACCTCTCAAAAGCAACCTCTTTGAGGATCTTCTTACTTGGCCGTTGAAAGTAACCAGTGGGCAAGGCATTCTTCGGAGGAGCTTCCGTTTCTTCGTATGCAAGATTAGTCCCCATCAACAACTGAAATTTAAGGACAATAAGCAGGTGCACCATGAGAACGCTGCATCAATTTTGAAAGGATTGTAACTAAACAGGTAAGCATAACTTGAGAACGTTCCAACTTGGCCCCAAATGCAAACGTAATAAATTTGGTGAATCAAGCCCGCTACGCTGCCCTATAGGTATGACCATACCAGAACACTCAGCAAGTGCATTTGGACTACCAACTTTGATTTTACTGCTGACAACCAACCACAAATGCTAATGCCTGCACTTGCAGACTCCAGCGATATCTTGCATGCAAAGCAAAACTGTGTGGAAGCAGTATTGTATTTATGTACAAATAGAGGAAATGTCTACTATTCACTTGTGCCTCCATCTCATATCAACATTCAGAGTGTGCAACAAAGCACAAACAGGAGATAGCTGATATAGCTTTCAGGTGACATTGCTTTTGACAATCTAAAATGCACAAACAGCTATGACAATTCAAATTTTGCTAATTATTGTCACGGGTGCCACATTTAGAATATTCTATTAAATTTAAAGAAAAAAAAATGTTTTGTAGCAATCAGGGATGGGCAGTATTTTAAATACAAGTATTTGAAATACGTATTTCAAATACTTTGTGTATTTTGCATTTGTATTTAATTACAAATTGGGTAATGTATTTGACGAGTTTATTAAAATACTAAAACGTGGGTATTTCAAATACAATTGTAACTAAATACAATTTTGTGGGCGAAAGTACATCCCTCAAATTTATTGTCACGACTCATTTTGCTCATCCTAAGATGTGTCCAGAGCAGGAAGAAAACTATGTTCTGCACCGAATGCAGTGTCTCTCATTCAAACACAAGCGTTTAGTGACTTTGTGATTACGGTGCTAGTCCAGGGCAAGAATAGTGACGAAATCGACGTTCACAGGCAGACTGGCTAAATAAGTGCCTGTGACAACTTGTGATGCTTTCCAGCCTGATTTTCATCCATATTTTTGCCTGGAACATTCTAAATGCGCGGGTCGTCCATATTTTCGTAACTGGTGCGAGTTGCAACAATTAAAAATTATCTGGCTAGTGCTGCGCGTCTTGGTCGTCTCAGTTCTTTGTTGGTCTGTACCAAAATGTAATCGACAAAAAAAACTGCTTGAAGCTCTGCGCTTTTTTCACCTATTACGTCTAAGCTGATTACACTTTTTTTGTGATTATATTTCTGTTACGTTACTAGAGCCTCGCACACTAACTCCCGAGTGTGCGATGCACACTTAAAATGAGATACCCAGAAACCCGTTGCAGGTGCCCTGGGCCTGAAGTAGCTGACGCAAATTTCGAGGAATGTATTTGAAAGAGTAATTGGAGGAGACCAAATAGATTTGGTTGTATTTGTATCTTGTACTTGAATGCTTTTTTGGAAATGTAATTAGATTTGTAATTAAATACATTTTTGACGAAGTATTTTGTAATTGTATTTCGATACATATTTGCATGTATTTTGCCCATCCCTGATAGCAATGAAAGCACACAATTCATTGTAAAATTTTGAGTCCAAGTTGAGAAGGCTGTGCATAAAGTTCTAATCCACTGTCACTCCTTCAGGAGGCAATATGTTGAGAGCCAAATAGCATGTTTGGCTTGTACTCTTCCAGTCAAGAAACTGCCCAAACACACTCTAAAGAGCCCCATTTACCTTGCATGATTTGAGATCAAATCACCTAGACACTTCAGTTCGGCTGAACTACAGAGTATGGCAATATGAGCAGGCCCGGCGTTCGGGTCGAGGCGGCACAAAAGCCGTGCTGCTGGGAGCCCCGGGTATGTTAAACTGTTAAGAAGATACTGAAAGGGACTACCACATTTCCTATTGTCGGAATGTGACGGTCAGTAACATAGCATAGCATCCCATGCGGCATTTTACCCCTTCCGGCTAGCACTAAACTGGGTCAGCTCAATGTCGCTGACTGTACCTTATTTTCCCTCCCATCGCTAACAATGAAGAGAAGACCACTCCATCAGCAGAGCAAAATATAAAGCTAAAGCTGCTTACCATTCCAACTCTATCCAGGATGCACAAAAAAGGATGAGCATTGTTTTTGTTAGATGTTGGTATGCCACTACTACATCTTTAAAAATTGCGGTGGCTTAGCTCGGCTATGCCAGGATATATGTAGCGTGAGCTTATGCGCACAAAATGAGAGGCGCTATCAAGCGGCTCCGGTGCAACGTCAGACTTGGCTACTGTGCAACGGAGGCGCACAGCTGGGCACGCGGCGGCGCCAGTGCGTCTGCCGCGGCTATGACGTCACTCCTCTGGAATGCGCAGACCGGCAAGGCGCGCGGCGGCGGCAGCTCTGGCACGCCAGCTGTGCGCCGTGTGACGTCATTGCTCCTCGCGCATGCACAGACCGGCGAGGTGCGCGTGGTAGCGGCGGAGCGCGCAGCGGCTCCGGCACACCAGCTGTGCGCCATGTGACGTCACTGCTCCTCGCACTTGCGCAGCACGGCTCTTTGACAACCACGCGAAACTGCTCAACCTCAGCCAGTGTAGCTCACGCTACAAAAATCAAAATTTAAAGTGGGGCTGCATAGCTTTCACACCTCATAGCATTTCCACAATCCTAAAGTAAAATGCTTAACCCCTCTTTAAAAGGAACAAACAATAAGGGCTGTCTTTCAACAAGTAAAGACTTAATTTTACAAGTGGAATACAAATAGCAACTGTGCGTAAAATTATATGTGCTGAAAATAGGTGCGAAAACTGGCTTTAAAGACCGACGACCAGTTCGCGCTTTCCACTTTTAACTCGCTTCCTCCTCTCCCCCCTTCTACACTGTCCACCGTTGCCTGTTTCCTCCTCCCCATGGTGAGGAAAATCTTCTGCCCAGCGGAATCTTGAATCTGGTCATCGGCCTTTAAGGAGAAACTGTTACCATGCCCCACTCTTCAATCCTTAATTAACAAGCATTCAAATGTTTGTGTTTGGAGGAACGAATTATGCTTAACAATCTTTCACTGGGCACTGTTTACTGAATAATAACTGACTGGGCAGAGTATCAAGGTGCTTTGAAATACTAAGCAGAACATGACCGACTCAAACATTGCGTACTATGTTTAAGTATGATCGTAGCAGAAGCTATAAGAATGAGCTCCGGGCTCTCAGTGTCCCGCGAAGCATGCATGCTCCAGCAATGCAAGCATCGTTCAGGGCACCATGTTCAAGCTTGTAGTAACTATAGGAATCTCGTGAGCAATATAAAAATGGTAGCCCATCTCTTACTTCGAGATTTTCCTCTAAGTGGGAGGACGCTAACAGCACAGATGCCAACACTATGTACCTAGAGGCTTCAAAATATTAGCTGCCATTCTGAGACTTCCCAGGAGATCCTCAGATTCGTTCTACCAGCTTCTGCTACATTTGCTCTTTGTTGGGATATGACTAAGTCCTATAAATGAAGGCAACACTTCTGGACTATCCCTGCAGATGATTACTAGTGTGCACATCGTTTAGCCACAAAAATCCATCTTGTCTCATTTTTATTCCTTTAATACCGGTTTTTACTCATTTTGATGTTTCTGCATAGATGGCTAGTGAATACTTTTTGCCAATAATTGACCATGAACAGGTCAAATATACACATGCAGAGACCACATTGCTATACTTTGTTTCAGCTCAAGTCCAGGAACAACTGACAGTACAAGCCGATGGGACCAATCAGATGGCGTCAAGGGCGCACCATCATGGTGTTCGTCATGCTGCTGTACGTGTTTTATTGTCGCTGAACAAATCATAAAAAAAAAAAGACCCAGGACTTTTGCTTTTGACGCTGCCCGAATGGTTCCACTAGCTCTTGGCGTCGGCTGCGTCTGGACTTAAGCTGAAATGAAGTACACTTAGCTATTACTATTACTACGAGCCACCTGACCACTTGCTCAACGACAAAAATGCCTTCTGCACTTGATGACCTAATTCTGGGACATATTTATGTAAAAGTTAAAAAAAGATTATGCCTGTCATTAGAGCAAGCAAGCTCTAGTTTGGACAAACAATCCATGTAAAGCTTCTTCAAAGCCAGCCGAAAACTAGGCAGAAAAAGAGCACTGACCACATTATCCGAGAAGGAGGTCTCATACTGGCAGTCAATCATGGGTGCTGCCAATGCTGGGTTGGCCTCTTCAGAGGAAAGGGAGACCGCGCTCGATTGCCAGGCACGTCTCCTTTTCACCCAAGCTGCCACAAGCATGAGCAAGAACACCGACACAACCACTACCACTGGAATCACGATGATCTTCATGTCCACTGTAACCGGGGCAAAGATGGCCTCCATTAGTATTTTCAGGAACAATCTGCACTGTGCAAATCAAATGTCCTGCCAAGAACTCGCAATTTGAAATTTATGAAACGCTGCTTTTTGACTGCTTAGTGACAAGCTTTACCAAACAACTGAAATTCGTAACAATATCTTCTGTTGGTGGCTTTGCAACACTTATTCTATTCGATCAGTATGGTTCATTCACCTGCACATTTTGACTTTTTTCTAGTATTATTTAATACATAGTATAAATTTCAATAATTAACTTAATGTGTGCGTATATATATATACATACATATACAGGGTGTTTCAGAAAACGCAGGCCAAATCGTTCCTGCGAAAACTACTCATCGCAACGAAAAAAGGCTTGTGGCATTGTGGTCCTGGGCCTAGGACCCATTTAAGAAAATTATGAATGTCGGGGATAATTAACTTGTTAATTATTTTTGCCTAATTAACTTTTTTAATATTGTGTTTAAGGGCATGATTTAAATTAGAAAATTGCTCAGCATCATCGAAAACCACTAAACCAACAAAATGCAGAATGATAGAAGGCACGCGAAGCATTTTACGGCTTTCTGAAAAACCGCACAAATTCGACGGATTTTTAAGTTTCGGTTTGTTATCGGAGCGCATCTTGGCCCCGGCAGACTGCGCCTAATGGAGAGATAGTGCAACCAGACTCTACGGCGTCGTGCGATGACAGCTCAGCAGAGGTTGGTTGCACTATCTCTTTGCGGGGCGCGGTGCCGTAGGGGCGGAGATGCGCTCCGATAACAAACCGAAACTTAAAAATCCGTCGAATTTGTGCGGTTTTTTAGAAAGCCGTAAAATGCTTCGCGTGCCTTCTATCATTCTGCAATTTGTTGGTTTAGTGGTTTTCGATGATGCTGAGCAATTTTCTAATTTCTAACGCGCTCAGTCTTTCTGAAAATGACTGATTTAGTGGTTTTCGATAACGCTCAGCAACTTTCTAATTGGAACCATATGTCTATTTCCCCTAATTAAAAAGTTAATTAACAAGTTTTAATTAATTATCTGGCTAATTAGTAGGTTTTTGGCAATTCCTGACGTCCGCCGAGGCTGGTAGTTTGTTCCCGAAGAGAGTTTCTTCTTTTTTCAATCGCCCTAATTTTTAGGATTTTTGAAAGTCTTCGCAAAAACACCCGGTATATATATATATATATATATATATATATATATATATATATATATATATATATATATATATATACATACATGCTAGTAGAGTGAGCAGCAAATGTTTGTTGTTGCAAATTATGAACCACGCGTATCTAAACTTTCTTAAAAACAAATGCAAAGGTTAAGAATCCCACTACATAGCCCCAGACATTGTGCTGACCATTTAACAGAAAAATGATACATACTCGCTTCATCATCGGCTGAGGCAGGATTATAGAAATAAGTTGCATAGAACTGGCACCGTGGTCCGGTGAAATTAGTTGTACATCTGAAAATGAAAAGAAAAATGCATACACTTGTAGAGAGCATGTACCTTCAAACATGCAAACAGAAGAATTTGAAGAGCCAACTTTACTGGCAGGTAGGTCCACCGAGGCCATCATCACTTGCCAAACAAGTTCCTCCATTAAAGCAAAATCCACGACAGGAAACAATGGGGTTGATGTTGCTCCCAAGGGTATCATTTGTTTCATTATAATCTGAAAAAACAACATAATTTATTGTAGCAGTCGCAGCCAAAGTCATAATGAAACCATAATGTAAACAAATGTACAACTAGTAATAGGAAACTTGCATAGAAACATCCGTTTGTCGTAGAGCTGCAAGTGCGACACATTAGGACCAAGGTAGCGACTCCAAGTTGAAATTTGTGGTTGCCTGTTCTTGACCAACATCACCAGGGATCCACCGGAGTATGTACTTGAAAAAAGCATAAAAAACTGCCATGTTACTAGGGATTTCCAATAGAAATGGAAAGCATTTGTGGGGCCACCAAGTCATCTAAATTTTTTGAGAAAATGCAAAGGAAATTAAGCTTATACAAACATTGATAAGTTATTAAAAGGAAAGAAATAATCAACTGACCAGTCAAACACAGTTTTACATACAGTAGAAAAAAAAAGTTATTTGCCACGCAACGACTAACAACTTGGTTTCCACACAATAAAAGGTGTCTGTTTGGCAAAACTAGAATTCGCAAAATCATGTTTTGCGATGATACGATGCACACTGTGCATTTTGCATCAATGCTACAATTTCGTGTCAGTACACAGTCCTGTTCCACATTGTAAAAATGTGTTTCATATCTGTCTGCAGATTCTGCATAGCCTTCTATGCCTAAAACAACTTCTTGTGCACTACACAGGATGAGATTTAAGGCCTGTTTAATCATGTTTATAAAGTGCTCTCTGGCAACCGATATCCATCAAATTCTCTGAAGGACACTTTTCTGTAATGGCGCCTGCCAAATTCGCCTGAAGGTGGATGTCGAACTCATCAATGAACCTGTGTGGATACCAGTTTACTGATCCAGAAGACTGAATAAAAATATAATTAAACAACATCGGAAGGAAAGAGAGAGAGAGAGAGAGCTAATAAGATATAATGCAAACAACCTAGCATGACGAAAAAACGTTTCGTAGCTCAGAGCGAGTAAGCGTCTTTAGAAAATATTGCATAAAACTGGGCACCATTCTCAACAGGCTGCCCGAAGCACTCTTTAGCACAAAGCAAACTTTGCACTTGTCTAAAGAACTTCGCAGCAAAGAATGGCATTGGAAATCACCCTCTACGCCACTAGAGTAACCGCAAGTTCATATTCCAATGAGGTCACCTCACCTGTCAATCCAAAAGAGGACAGACTGGAAGACTGCCACAGACACCGGCGAATAGTGCCTGTTGGTGCCCTTGTTAAGCACAATGCTGGTGCGGCGCGAGCCATCGAGGCGCGCCCTCTCAATCCGAGCTGTGCCCAGGTCACACCAGTACACCAAGTCTCGCTCGAGGTCCACCGACAGGTCCGACACTTGGAACAGCTCATCTCGCACAATGATGCGTCGCTCCCCATCCTCCAAGCTGTAGCGCTCGATGCAGGGCCACTCGCCTGCACTGCTCCAAAACAAAAGCCTGGGAGTGGGGAGAACGATTGGATGACTGAGTATATACTACATGCAAAATATGCAAGGATGGCTCTTGGGTCGCATTTTGTTGGTGAAGCGTATAGGGCGGTCGTCTAAGAGCTGAGGTAATGCAAGCAATGAGTATATGTAGCCACCAAGCCAGCATGGTTTGTGACATCACACACACGAAGCTATTAGGTAGCAGCATGGTAGATTTTGCGAAATAAAATAAAAATATAATTTCTAACTTTTCGAGACCACCGAGATGCAGATATTTCTGAACATGCATACATGGGAAGCATCATTCAGCAATTTAGGAGCAAGAACTTGCATAAATATACAATCTTCCAAGTAAAGGTTTATATAAGGATATTCCTTCCCTTTTAGACAAAGTTAACTTACTGTTTCAACAACTACTCTCCAATTGTGAATTGCATACAAACATCCGAGTGGAAGACGCTCTGGAATTCGGTCGACCACTATGAATTTTCAAGCCCCGCAAACGTAAAAGGAATAAGTACTTCAATCTTCTTTATTGCGCAGCTATTATCAAGCAGAGCTCACCTCCGGAATGGATGAACTGCAAGAGTGACGACTTTGTGGAGGTTTGTATCAACCAGAACAGTGTTCCCAGAGCCATTAAAGCTGGAAACCTCTATCTTTGCACCTGCAGCACTGTAAACTGCTCGATACAAAAGACCTAAGGCAGAAACCAGGGGAAAAAAAAAAGAAGATTATTTTGCGAATGAAGTGAGTGGGGAACGATGAAGCAACATATGCAGAGTTGCACAGCAGTCAAGCAAGATGCCCGGTCACTATTAGTAAAAATTTTGTTAGTGGTTATGCATCCAACCAAAAAGCAAATGAGATGCTGAATGTTTCGACAATGACAAAATAGATAAAGGAGACTTAAAAGAAAAGGAAATTAACCCTTTAAGTGCCTTGGATGAGCTGAGCTCGTCGGCCAGTTTCTGGCTAAAAATGCCGTGGACGAGCTCAGCTCGTCCAGTGGTTTTTTCGGTAGCTCTCAAATCCACGGACGAGCTAGGCTCGTCCGAGTAGTTTTGCGGCGCTGATCATGGATGGCAGCACTCGTTTTAGTCGGCAAATATTTTTTTCGCCTCCGCTGATTTTTGCGTAATAAACTTTTCAAATTTTATGTGTAATACTAGAGGAATAACAATTCAAAATAAAAACAAATATGACACTTTTAGGTTACTTTTGGAAGAAAAAAAATTTGGCACTTAGGGGCTAAACCAAGAAAAAAGAAAATAGTATTGCTCCTCTGCTGGCACCGCAAAGGTATAGCAAGCATTCCAATATAAAAATATTTAAAAAAAACACCCCCCCAGCGAGAGGTTCGTCTGCCACTGAGATATGGACACACTGGTTCACGTCGTTGATAAGAAATTTAGCCGGTGCGATACGACTAGTAGCCAGAGAACCACACAGAACTGTTGCACAACTGCAAACCAGTACAATGTTCATTCATATCTAAACGGGTAGGGGCGGGGATCAAACCCTGGAAACGTCCCTAGGTTCTGCAGCCCAAGCTTTGGTTCTATGAGCTCCGAGCTGCGTTGCACTAACATACTCGGCCACCAATCCCCAGCCAAGAGAAGATGTGCTTTGGTTTTCACATAATAAGGGAAGTCCATGAAAGCTCTGTCATGCCATTGAAGATCTGATTGAAAACAGGGACTGTAACAAAATCATCTGGTGGGCTATTTGGTTGAACATTGGAACATATACAGAGAAAATGTCATTAATAACTATTAAATTGTCCCCCGAAACTGAGATTCTACTTGCCACATTTATGCTTTGTCAACAACCTGATGCAGTGGTGAGAGGTATACATAATTATATAAGCAGATATGCAACCAACAAGGCTTATTACCTTAGTCTTCAATCGCTAGTGGAAATGTTAAACCAGTGACAAGCCATACTCACCGGAAGTGACGTCAGCAGCCAGAGCAGTCACCCTTGCACCAGTTACTGTGACGATGGGTGTCACATTGTAGCCATCAATGCGTGCCAAGAAGATGTGTTCGCGGCTCGCAAAGACCACAGACTCTTCCGTTGCGAGTACATGAATCGCATCTAGAGCCATGTCACTAAACCCTGCTTGCAAGAGCAGTGGTGGGGCCGTCGGGTCTGACCCTACAGGGTACACTACTGGACGATGGTTCTGTAAGAACACCAGCAGAGTATCCGAACCACCCACAGGAAGGCAGACGTGCTTGCTATCTTGAGGAAGGCAGATTCCATGGCAGGGCTCAGGCAGATGAGAGCAGGGGTGGCTTTCTGCTGAATAAAACAAAAGTCCGGACGAGATTTAAGATTTCAAGCAAGGTTTTGAACCTAACTTGTGCCAAACACCTAAATGAGAGTTATTTTTGGCTGAACCATTTCCCCGAGTGCTCTAGCCCGAATGTGCCCCAAATGCTGAAATGCATTTGTGATGTGAACTGTTATGATCAGCCACATGGCAGCCTCACCCTGCCACATCTCGTTGGACTCCAAGTGCTGGTGCATACATCAAAGCATATACAGGGTGAAACAAGGAGACGCCAGGCTCTTTAAATCAACCGGAAAATTCGGTTTCTTAACCTATCGCGCTACGACTTTGTGCAGCGTTGCCCACAGATGGCGATTTCTTTTGTAAAATTTGCAAAGAGCGAACTTACCTGAGGAAAAAGTAAAGCAAGAAAAAGGCTTAGCTTCTATGGAAACGCAGCGACGCCACCGGTCTGCAAACAACACGGCGCCGTTTCGCACGGGAGACAAGAGATGGCGCAAGCGGTCGCGACGCCAACTGCCGCCAACGAACGAGCAGACGACGTCGAGAGCCGGCCCTTTTGCAGACAAGGAACTGCAGTTCCTTGCTGTTACCGCGCCTGTCTTTTTTATTTCTGCGACTGTCGCCGCCCGCGGAACGCGCGCCGCTTTTTAGTCGAAAAGATTGTCTGCTAAAAAGGCCTGCTCTCGGCGCCGTATGCTCGTTCGTTGGCGTAAGGGGCTTTACGTTGGCGGCATTTGTTGCGCCATCTCTTGTCTCCCGTGCGAAACGGCGCCGTGTTGTTTGCAGACCGGTGGCGTCGCTGCGTTTCCATAGGAGCTAAGCCTTTTTCTTTCTTTACTTTTTCTTCAGGTAAGTTCGCTTTTCGCAAATTTTAAAAAAAAAATGCACCATCTGCGGGCAACGCTGCACAAAGTCGTAGCGCGATAGGTTAAGAAACCGAATTTTCCGGTCGATTTAAAGAGCCTGGCGTCTCCTTGTTTCACCCTATATATTGAGATTAACTGCGTAATATACCGAATCCCATGCCTCACTTGTTTATTTACTGCAGGCAGCAATGAATCCAGCACACAGTGGAGGGCAAATAAAAGTGAGAAATACACCAGAAAAAGAAGTGAAGAGTTAAAAAACAACTCTTACCAAGATCAACTATGCTGTACACACCGCTATGCTTCAGGTAACTGATTGGCTCAGACGCATTCCACAGAAATTTGGCGTCTCCAGAATCGTATGATGCGGTATACATGTGGCCATTTCCAACACTGTAGATCATTTCTTGCCCATACGATGTAAGCTCAACTTCTCCAAGCACTTCCCCAGACAAATTAAACTGCGAAAATGTCCTTGTTGTGCCATAGCCCGCACACATAATGTTGCCACTGCTTGTTTCAATCCAGCACACTTCTTTTCTGCTTGGATTTGCATTCAGCCCTGAGAAGAAAAAACAAGACATTAAAAGTACATTATCTAAAAAATGAGAAAGCTACATTGTGCAAGATATTGCACCACATCTTTGCCTAAACAGTGCTAACCACACCCTGCTTCAAAACATATGCCATACTGCTGCTCTAAAACAGAAATGTTTGCAATTAATACAATTTCCAAAAATTACTTTGGCATACTTTTGTTTATTTCCTTTTTTTTGTATTTCAACTGAAAATACTCTTTTTAAAAACTAGAAAAAATTACTTTGGCAAACTTTTATTGTTTATTTCCTTTTTTATTTCAACTGAAAACGCCAACTCTTTTTAAATACTATGTCACAAGTGAGAAAGACAAGTTTTGACCTTTTTAATGGTGTTGGAGGGTCTCTTATAAAATAAGCAAAGAGAAACCTGAAAGCTTTACAGGAACAACCCACCTTTGGCAACAGCATTCTTCAAGACTGTCCATGTGTGCAGTGTAAAAGGGTCTGAGCCATTCAAGTTGGCAACTTTAATCGTAATAAAATCATGTTCCACAGTTGCCCGATCTCGTTCCAACCAGAAGACAAGCCTAGGAAATATGCTAACTTCAGTGAGGAATGCCATTGACTTGAGAGAGGCAGAAAGACCATAGCGTATGAGAAGATTAAAATGGCAATTCAAGCTAGTTGGTTCATTATCACGATCAAAGCGCCGAAACCTCACAGGGACAATAAGAAAGGAGACGAAAACAGGACATCTATTACTGATATTCAGACGAAAACAGCATTTATTAATTGTATTGCTAGCACCACACTTCTGCCATTCAGACGGTAGTTATAAGTGAAATTAAAGGTGACTCTCTCCAATATACACCCTACATACACGAAAACTTTAAACAAAATCATACTACTCCAATGAGATCCAACTAGAAGAACAAACACAGTAGAACCAGGATCACAATCAGTCCATCTAAGCCTCCAGGCTGCTATTTATATCTCCCTCTCCTTCCCTTGAGAACCACTGGCATTAGAAACTAGAGATGCACAAAGAGTGATTCAAACAGTGCCGCATCATTCATGCATCCAAACTGCAAAGTAAGATGCAATAAGGTGCAATTTTGGTCTCTGTACAGGGATGCTGTGCATAATTCATCTCTACTAAAAGCCAAGAAGTCACAAAATGACGGACAAGTGTCCGGCCAAAATTAAATCGCAATAGCAATCATTATAAGCGGGCAAATGTTATCTTGAGTCTACTTCATGTTGGCAGTCCAAAAAATATATACATATATAATGTGGGCAATTGCACGAGTAAATGCTCAGTACCTATTTTACCATTCATTCAACGTATCCTTAAGAGATACTTCATGCCCAACCATAAGTTCTTCAAACCCCTTCCCTTCTGCCTCGGGTTGGTTGAAAACTGCCAATGCTGATTTTGTCACTTTCATCACTGCACTGCTTAGTATGATGACACAAGAATACCAAATGAGAGAGAAAAAAGCTCTGAAGCTAAGTAGGGCCATCACCTGTTGGTAGGGTCCACTGTCAAGCCAGCCACATGCCTCACGGCATCCCAAATGAGGTTGCTGCAGTAACGCCTGCCCGTTGAACACACCGAAATCTGGCTTCGAATGTCGCTGTTTAATTGCATCGAATTTCCAATGTACAGATTTCCGGACAGACAGTCAAGTGAGAGTGCAGTCAATTTCACTCGGGATCCTGGTGAAACAAACAACAGTTTGAAGGAGCTAACATACAACACAAGCTCTTAACTTGAGACCGTAAAACTAATTCAGATTTTGGCTCAATACGTCTAGAAATTAGCATCTGCCACTTGCACTTGTCCTGTCCCTTTCATGTTTTTGTCCTCTTATGCTATTGTTAGGGTGTCTGAAGTCACCAGACTCGATCTAAAATGGACCGTAAAAATCAACATCTCCAAAAACCAATCTAAACTTTTCGTCAAAGGTGTATTTCACAGGTTTGTTTTTTCTTGTAAAATTACAAATTGTAGCTCCCTACCTGTACAAAATAGGACCAAAAAAACTTGCCAGGGTCAATGATGGACAACAACGCAGATGACCAAGTCGAGTGGCGGGGCGCGTTTGGCGCACATATTGATAGATGGCGCTACCTCCTTATCAAGACTGCTCGCGACCACCGTGATTTACTAAAATGAAGATAATCTTTTTGTAATGTACCTTTGGTTTAAAAATAAATGCAAATAATAAAAGCAAAACTTGAAGTTTAAAAAAAAAAAAAGTGGTAGCATAACGACGACGTTCTTGCTGCCAACGGATTTCATCTGCGTGTCGTCTGCTTTCTTTCGCTGGTCAGCTCACTGATCTCTATGACAATTGCTAGATTGCATTTGCCCACTCCGCGAATGCGGCCACTGGTGGCCATCTTTTTGGTAAAGCTATGTTACTACCTCTAGCCAATGTACAGCTGGTGCAGCCACTATCATCCATCCATGGCAGACAGCGTTGTGGCAGTTGTGGTGGCAGGCTGCCATCAAAATAGCGTGGGTGATATTTCGTATTTGATTGGAATTGTTCGACAAAACATATTTTTGAAATCCGGCGTGAACGGTAGCCCGATCTTCGAGGACCCAGTGAAAGTTTCACGAAATCGCAGCACCGGGAAAAAGCAGCACATGTGCATCAAAAGTCGCATCGAAAGAAGCATCGAAAGCAGACGCCGGTACAGAGTCCGCTTTCGATACGAGCTGCGCTGCTTTCCCCCGGTGCTGCGCTTTTGTAGAGCTCTCGCCGGGTCCTGAAAGATGAGGCTACCGTTCACGCCGGGTTTCAAGAATCTGCTTCGTCGAACAATTTCAATCAAGCATGAAATATCACCCACGGTACAGTGTACTAGACCCACGGCTATTTTAATGGCAGCCTGCCGCCATAGCGCTGTCCGCCATATTACCTATGATGGCTAGAGATAATATAACTCTACCAAAAAGATGGCCGACCGTGGCCGCATTCCCATCCATAGGCGGAGCTGGTCACACACGATCCAGCAAATAGACATAGAGATCAGTGGGTCAGCTACACCTTTCGACGCTGTTCCCAACGCCATCTATCATTACGTGAGCCAAACGCGCCCCACCGCTCGACTCCGTCATCTGTATCACTGCCCGCTGTTGAACCTGGCAAGTTATTTGGCCCTACTTTTTACAAAAAGGGAGCTACGCTTTGTAATTTTACAAGAAAAATCGGACCCGTGAAATACGCCTTTGACGAAAAGTTTTGATGGCTTTGCGCAGGCGTTGATATTTACGGTAAATTGTAGATCAAGCCCGACGACTTCAGGCACCCTATATAGTATATGACATCATCTCATGGAGATCGCCCCAAAAGCTAGCCTCCGCCACTTGTGCTTGCCCTGTCCCTTTCATGTTCTTGTCCTCTTGCACTATTGTATATATGACATCATCTCATGGAGACGACCCCAATGCAAGTCGGGAAAGGCTTGGTTTATGCTTTATGAGAATGAAGCAGAATTGCAGCACTTCGTTGAAAAGAAAACAAACAAAAAAATCTGTCTTTACAAAGATACACAAAAAGAATAAACTTAAAATTTTCTCAATCTCAACATCCCCTCATGGTCCTTGTGAAAGGAACATTCCCACTTTAAAGATTTGCAGCTAAAATTATTATTACATGTTTGAATGTTTACTTCATCAATCTGCAGCAAACCAACCTTATACAGTACACAAGTTTCACAGTTCTGAATGACTTGATTGCATAAAACTTACCGAATTCAGCAAATGTCTCAGTCACACCACTTTTGAGTAAATGCCTCTTAATTGCTCGTCCTTCAATCCAATACAGGGCCATATTCACAGCATCATATGTCATACCAAACGAGGATGCCTATAAATGCAATAAGGATTAGAAACAAAGGATAAAAAAAGAGGTTCACTAATCATAAATTGGCCGTCCACTATTGGCCAATCTGCCTACATAAAAACATACATTAAAATGTTTAAACTATCAAACTTGTACAGCAAAATACCCGATTCATTGAATGATTACTTTGATTATAAAGGGAAGCTGAAACACTTCTTGAAAAAAACAAACGAGTTAGAGGTGAATTTTGACGTATTTTTATACCGTGAATCTGAACATCATGTTCGTTTTCCCCAAAGATGTACCGTATTTTCCGGACTATAGTCTGCACCCGGTGTATAGTCCGCAGAGGCAAATTTGGAATCAAAAATGAAAGTTTTTGCTTAGATAGTCTGCACCCGCTGCATAGTCCGCACCCAGTGCATAGTCCACACCTGGTGCTTAGTCGACACGAAATTCTTCTCATACGCGGCACACCTTGACATATGTACGTTTTCTTAGCTCACAAAAAAAGCCTATAATATACATAAATTATCAATAACATACTCTTTTATTCACAAAATCCATCCCGTCTCGTCATAATCAACGATATTGAAAAACCATTCCTGTATAGTCCGCACGCGTAGATAGTCCGCACAGCCAGAAATTTCAACTTTTAAACATGTATAGTCCGCGGACTATAGCCCGGAAAATACGGTAACTAAATGCGAGAAAGCATGAAAAACTTCCAATCAGTCGTGACGTCATACTAGGATCTTTGGGCCGCCAAGCGCGTGTCACTCGTGTGGGCAGCGCGTGCAATTGCAAGCCTGCCATGTATATTCCCCGCACTGACACCAGTCGTGACGTCTTTTTCCCACTTTTTGAAAATAGCAAGAGTGCACGTGCATAGCTTTGACAGGCGTTGAATGCGCGAGAGCAGAGATTCTGAAAACTCCTAGTATGACGTCCAACCCCAGAAAGGAGGGGCTTCAGCAATACTTTAAGGGGACACACCCCCCGGGAGGATCAACTTTTGAACCTTTGTCTTAAAATTAATCAAATTTACAGGGTAGGCTGCTGGTCATGCTAGAGGGTAAAGAACAAAATTTCAGGTCTGTCGGTTTAGTGGGAAGGAAATTAGAGCAGCTTCTATCAGCAACACGCCTACATTGTTTAGTTAATCTATCGTCGGAAAACTATCACAATATTCACAATTTTTATTCACTATATATATGTAGCCGAATGCCTAGGAGGTGCGGCTACGGAAAGTTTGTTTTTTGTAAAAAGGTCATTCATTTCTATACATTTTCTCTTCTGCAAAATTGGTCAACTTTTTGGTCTTCTGTGTCTTCGACAAAATGTCAACATTTTTATTAAAGACATCTGTAAAGTCACAAAAAGATTCCATAACAGCATTCCTTATTAAATTTCAGTAAAAAAAAAAGTGAAGAACGAGGCTTCCCTGTATTGCCATTATCAAACGATAGATTGACTAAAATGGAATTTATACCAAAAAGTGGAACGGAGAAAAATTCATTCGAAGTGCTCCAAACCCTACCTTATCTTTAGCTTCGGTGGACAGAAAATAATTTATAAAACATTAACTATGCAGTGTAAACTAATAAAAATTTCTGGGAATACTCTCTAGATGTTGGTGGATGTAAATATGTCATTTTTCAAAATCAACATTTTGAAAATGTTGATTTTGAAACAACCAAATTGAAAAATAATCTTGATATTCGTGATTCTGCGGGCCAAATGAAGACGATTTTGGTGTTTTTCCTCAAATACAGAACCGCTTCACATTCCCTTCCACAGCGAGATGATCTTATACTTTCACTGCAATAGTAGACACAGACAAGGGCTACTGACTAGAAAAATGGCTTTTTGCATAAATATACAAGACCTTTCCTTCCACAACAAGGGTGCAACACACCTAGTAACATTTTCAGTCACAGGTGTTTACAGAATTGTCATGCTTCAGACATTCACAAAGATCATTCACAAAACAAAGCATATAATCTTGATCAAAAAGATTTGACTTGTGCCGATAAAGCACTTATGAAAATGTTGATACAGGCCTCATAACACAGGATAACTTTTAGCACTCAGTGAGACATTGCGCTTTCAAAACTCTGGTAACTAGTAGTACACCTTTAGCTTTCCAACAAACCTTTGAAGAGCCAATAGATATGGCTCCTCACTACCAAATACATGCATGCACATTCAAATTCAAATTCAAATTCGTTTATTTTTGCCACAAACGGTACATTTGTGACATTACCTTACATTACATTGTTATGTGATGTGACATTACATTACCTTACAAAGGTAATGTTAGGTGCCACTATATGCCCACATCACTCGAAAAGGCATTTTAAAGTAAAGAAAGCCACATAACAGCACTCACGTTTAACTTTAGAGGGGGATAAACCCACTGAGCAGGATTTCTTGGAAGTGAAAAATAGGCAGTGTGGGTAGTCTTCATTACATAGATCAGCAGTGGACCATGTCCTAACAAAGAAAACAAGACAGGGTTCAATAGCACCTTTTACAAAGAGTATGTGAGGAAGACAGCTACAAGAGGCTTCTAGACACTCCACTTGTAATTTGTGGATCATAATTTCATGACCCCATTCTAGGAGAACTCTCACACATCAACGCTTTTACCATACCAGCTGGAGTTTGTATCATCTTTACTGTATCATTATACAGGGTGTTTCACAGAACACTGGCAAAATCGCTCCTGCGAACAGTATGCATTGCACAGAAAACAGGTTGATAACGTAGTGGTCTCTGCCAAAGGGCCTATTTAGGAAAATTAATAATGTTCATAAAAACTAGGTTCTTAAAATTATTTTTGAGTAATGAACGTTATAATTAGTATAGGCATTTAATCAGTGTACTTTACGAAAATATAAGGCAAGTGCAGAATTTTATGCCATTCCAGGGAAAAAACATTCAATTTGGACGCGTTTTCAAGTTTCGGTTTCTCATCAAAATGTGTCTCCGAGCAAGTAATTAAGAACCTACTTATACCACCAAACATGATTAATTTTCCTAATCAGACCCTTTGGTAGACACCACTCCAAAATCAACCTTTTCCTGTGCAATTAGTACTTTTGGCAGGAGCGATTTGGCCAGCGATCCATGAAACACACCATATAAGTTGACTATAGGTAGACTTGTTGTGTGTTACTACTGAACGTCAAGTGCATCCCTTTTGCTGAATTTAAGGTAAATAAAGCAGGGGGGCCCGATGGCATGCCAAACCATGTCCTCGCAAAACATTCTTAAATTGTAGCTTTCTTCTTTAGAGGTTCAGTGTAAAAAGTCACTCTCAAGCAGTAGGATTCCTAGAGAATGGAAGACAGCAATGCAGTACTGATACAAAAAGATGGCTCTAACAATAATCTTCAAAACTACAGACCGATCTCTCTTCTTTGTACCTGCTCAAAAGCAATGGGACATATTTATAGTATAATCTATTATTTAATCACCTTAGCAGAAACAATTGTGTCACTCGCTCGCAACACGGATTCATTAAGGGGTTCTCTTGCGAGATGCAGCCGATTGAGTTTTACCACGACGTTACATCTTTTTTTGATACCGGATTTCAGGTGAATTGCATACTCCTCGATTTTCAGAACATATGACAAGGCACGTCATCCATTTACTAAATGCAATACCATTTCTTTCAGCAACCCCCCCCTTCCCGGAAAATTCTCATCTGTAACATAAAACAATTTGACCCCACTCCTCTACCGTGCCTCTTTCTTTCCTTATCATGCGCATGCAAAGGTCGTCGATCGTTTCATGTGTGCGTCATCGCACTATGGATGGCACGATTTCATGGAGGTAGGATACTTCTAGAAGCGACATGGTGCCACCAGAGGTGCAGCCAGAAGTGTGTTTTGGTCATCGTTAGGATCATAATCCCTCCACACTTCTGGCTTCACTTCTGGTGGCGTCATGTCACCTCCAGAAGCTTCCTACCTTCATGCACGATATGCAGTTGTCCCAGTGGATATGTGCTGGCCAACAATTGGCTCCGCTCTATGAACGGCAATCGCTGGAAGTGCTCCAGTTGTCCTCATTACGCCTTGCATGAGAAAGGAGCGGATCAAAGAGGACATCACTGAACAGAAGCGGTAGTGCATTGGGGCTCAGTGTCTTCGCCGTGCCAATGAGACGTCGGAAAAGAGAGAAAGGCGCCAGGTTTATATCAGGTAACTATAACTCCGGATTGAGTGCTAACCTACTTGAAAACAAGCTTGATTTGTTCCACTTAACCAGCAAAAGGTGGTCCACGCAATTAAAATTGTATTGCGGCATCTTTCATAACTACACTGACGTGACGAAACCAAGTACATGCTGCCTGCCCAAATCACATCTGGAACAAGAGACCGCTCAAAAAGTGGTTACCGCTCAAAAAGTGGTTAGAGTATCTGTGCAGAACGGATGTATACGCCATTTCTTTCCTTTTATGGCGAGCAGATGGAATAGGCTATTATAAATGAAATTGGTTTCAATAGCCCTACAGCCCTGTTTTTCAATGATTTTCAGTAATGATGTTTGCATTTAAGCTTTTCCGTGTTTATGTTTTTCTATTTTAGCATTGCAAGTTCAACTTGTTTTAATCCACTTAACGAGCAGAAGGTGGTCCATGCAATTAAAATTTTATCTCAACATCTTTCATAATTACATCAACTTGGACAAAACCAAGTAAACATGCTGCCTCTTCACTTCACATCCTGAAGGCAAAGGTTAAAGAGTATCTGCAGAACGGATCTTTTCAAACCCTCTTTCTTTCCTTTTGCAAAGAGCAGATAGAATATTCCATTTTAAATAAAATCGGATTAATGATCGCCACAGCTCTGTTTTTCAACCATCTGTGGTGAGTTGCTATTTGAATTCATGCTTTCCCATGTTCATGATTTTTTGTTTTTTTTTCCTTTCTTTTTTTGGCATTATGATAAACTTGTGCACACTCATGCCCAATCCCCTTATGTTCTGTAACTATTTAAAAATGTAAAGGCATTGTCTGCTTGTAATACTGCCTCTCAGGCACTGCGAGGTAAACTAAATAAGTGAGTAAACACAAAAATAGATAGCAAGAGGCAAACAAAAAATGTAAAGACAACAGATGAAAGAAAAACACTCACTTTCGCATGTTTGTTTGTTGCGCCCTAGCTGCAGGCCATACGGGCACAAGCACAAAGGTCGAGCATTTCCCGACACACACAAGTGGCTGCACATGCCATTTTTGTGTGCGCAGTAGTTTTGTGCATTGGCTGAAAAAAAAAAAAAAAACAGGGGGAGAGAAATTTTAGCAACAGTTCCTGTGTAAATCAAGTTTCCCTCTTGAAGTGCATCAAGAGATGCACAATACAAAATTGCGAGGGTATAAATGCTGCTTCTCTCCAGTTGGCAGAAGAAATGCTATTTTGTTAAGTGCCATTTCCTTAGAGTTCTGTGGTGTTATAATACATTCTTCATATTTTTTTCTTGGCACATATAATTTTAGAAATAATAGTGAAGAGTCAGGCTAACCATTGCTTCTTTAGGAGGAAGTGATGGCAACTAACAAGTAGCAGCAAAAATAAAATATATAAACATGAACTATGTCATCACAGGCCTAAATAAATGCTGATTCCACTAGATAGTTTTTAAAATAAAACCAATTTAATACTGTTAAAAAACAATACAGAAAACGTTTTTTGAAACACATATATTCCTTAGATTAACATTATTCTTCAGTCAAACAACTCAGCCTCATTTACCAATCAAGATGACAACTCGCACGACTTTGACTATAAAAAGAGCAATCAAAGAATCCTCTGAAGAGCGAAAAGAAATATTCGAGATAGCATTATTCACAATGGGCACAACGATGGTGCATTCATGGCAAAGCTGTTTTTCGTTCCCAGCTTTTAATTTCAGTTTATTACTTCGGAGTAGGATATTTACAAATTGACAAGCTTTATGTGCTTCTTTGTGGCACTGGCATAGCCAAACTGTTACTGGCACTCACATGTCGGATGCCGCGAAGGGTGCACAATGGCTGCCTGATAGAGCTTATTTGGGGAGTGAACCACCACCTGCTGAGATGCATTCACTGAAAATCTGTGAGCCTAAGAAGAAAATAGATTAACAGCATTATTCTATGCCAGGCTGTCTTGCATGTATAGCATCAGACAGATGCACCCATCTGGTTGATAGGGTGCAAAAGCATTGAGCAAGCATGGAAGCACTTGCCTTATAAATGCTAGAGTAGGTGATGTCCGTCCAGTAGAAATAGTCGCCAAAGACATCCATCGAGAACGGCTTGGAGAATGTAGACAAATGGAGGATCTTTTTATGGTCTGAGCCATCATACTTGACAGTGTGAATCGAACCCGCCCTGAAATACACCAAGCAGTGAGGTCAGCGAAATTAGAGTTGTACTTGTTGAGTGCAGCAAATCTTTAACTGGCAAGACTGAGTCATCACAACTGCCAAGACTGTGCTACCTCCTGGTGTGCCATACTGTGATACGAAGAAGATGCCATGAAGTCCTTATACCGCACAATATAAATTTAATCGTTATGTGCAAATAGTGGATTGTGAGTTTGAAGTGAAGTGGTTTTAGCCAAATATTTGTATTAATTGAATATTGAACAGTTTGTCTAAGCCTTTCATGACTTCAAATTACTTAAATGAAAACCCAGCTGAACACATGAAGGTTGTTCCCAAGTTTCCACTTGTCCATTTCTAAGCTAATTTTGATTTAACTATATTTATTGACTGTGGCCTCAGAAAGTTCGATGCCTACATTGAGATGGCAAGTAAACTATGCATTTTACATAAAATTAAACTTTTAGAGATTCCCAATTATACCTAACAAAGGGGGTTTATAGATATACCTGCTATATACATATATATTTTCTTCAGTCACGAATTATTCATGTAGGTTGTCATGACATCTTTGCCTAATGGCCACTCACGCATAATAGTCAGTTTAATTTTTGAAACTTACTGCAACATTCACAAAGTTTTCGATTCCATTTCAATATACACAAGGCTCGCGCGTGCACCATCCCACTTTGAAAGTGTGCTTTTCTCCTAAGCACGGGGCTAAAACGCCGCGGGCAAAGTGTTGCCCGCGGCGTTTTAGCCCGATTGAGTGCGATTTTCACCGAGCACCGGTGCACTGAGAAGAAGCAACACCCGCGGAAGCGAGCTCCGTCGCTGTTGCTGCTCCGCAGTGCGCCGGTGCTCGGTAAGAAGCAAACTCAACGGGGCTAACCAGCTGTGATCGACACTTCGAAAAATATTGATATCTCAGTTCACCTCGAAGCAAACGTCGTATAGAGTATTCGAAACTGCTATCAAAATATTAGCACAACACTAAAACTGAGACTAGTAGCCTGACAACACAGTACATCTTGTTTCCAAGACTGTAAATGAGTGACCTGTGCAGTACAGTGCCCCTGCTAACCTCCACAGACCTTTTCCAATGATACCGACATTAAGTATGAAAAACAGATGCCCAGAATCATTTTTTCATTATTTTACAACTACACAACTCAATCATGGTATTTTCTGGTATTATTAAAAACATACTAAGAACAGTCACAAGAAATGAAGGTGGCAGCCTTGTCCTCTAAAAGCGTCATACCTTGCATCAATCCAGTATACCCTGTGCACTGCGTAGTCAAGTGTGATTCCATTTGGTAGAGATTTGGGCATGTTGCTGTACTGTTGCACATCCACAATCACTTGTCTGGCACTTCCGTCCAGGAGACTCCGCTCTATTCGTGGATTATCATCTTCCCAGTCCGTCCAGAAGAGAAGGCTATGAAAGGAAATAGAACTTAAACACAGACCTATTCCTCTTTAAATATTGACAGTACTTGAAAAGTATGCAGGTTGTCACAACAAAGTGAAAGTAGCAAAAAATGGGGAAACAGTCCCCTGTGGTCTATTTGACCATCCACCACAACAGATATTTAAAAATTCCCAAATAAAAAAATTTAAACAAAATTCTAGGAAGGTTGTCTGAACCCTAACATGGCTATTTTGGCCATGGAGTACAAATCTCTAATTGTAATGTGCCGCCTACAGAGAATACTTAAAAAAGTTAATTAATGGATTTTTAGCAATTGGCTAATCATTATTTCACACTTGCACCTCGACATCCACCGCACTCGGTAACCTGATCTCGAAGGCATAATTTCAACATTTCAAGCGCTCCTTTTTTTTTTATTAAATAATTTCAGTTCTACGTTAACCGTCCTGTACAACACGTTTCTTGTTATCCCAACAAAACTCAAATAGGAAGAAAATGCACATTGTGCATCTCCTTCCTATGCCATGTTCTTTTGGAGCTCTAAATTTCATTGAAATGTGTCAATTACAGCCACTGATAGCTTGAGAAATGCAGGGCTTATCATGTTCCTTTCTTTGGGATCCACTCTTTTCGCTCTTCAGTATTCTTATCAGCAAATACTGCAATCTCACTGACTGCGGAGCGATAATGAGATGCCTGGGACTAGCCACACCCTGCATTTCCTAATGGTGACTATGGCCCGCCTATCCGTTTTATAGCAGCAAAAGTGTGCGTGCAAGTACTCAAAACAAAAGAACGAGAGGTAAACAAAGAGGCGAGAGGAGAAACTGCCCGCGCTGCTCACCCCACCCGTGGATCCAGCGCTAAGCCCCTAGGGCGGCGGACGTCCCCAACCACAGACGCCCGCAAAGAACCGTCACACCTCGAGACCTCGATTTCTTGGTGCTTGCTCTCCACCCAGTAGAGATTACATGCAATCCAGTCCACAGCCAGACCCTCCACACAGTCAAAGCCTCCGGAGACTAGGGTACGGACATTCTCCAGACCTGCACCAAAAGGACAGAGACAAAATTTTACAACCCTTGAGGCCCTAAAAAAAAAAAAAAAGAACAATTTGAAGATGAGAAAGTTCCTAAAACAAGTGCACACAACACACATCTGCATTCCCTTTCCTTTATTTTAATGCCACAAAAGAAGGTTTGTACTGTCATTCTAAGAATTAACCCAACCACCGTAAAATAAGCAGTTCTCGCAATTTAAAAAGTACAAAAGCCACAGGGCCTCGAAGCTTGTTTGCATCACTGTATAAGAAAAATTTTACATGTACCAAATTTCACTCTGGCCCCCCACAACATAGGCACTTCAGAAGAGATGCAATTACCAGTCCAGCTACTATTGGCCCAACTCATAAAAGTAGCTGGGCCAGTGAACAGCCATGTCCTAAAAGCAACTACATAAAAAATAGTGCAGCTTTTTTCTATTTTCTGAACTTCTGCAACATACGAAACTGAAATTTTGAACATGCAACTTGTCCTTGGGCAACCTAATACCCAAAAAAGTAGACTAGAACACTTTACCTCATTGATTTGGATCTGTAGTTCAACATAAAGCATTCCAGTTGTCTTGAATACCAAAACCATAACAAAAGAAATCCATGAAAAAAAAAAAAAAAGCACCATGGTAGGCACTTCATATAATGGTAGCAGCGATTTTTGTTTCATTATGTGTCTTTAAATATGTTGCTAATGGCTAAAAGGTCAGACCAACATGCTGAATTAAAGAACCAAAAAGGAAAGCAAACATGTGCATTTAAACCAGAATGAAAATTAGAGAGTAATTATCTCAATGTAATTTGTAGATTAAGAAAAGGTTGCACCTGGGAAACAATCTAGATTATTTCCAAGGAGAAAAGAAGTCCAATCACCAGGCATTCAAATGCTAAGAGGACCAAGAAAGAAGACGGAAGAGTACTCACGTCCTTGGACAATTTCTCCCGCACTGATTCGATCAGTTTGTATGTCGCTCCAAAAGATTGTGGTATTGGGACCGTTCAACAGAAAATCAACAGCAACTGCTAGGGTCTGACTCTGATACAAAAACTGGCTAGTGTTCTCGGCACCAAGAGATGCCTGTTGAATTCCAACATTAGTAGTTATCAGGAGGGAAGACGACGAGGGAATCTAGAAGGAAAGTCACAACATATAGGGTTTTGGCACAGACCGGATCTACCGCCTGGACTGCCACACTAACCATATAATACCGAGCATAAACCACACTTGTGCAAGCTTTGTTTTGCGTAAAGTTCAGAATTGGCCTGAGGTACTGAGCAAGCCCCTTCTACCTATTTTGGCAAACTTATTTCCTCATTCTGGGCAGGCATTTGTTTTATAGTCGCTGCACATATACATGTTTCTGCAAGGTGAATGAGGCAGCAGGAAAGCTGCTACAAAATATAAAACATGGTTACCTCCCAGAACTAGTAATGGAGGTTTGACAAAAAACAAGCACAGAACTTCTCACATTTTCAAGTGTAGATGCAAGGAGTGTTTGTGCATTTTTGATGCATTTTTATTTATTTTCTTGTAATGCAGACGGTGCTTTTAGGCATTTAAATAAAAAATAAAAAAACATTAGCATTCTAAAACACTTCTTTCTTTATTAAAGAGCAAGATTTGCCAGCTGTTTAACCCTTTAAGTGCCTTGGACGAGCTGGGCTCGTCCAGTGGTTTTTTCGGGTAACACTCAATTCCATATATGAGCTAGGCTCAAACATGGAATTTTTATGAAAGTAGTTTTTGTTCAGCATTTTAGATCAGAAAAGAAACAAATGCGGTTTATAAAGTATGGAAACAAGAAATGACCCGTCGCACTCATGCAGAAAAGTCCCCGGATGTACGCGGCGGATGTACGGCCGGTTCCGAGCATTCCCAAGGCCTTCGGCGAGCAGCTTTGGTTTGCCTTTTGGCGGTATGGCAGCGCGAAGTAGCTCCTGTTCTGAACTGATCTTTACCTCGTGTTTGCTGTCGTTTGTGGCCAATGAAGTGTCATGCCGGATTAGGGCTTAATCGCGCAGCAAATGCAATGCGAGTCGCCCTGGCTGCCCGCTTCATACAGCCTAGCCAGCACATGCTTTAGTGGCGCCCTTTCGAGCCTTCGACACGGAGTGCGGCAGCCGTGAGCGCTCTCGCTGAGCTCACTACCCCTCCTCTAGTTCACGGCCACTCAAGCGACCAAGGACGTGAAGAAAAAGGTTATTTCTTACTTGCTTTTGTAATTTTAATTTGCCTATAACTTTTAAAAGAAAACGAAATTCGAGAAAAGAAAAGTTTCATTCAGTTCCTACATTCAGTGCGCTCAGGTTTGGTGCAAATTCAAAACAAGTAAAAAAGTCCTTGCAGGGCCCCTTTGAAGGAACTTTTCCATTGTATCTGCAGGCAGATCTGGTAACAATAATTGAAGTGTTGCTAGAACATTAATTTTATATATATATATATATATATGTATCCCAATGACTCATGGGGCTTGTTTATTTATTTTATAAATAAAAGAGTATGTTGTCACAAATAACAAAAGAGGTTCAAATACTAAAAGGTTGGCCTCACCTTACCCACAAATGCTGCTAATGTTCCAGACAATATTTTCTATGTGATTTCCTGACTTTAAGTGTCAACTGCTAATTCTGGGTAAGCATCATAAAATAACTGTGATGTAAATATGAATCTTGACTGCAAAAATTCCTTTGTCTCCTTATATCGTAATTGCAGTCTTAGAGGAGGCCATCTAAGAAAGACATTGCCTTATTCCGCAGAAAAATAAACTGCATGCTCTCACACTTTTCAACCACGTTCTTGATAAAGAAAGCTTAAACAGTGTCTATCTCAATCTTTTAATTCACTCTTTTCACAAACTTCGTCAAATACAAAAGCGGTTCCCAACATCCTTACAAGATGCCCCCCCCCCCCCCCGGAATTGTTACTTACAGCAAATTGTTACGTACATGTTTATATCGGACATAAACATGGCCACAACTCAAGGGAACCTTTGTAACAGATTCAGAGCACCTCGTAACATGTTTCTTGGAGCATGCGACATGCTTTTATCTCGACACAACATTGATTTTATGCCTGGCAGCTACCTTTTACAAATTGTGCGACACCTTGTGCATATGGGGCACAACCTTCACTGGCATCCTTTCTCTCTGCTCTTGACAGTTTTCGCCGCTCGGATGTTTAATTTACTGTAGGAGCTTTTCAAAAACCTTAGAAACTATAACAGTTTTCACCTCAAGAAAAAAGCAAGTTTTGCACATTGTACATATGCAGCGCAAAGTAGTTCTTTTGAGATTTGGTTGTTGGAGGAAAAAGAGATGCTTTTGGCATTTGTAACGTGTATGTCTTGATAACATATATCTAACCCAAAAAGCACCTACACATATATTTAATTATCAACGTAAAGGGCGAAATTAGTAATGCTCTGCGAGGAGCCGGACTAGTTTTACTACGGTTGTTGAGGTAAAAACAGGAATAGGTAAGACGGGTAACTAGCTTTCTTCAAACACTCAACCTGAAGATCAAAGCTGTTTGACAGTCTATGCTGGCAGCTCATGGGGATAGCAGTGTGTAGGAATGTGGACGCAATCCCTCATTTGACTAATTTTGAGTGGGAACTTTACAAGAATCCCTCGAGTTATGGCCGTGTTTATATCAAACTGACGGGACGTCGTTTTAACGATAGGGCAAAGAAGTACAGGCTCACTGTACGTAACAATTTGAGGGGGCATCTCGTACGGCATCGTAAGCATTGCGGTTGCAAACTGCTTTTAGATTCGACGACGTTAATAAATGGAGCAAATGAAAACATGGAGAGAAAAATTGTTGAAGCTTTCTTTATCAAGAATGCGGTGAAAAGTTTGTGAGCATGCGTTTATGGCTTGTTTATCAACATGGTGAATGACAGACTGGCTGAGTGAAGGTTTTAATTACAACTGACTTCAATAAAGTCAGTTGTAAGTAGCACCTGTCTTTGTCGTCCGTGTTTCAGTTCATGCTTTTTAACCTTTTAAACAACTCCTTCATAATGTCTCCTTAAATGACAAGATACCTCCTTTATTTTGTCACCTCCCCATAAGTTTATTTTATGGTGAAGCTTACCACATCAAAATCATGTTTCCAGTTTGCTAAGCCACAAAAACGGACAGTAAAAAATTATAATCTAGATGGCACAGATGCTGCTTACTGTCACTTTTTTTGCTTGAATCTCAGAAAATGCCTGAGGGCATTTCTCAGCAACTTTTAGTAGAATCCAAAATAACCAAACACCAAAATCTAAATACATATAACATGTCCTAGCTGAAGTTCAACAAATATGCAAAAACAGTCTTGAAACAGAACACAAACAATATAAGCATTACTGATAAGTAATTGTTTTATGAAACTATGCTGATGAGAGTGCAGCATGAATAAACAAATTCATACCCAATGGAACACATGATACCCCGTTGTAGTCAAGGCGAAATCCTTCGACACAGCCACAGTCCACAAGAGATCTGTTCTGTCTATTGGCATTGCAGAGCTGGGCACACTGACCCCACTCCTTGCAAAGAGACACATCTAAGGACAAGGAGGAAGGAAAACTAGTCAGATAGGTCCGAAAAGAAATAGGGCAAAGATAAAACACGTCACATGTGAATGTTTACGTTAGGAGGCATCCCAGAAGAGCTGAAGAACAGTGGATAATGTGTCAACAAAATATTGAAAGCTTTGAAGATAAATATACGAAGATGACAAACTGCTCACAAAAAAGAATGTGTGAGAACCCTTTTTTTAATCTCATATTTAGTTTATGATTAAAGCACAATGTTCTTTGTCCACTTGTTGTCAGAGATAGTCAATCTGCGATTCTGTGAAACATTCCGAATTTCTTTCCTTATCGACAATCCCCTGGCCTGTAGAAGCATATGCACTTGGGCTAGTTGGTGATCCATGTTTGTGAGGGTAAAAGCGCTAAAAACAACAGACAAGTAAAAGAAACGTACAACACAGAGCGCTCTGTGTTGTACGTTTCTTTTACTTGTCTGTTGTTTTTAGCGCTTTACCCTCACAATCCCCTGGCCAGTGGCGTACCAACATGTGATTGAGTGGGGGGGCCACCCAGACCCCCCCCCAGGGCTGGGGGCGGTGCCCTAGGTATCCCTGTGGCACCGCCGGCTAGTGCTTGCCTTGCCCAGTAACAGCTGTTTCAGGAGCGGCAAAACACATGCCTTGCCCCCCCCCCCCCCCGCCCACTCTGAGAAATGGGGGGGCAAGTGCAACCCTTGCCCCCCCGGTTGGTACGCCCATGCCCCTGGCTTTGCCGTGGCTTTTAGGCTCACTTATCCTGATATTTTACGATAATGGAAGAGGGACATTCAAGACAAACAGACCTCTTTCTTTTCATTATCGTAAATTAGAAACCAATACGCTCAACCATCTACCTTATCCTGAAATGTTCACGCCTTCCTGTTTTCTGAACGCGGTAATAGCTGAACAAGATTATATTATTTCAAGATTACTTGAAAGTACTAGATGTCAGGAGGGGATTTAGAGGGGGGTCGGTTCGGATGTCCTGACCCCCCCCTCTTGATTTCTGCATGTGTAAAATCTAGGGCGTAAAACGAAGGAGAGGGGTTCCTAAACATATGGTATGCTGACCAACACCTGACCCCCCCTTCAGGAAATTTCTGCATCCGCCCCTGCTAGACGATAATATTTTGAGTGAGCTCTGGAAGACTGTAACGATAAATGCCGAGTAAGACAGATCCCGGAACAGTTAACGGTGTACAATTACGTCGTAACGCAATGACGCGCCGTAATCTAAATTGCTATCTTTCTACTTACGCTTCTTTATTTTATTTTTATAGAGAAATAGTGCTGCAACGCCACCCCAGCAAGAATTCAAGGTAAAGTTCGAAAGGCGGCCCGGCCCGTTCGCACAGCGAAACCTGAAGCTGCCCAATACTTGAGTCTAGCGAAGAAAATCCACACACTGATCACGTGAGTGAGACCGCAAGCATGCCCCGCTCCTGCTCAAAAGGCGGCCACTTTTACCGGTTATGAACGCGTCTGAAGTCCATTCGCCGAAGTGAACTCGCAGACAAATTTGGGAACAGTGTCGGCACATAGCACGACTGCCCCGTGCACGACGTCTGCGCATTTCTTCTAACAATGGAGCACCGTCACCAGAGAGGAAAGGAAGTTTAAAAAGAGTGACCCTGTTTTGCCCTTCCCGCTACCGGCAGCTGCAGCACACATACTTCGGTCCCTGTCTGGAAGAGCTAGTACTCAGCACATCAAACGAGTCAACGCAGCGTGTTTCAAGATAAAAAAAAAAAAAAAAAAATTGCTTACTGCTAGTACTTCGTGAAGATCTCGAGAAGCCGGGGAGGATACTCAATGTGACCAAATATGCAAGGTAACATGCAAAGAACATGTCAGGAGTTAAGAAACTAATGACTTTAAAGCGGTAAGGCAAACACAAATTGTTCCCGATGAACTGACTAGCTCATCAACCGTCATAATATAACCTTTAACCCGACATTGAGCTTAAAAGATGTGGAAAACGGTTTTGCCGCAAAGTCAATGCAGACACAGACAGTGCAGACAGACGACCGCTAGGGTAGGCACTGATCTACTTTCTCATTCTCAACCGCTCAACCTGATGGCGCTAGAAGCTACATCAAAACAGTGCATCAAAAATTGGGCTTGGCCTAGCGGGTCCATATTAATTAAGATTTAAAAAGCGCGAACAAAACGAGGTCAAAGAAAACACAAAGAAAACAGTACTGGCGTTAGAAATTAGTCATAGTGAAAAATACTTTGAGACTAGGGAGACTGGTCAAAGGCGGAGGTCGCTTTTCGACCGGCGGCGGCGTGGTGGTCATTTTCGGCCGGCGCGTCGGTCGCACTTCCGGTCTGGGGCTGTGGGCAGAAGTCACAGAAGTCCCCATGCCGGTCGTGTATTCCTGCGTTGTTTTGAAAGGAACCAGTCAAAAACCTGCCTTCTCGTCATGACGCCGCGACTGGGGCCGTACCAAAAGTGTGGAGAAAGGTTTGGAGGTCAGTTTTCACGTGCTCGGTTCGTCCGAGAATCTGGATATGTGCCGTGAAAAGGGAAAAGCAGACGCCGTCGGACAACGATTGCTTGGGCGGGAAGCTCTTTGGGTTGAATTCAGGGATACTTGTGGTCACCAGGTTTATTTGTTTTGTTCCAGCATGAACGCCAGAAAACCGTCAAGTTGTGCGGACCACCTGCGGACTACGTTCAGTGCGAAAGTTCAAACGGCCGCCTGATCGTTCGAACTGTCGTCTGCTCCTTCAAACGTTTCTGCTTGTCGTCTGCTCTCTTAGACGACGCCGGCCCGTAGACCAAATGTTGGCCCGGTACTTGCGATAAGAAGTAAGTGCAGGCCCCAAAAGACTTAAATTTGAAGGTTGGTAAGCAGGCTCGATGTAAACAGTAGGTGCAAGGAGATGATCATTGTTACCAGTGGCCATCACCGACTTGTTATGCCTAATTCACTTGGTCGATTCTGCTTGCGATTTTCAGTATCGAGTCCGACGTCGACAATCTCAGCTACGGTTCACGCTTTTGCAGCCGAGCGGCGTCGCGACTGAAAATTGCGAGCGAAATCTCGTCATGCGAATCAGGCTTTAGCGTACATACTGCGGCGTCCACGCGGATTGAATCGCCACATGTCACACTAGGGAGTTTAAAAACAGCGCACAATAAAGCTTTGCTTACGCTAAGAAAGCGTCGTCGCCACTGCGCATTGCGCTTTGCGTGTGCTGCGATTTGCAATACGGGACGACATTGCACTCGGTTTGGAAAACCCAGTAAAGTGAGCAACGATCACCGGAAACTTGATGCTTGCGACGAGCGAACGTTTACCGGCGAAGGTCAGTACACTCTTGCCGAGGCGACGCATGCGGACACGACCGGTCGACCGCTCGCGTCGCATTCTCACGTTTAAACAAATGTAAACTGTTACTCTGGACCAAAAAATTTGTTTTTTTCTAAAGTTACAGCATTTCGTGTGTGAAATAAAAATTGTAACCGTATCTTGGTGGCGTTGCAAGTGCGAGATGCTTGGGCTAGAGCACTGCACGGGCCGGAATTTCTAGGCCCGGCCCGACCCGGCCCGGTAGAGACACGACCCGGGCCCGGCCCGAGCCCGACAGAATTTTTAATTTCTAGACCCGGCCCGGCCCGGTAGAGACACGACCCGGGCCCGGCCTGAGCCCGACAGAATTTTTAATTTCTAGGCCCGGCCCGACCCGGCCCGGAAGAGACACGGCCCGGGCCCGGCCCGAGCCCGACAGAATTTTTAATTTCTAGGCCCCGCCCGACCCGGCCCGATGGCTGTAGCCCGAAACAACCCATTCCCGTTTGAACCCGTCCCGTTTCGACCCGTTCCCGAAACGAGCTCCCCATTTGAACCTCGTCCTGTTTCGACCCATTCTTTAAAGGGACAATGAAGGCGATTTTAATTATTTTTTTAAAATGGTGTTTTTAGGCTTCTTGGGAACCTGGCATACTGCCCAATTTTTTATAGACATTTGTGACGCGTATTTCTGTACTTACGAAAGAACTGAAGAAACCGAAACTGAACTATCTGCGTTTCTCGTTTTTGGGCCTCCGAAAACGGAGGTGACGTAGGGAGCGACGTCACATGTGAATTGTCGGTATCGGCAGCATTTAGGGCATCGAGACTCTGGTTACCGCGGTGGGTTATAGCAGCGCGGTGGCGCGGTCGTTTCGTCGGACCAACATGGACGGCAATGCTGCTCTCGCGAGCGAATTCGGGCTCCCGTTCAGTGACCTGACACCAACAGAACGGGAGATGCTTCTAAGGACACGGAACTCTGGAATGCCTCTTTACGAGGACGCCCCAGAATTGCCGCCGACCCAGAGTGATTCGCCTCACACCTACGCCCAGACTCCGGCTAACCTGAAAGTTATGTTCAAAGTCTTTTGACCGAAAACGTAGCGAACAAATTCTGACGCCATCGCCGAGACCTCTGCGCAAGACAACGCTGTTCAACCAGAGACTTCGCAATGCTTCATCGCTTGGGAGTAGGTGAAAACTAGCGTCGCCCGAACGATCACGGGTCTTCAGTCGACCGTTTGAACATCCTTCAACTGCGCACAAATTTGGCATGACTACCGCTTTGCAGAATCCCTCGAGTGCCGTGTTCCTAAAGTAAACACGGCACCGACATCTGAAACCAGAACCAAAGAACTCCCCCGAGCTCCGCGCTGTGTTCATTATTTTATATATTTTGTTTGCCCATAGTTGCGCGTTGCCCGTTTCGCGTGCAGTGTAGCAAAGAGAAAAATAATTATCGTGTTTTGTTTACGGTCTAGTTATCATTTTCGGTTCGATTTATAGTTTTCATGGTTATTCAAGTGGAATTAGAACAGTGTTCATAAAAACCACGAACCAAAGCGTGACCGAGGGCACGTTTCTCGTTTCGACCAATCGCTGACACGTCTTTTGTGACGTCACTCTTCCAGGCCCCGCAGGGACACGTGACCTCCGCTTCTGCTGGTTTCTCCCGCAACGCTCGGGGCGTCGCCCCGATCGATCCCGGTACGATTATTACCGCGACTGTTTAATTGATTTGTGCGGCACAAAAGCGCCGGTTTGGGCTGAAATTTGGGCATCGTGGCCTGAGGCGTGCCGGGAACCCAGTTCAATCGCCAAAAAAATATCCGAAATTGCCTTCATTGTCCCTTTAAAGGGATACTTCAACGAAATCTGAAATATTCCCGTCGTGTTCAAAAATAGGTTGAATATCATCCACAATATCCATAAATGACAATCGCACGTTTGTATTTTGAGCCTGGTGGCTGTATTTTTCGTTATAAACGGCCCACTCTGGGAAGCGCTCGGTGAAGGCCCAGCGCAGACCACGTGACATCCAACGCAATCGTGACGTAGGTCGTCTCAGGACGAGCAAAGCTACGGCGAGGCTGACGTCGAGAGGATGGCCTAGTCGTTCCACCCACCGAAGCGGCTGCTTTTGTACGAATTCTGAGTGACGGGTTAATCTCCTGTAATCTTGTAGGGGGACAATAGCGACTTCTGCGACACACAAAAGGCATTCTCGGGAAGAGGGGAGTTCCTCCTGCCCCTCTTCTCTCGTCGTGGCCGGAGGCGAGACAACCTCCGTCACTAGCTGTCAAGGTTCCTAGACGGGCATTACAAGCGAGGCGTTAGCGACATCCACCAGGTGCTCTTTGCTAATCGTTTAATTCGTTTTAAAATTCCTTTTCGTGACTTCTTTAACAAGTTATTGGTATGTTCGATGTGATGCTGCTCCTTTGAACACATATAGACCAAAAAATGAGCGCCGAAATTTCGTTGTAGTATCCCTTTAAACGCCCTTCCCATATGAACCCGTCCCGTTTCGACTAGTTCCCTAGTAAACGCCCTTCTCGTTTGAATTTGTTCTGTTTCGACCCATTCCCTAAATGTCCTTCTTATTTGAACCAGTTTCCGAAACACCCTTTGCGTTTCAACGCGTCCCATTTCAATCTACTTTTATAAGGCCCTGCACATCGCAACCTCTTCGCAAAAAGTCTCCATCGTTCTAAGCCTGGTCTGTGCACCTTTTCTGTTTAAGAATATGTTCTGAAGTAGCTTTACATGTCAACGCGTTCTTAAAATATACAACCCTTTCAGGCAAGCTTAAGTTTAATATATTCCTACTTAACCCCTTAAAACTTTTTTTTTTTCAAGATGGTTCCCAAAACGTGCAAGCGCGGAACGGACTATGTACACTGCACGACACTGATACCGCGAACACGACGTTGGCTCCTTTTTCGAATTTTACTTCGAAATAGTGTTATTAGGCACCAAAGTATACCGCTTAGGTCTGTGGCCCAGATGAGCACTTCTAAAGACACTAATAGTTTTGAAAACGGCGTTTTGATTCTATGAGATAAACATAAAAACACGACGATCGCTTGTTCGCGCTAATATAGTGTCGCGCTCTGTGCAATAAGGGAGTCTTAGAATAACGTACTCAAGCACTTTGGGCAAGCTAAAATTAGCATCGCCATAGGTTTTACATCGCAACGCTAGTTTTACGGTACCCAAAGCGCTTGCGTACGTTTTTCTAAACCTTCCTAATAGTGAACTAGATATTTTTGAGAGCGATGAATCAGACAGGTTGACAAGCATATGACTGGGACTTCATTTTGTTTATAATTTATAACACTGAACCCTCGCTCACACGGCTTGAAGGCTTTCTAGCTTCAAGACGTCTTTTAGTTATTATTTTTAACGACGCTGTAGTGAATTTGCACTTCGCTTTTTTGTATTCAATGAACCTAAAAGATTAATGAGCAAACTTCTTGCTATCAACAACAATCTATGATTTACGGCACAAGTTTGCCCAGGCACGGCCCGGGCCGGCCCGGACCGGCGCGGCCCGAGAACTTTTTTGTTCAAACCCGAGCCCGGCCCGGGCCCGAGAAAATACGTGCTACCCGGCCCGAGCCCGGCCCACGGACCGGGCCGGGCCGGGCTCGGGCTTTCGGGCTGGCCCGGGCCCGTGCAGTGCTCTAGCTTGGGCTTTAGCGTCGCGGCGGAGAAACGCTATTTCTAAAACTCTATTGCAGGGGT